GGTAGCCAATACGTTACAGTTGTTCCTTTCACCTGATGGTAGCATTTAGTTTAGTCAAGACTACAACCATGAAGCACAAACTTGACATTGAGAACTGGCAATTTAGAAATACTTTTTCAATAAGAGCCACAGCAAATTAATGTGCCTCATCTGTCAAAAGACTGTAATGGGTTTAATATCAGTAGACATGAAGCAAAGCATGGACGTCACAACAAATATTCAGGGGACGAGATGGCAGAGAATCTAAAGCAACTGAAATCTATGCAGTTCTCACATCTCCTACTTCTTATCAAAGCAAATTCAGTAGTCCAGTAAATATTAACCCTTTAAGATTAACAGAAACACAACTATTTATAACATTTAATCTGCTCCTCTTGTTTAATAAAGTGATTTCTGAATGCTGTTGTTACACTTATTTGCTAAATAAAGAACGTGATCTAGGAAATTGTAAAAAAGAAATTGTAGATTTTTAGACTTGGTTTGTCTCAAATTATAGTTTTGAACAAGTAAGCACTTGAATAGGAATATACTTCATACATTAGTCACATTTTATTGTTACTCTGAATAAACAAATCAACAGTGTGTTCCAAGCATTTGTTGATCCAATTTGCTCTGAATAAGCAATGCAGCAAAAAAAGAAGTCCTGTGCATCTTTCATGAAGAGATAGGAAACACAGTAGCACACAGAAAGCTTAGAGTCTCTACACTGATGCGCTTCACTCTGACCAGCATGAACGTGCACCTGCCGTAACTCCTCTGGTGGCAGATTTATCGCCAGATTCTCAGAATGAATTGACAGCAGGACACTCAGTTCAGTTAGTTGCTCTACATGATAGTATTTTTGACATTTTAAAAAAAAGTCATATTTTTAATTATTTGGGAATATTATATATATTTGAGCCATCAGGAATTTTGACATATTCCGATCTGGCACTCTTTTAAAAAAAGCGTTTGGGCACCCCTGAATGTAAAGGTAAGGCTTACTGTTATTTAACATGTAATCAGCTTAATATTATTGAAAAAAGGTTAAAGATAGTAAAGGTTTGATAAGTTTGAACACAATCACCAGATTTCAACTCAGTCAAACACCTGTAGGAGATTTTAGACGTATGTTACGCAGTGCTTTCCACCACCATTATTGAAACACTAATTGAGGGAATATCCTTTGGAAGAATGGTGCTCCATCCCTCCAGTACACTTCCAGACATGTCCTGTACGATCAGTGCCAAGCACTGACGCTGTCAGTGGGTTGTGGTGGCCCAGGACCTTACTAAGATACTTCGGTGTTTTTTTTTTTTCCTTCAATTTGTCACCTATCTGTAGATCTTTAACCCCACGTTTGTGCTTATTTTCAGCAGTAGCGTTCATGAAGGCCCAAATAAGTTTTATCTTTACAGACAAATACCACTTATGTATTCTTGTAGGGTCCTTCAAATGTTTCCTCCAATAACGTTCCTGGAATAATTCCACAGTCAGGGGAGTAAGTGGGGAAATAAAGAGCTGATAAAATAGAGCAGGCTAGAATAGGGTTCTGGGAGTAGAGCCGAGCGTGACTACACCACAAAAGAGCAAAACAGAGTGGAGCTCTCGCCCCAAGGCTGTAATATCCAGCTTTTAGGTCGCATTTAAATGGGGACAGAAGATCGTGACCCCATTCCAATGTGTTCCAGCTCAGAGAGTCAGCTTCCAGACGCCTGGAACAGAGGTGCTCTGACACTGAAGGAAGAGTTTGTTGGAAAGTCAGATTTATTGTAAATGTAGTCCATCAGCCGAGACAGGTTTAGTGTCTGAGGTGTGCCTCTTTAATTTTGCACTGGAGCTACAAGGCTAATGTAGCTAATTATGATAGCAATCTTTTGTTTTTGTTTAGATATAATAGTATGTCGTAGTGTCAGAAACAACACAAGCATGTCTGTTTGAGATTACTTTTAATAGATAACTCGACATGCATTAAAACATGCAGTTAGCACCATGCAAGTATGTGTGCTTATGAGCAGCCAATACTTATTAGCTAAATTAGCCTCATAGCTCCAGTGTAAAACTACAGTAACAAATGTAAGACTCCAAACATATCTGGCTGATCGAATGCATTTGGGGTAAGGGGAAAGTTGGTGGATAATAGATTTATAGCTGATTTTTAGTCTTAAAAGAGACATCATTGACAAAACTGCATTTTCTTTCCATTTCAGACGAAGATTACTCGTCATTGTATCTACCATCTGAGAAATTGTAAAATGTGAAGTCCATTTTTTCACATTTCCCATTTACAGAAAACATTTAATTCTACAGACTGTTAGGCATTGCTGCCTGATGCTATGTCACATCAAGGATAAGTCCTGCCCTGCTCAAATAACCTGTAATAAACTGTGATGGGGCAATAAATTGAAATGTTAATCTGAACAGTATATAAATTAAATAGAAACACACATTACTAATCTCATACACACACTACAGTCAGAGAAGAAACACACATACACACCCCAAGCACTTAAGTCTGTGATAATGGTAAAACACTGAGCAATTTTAGAGTTATGACCTTATCCAAAGCCTCTGTCTTGTTAACCTTTAGCATGATAATGACCATAAACTCAAACCCAGCCTTACTCACGCCTCCGGAATAATCAAGCTGATCATCTGGCGCTCTGAATGTCAGAGTGTGTGAAACACAGCTTCAGTGCTGCCTGCTGCTTCTCTGATTTTCTAAAACATGTACAATACTGCTTATTTCTATTACAGAATGTGTTTAGGGGTCGGATTAATAAAAATATCTTAAGAAAGAAACTTCTTAAATGTGCTTCTTCATAATTGTCAATTTTTTTTGTCTTTCTTTACTTTTCTCCTAAGAAACAATTCTAAGAATGAAATTCTTGAAAATTATATGCTCTTAAATATTTTCTTAAAAGGACATTTTACTGTTTTTTTCAAAATGCTTGCATATTTATGTGGTAGATATGTAAACAGAGTCATTCAGAGTGGTTTGATGTGAAAGATTTCATTGTAGAGTAACTTACCTCATATGTTGATGTGTTTTATATGTAAAATTGAATCTGGAAAAAGTATGTTTTCTTTGGAGACTATTTTGCCTCAAAATGCCCTGCATGTACCTCTCTGCCATGAATGGATTTAAAAAAGTACATTTTAGGCCAAAATTCTCAAAACTATCATAAAACAATGTCTCAGACAGCAGGCAGCATATTTCATGTAATAACTTTCTGTGAGGGGGCGTTTTGGCAGCTTTAAACCTTTTGGACGTCTGGTTCCTATCACCACCACTGTGAACAATACTGACTTGGTAGGTTTCTCTTGAACGGAGCATTTCACACCAAACCACTCAATCTTAACCATTTTTATTATGCAGAAATTGAAAAAATGGTTGAATTCCCTTTCAGCCTTATGAGAGCATCACGGATGTCTTAGGCCATGTTCTGTTGATGGCTTTTCAAACTCTGTAAAGAACGCTTCTGCTTTTTTTCAGAAATATTGTCTACATGCTCTATTTCTCCTTATTATATATGTCTGTACTCATTGCCATTCTTATCGACGTTCTCTCAAATTGCTACCTCCTGTTCATCTACTTGTCAGTCAGATGTGTTTACCTGCCGCTAAGAGGCTGTGTGCCTCTCACTTAAAGCTGCACTATGTACGTTTTGGTGATATGGAGACCTCTCTTGTGGAGCTATGTAATTGCAGGTGGTGCACACAGTAAAATCGGTTGTGCTTCAGACCCCTTTCCCGAGATAAATCTGATGTTTTTGAGTACTGAAACAGTATTCAAAGAGAACTCGGTCAAAACTTGGTGAAGGATATGTCATTGTAAGTGTATATTATTGAATGATCTACTGCTGTCCTCATATCGTCATCAGTGTAATATTGATGTTACATGTGAGACCTAAACATTGAGCCGAACCTTTTGTGGACCCAAAAGCTCTGACTTTTAGATGATTATTTCAGGCTTTAAGGGGGGACTCGAAGCAGTGCACACACACACACACACCATATTTTAGCATGTTTTTTATCTCCTGACTCAGTAATGCTAATTATTGTAGTTTAAACTAATAAATCCTACATTGTGCTGCTTTCATCACCTGCTAGTTGTTTTAAATTCTGTCGTTTGACATGATCACGTGATCAAGTTCAGATGGTTGCAGCTAGGTGCGTTCGCGGGTACTAGAGCGCTTTGTTATCCCTTCAGGGTGCCATTATTTAAATACTAAAATCACTGTTCGGGTATCCGTTACATTTCATCACGGGAAAATGGAGAAAATATAGAGTCCAGCAATTCAGTAAAACATAGATTTTCCATCTTAAGAGAGCTAGAAAATCTAAAAATGTTTGTGAATATTATATTATACTTTGCAACACGCGCGCGAGTGTTTGGACAAGGACACATTGTGAAAACTGTGTAAGTGGTTTTTCAGAAGTCATTTCGTCTAAAGTGCTTGTCCTAACTGCTTGTGAATGATTCCCATTGAACTTCTTATGAACATTCTTATGAGCTTTTGTGACTCCATAACCCTTAATCTGATACTAAAGCTACTAATGTAGTTGCGGATAAATGTATAAAAAGACTCTATTTCGCTAGTCCTGTGCAACTTCATTAACTCAGATAATTAGTAGGACACTAGAAAGCTGTAAATAAAATGAACAAATGTGTCTAGAATGATGAACAGAGCTGTAGATGAATACCCAAAGAATACCCTTTGGCAAAAAGTTTGTAATATTTAAATCAACATTGGAATTATTATTATTGCACAGGCAACAACAAAAATATTAATATGGCAATTGCTTCCAAACTAACACAGTAGTGTATCTACTTGCTTACATATTTACTTGGAGTTGCCCTGTGTTTGTTTTATTCAGTAACTGGTGATCTGTTGCTGAAAAGAGTTTATTTCTTTCTGTACTGTTTCTGAGATTAAACTTTAATGTATTTATTTCCCTTTCTCTTTCTCTCTCTCATTGTTTGTCTGTCTCTCTCTGTCTCTGTCTCTCTCTGTCAGGCTCAGGTCTTTATTTGTGGCTGGAGAACGCTGTGATATAGAGACATTAGAATGGGCGAAAAAGAGCTTTGGAGTTCCGGTTCTAGATCATTGGTGGCAGACTGGTGAGTGACACACACACACACACACACACCTACTCCCGCAGCCACATTATCTCAGACTGGTCCAGCTGAATGTGAGGTTTGTAACTGCTGTGTAAAGAGAGGTTTTATTGAAACTGAAATGATTTTCTGCTTTATTGGATTTTATGATGTCACACATTGTAACACACACATGCACCTTTTCTGTACTGCTTGGACATTCTTTTCTTCCATCTCTCTCCTCTCTCACTCATTCTATCTTTCTGTCTTTTTGTCCATTTCATCAGCTCCACTTACCATATAGGTACTTTTTAGATCTACAATTGCAGACTGTAGTCCATTCCCCCACAGAGCAAGTAGTCAGCACTGACGTACGAGTGGATCAGTGACGCAGCATCACTACAAGAAATGTGTGTATATATATATTAGAGATGAAACGATATTAAAATTTCATATCACGATTATCATGACCAAAATTATCACGATTATCGGTATTATCGCGATATTGTTCAAATGTTTTGAAAAGTAAAATAAATAAAAAAAAATAAATACTGATACACAAACTGAAACTCGTTTCACCAACTTTTATATTAACACAAATAGAATTGGCAGCAATATGCACTTTTTGTTTGCATAAACATTAAAAAATAAGGTCAGTACATTTTTAGTATTACTTTTGTATTACTTACAATACTTGTAATACTCTGTAAACAAAAGAATAGCAAATGTATTATTATTATCGTTATTATTATTATTATTATCATTATTACTGTTATTACTATTACTATTATTATTATTATTATTATTATTTTTCTTCTTCTTCTTCTTCTTCTTATTATTATTATTATTATTATTATTATTATTATTATTATTGATTACAATAATTAGGGATTTCCCTGCATAGAGAATTAAATCTGGACCAACTCTGAGGTGGGTCTTAATGGAAAATTACTACTTCTAAGAAGTGCTGCACTCGGGGGATTTCTGTCTGAACTGCAACTGCAGCATTATTGTGCCGTTGTGGCGCTGAACCCCTAATCAACACAGTGCACCAGGAAAAACAGCCAAAATCACAGAGGAATTGCGTGACGCGCTGTGAGCTGCAGACAGTGTAGAACTCACACAGCGTGTCTTCACCTGTGGAGCTGCTTCTCTAAAAGCATTTTAAAACTAAAACATAACTTAAAATTAACACGCATCTGAGCTGCAGCAGAAACACTCCTGAAGTTTAATCTCTGAAACTCTGCTTTTCCTAAAATCAGCACACAGCGTTTGCTCGCGAGGTCCCGTCTCAAAGCACACTATCTTCCCTATGTAGTGCACTTCGTGGATCATGAAATAGCAAATCCTTCACCCAAAGAGTGCAGGAAACGTTCGACTCAGTCATCTATAATCAACATTAACAACAGGTTACAAAGTCCCTATTTAAAACTCAGCTGCTTGTTAATGATGATCTTGTTTGTTTGAACAGTAGCGCCCTCTGTAGGGGACACTGAGTGATTTGAGACGGTGTTATTCTGACAGTAAACACTGCAAGCTAGACGAGAAAGGGGAGCTGTGCAGATTGAACCTCTGCAGCGTCTCGTTCCAGAGCTCGTGTGACTGTTAACTCAGAGCTCATTTTGGAGACTCTGCTCCACAGAAATGTGTTAAAAGCTTTAGTTTCGATTCACAGTTGATTCACCGATTGTTTTTCTTTTTTTTTTGACGGTAAAAGCTTCATTTTATATGATTAATGAACCATAAGCATAGGTTAAACCACACAAACCATGACATTTCTTCTATTTCGAAGTCCCCACAGACTTCTCCGTTAAAATTAACCTTGCATTCTCTAAAAAGTAGCGGATGGTGGTCGCAAAATGACTCGTAAGGTTTGATGTGTTGCCCCCTTTCCCCGCATTTTTCTTTCGGCCTGTTCTGCAGACAGGGTGGTCATCTTCAATTAACTTTCCTTCTGCATCCTTATAAAACCCAAAACATGACCAAACGTCAGACTTGGTCTTCTTAGAAGGCTGAAATATCTCTGAATCTGCGAGTTTTCACACCGCGGTAATCGACCGCGGTTTTAACGATACTTTAAAGATCAAATGGTACTACTAACCGTCATTAATTTTACCGCCATTTACCGTGAAACCGGTAACCGTATATATAATATATGGATGGATGGGTGTGTGTGTGTGTGTGTATGCATATATACACACACATACAGACACATATAGCAAAGACCTTAGCTCTCTGCAGTCATGGTAAAATTATACAAAGACACAAATGCAAATGTATCTGTGGGCATGTTTAAGCGAATATGGACCATTCTACTGAATTAATTTTAAAAATAGTATTCAGATATGTTAAGATGTATTAAGGTGTTATGATCTATAATCCAAGACATTCATTTACATTTTTTTCAAAATTGTTTTAAAAGCATCTATTTGGTATCCTTAAAGTGAAGTTGAATGATGTAGATTTATTATGAGTTCAATTTTAAAATAAAAAAACTGGCGTTCCACGTTTTCATGTCACTACCGAAGCACAGTGTTTTAATTCATAGGCATATTCATGGTTTTAATTCATGGTTTTCATTGACCGTAGAACAGAACTAAAATGTTTATTATATTGGCAGTTGGGCTGGCCCAAATAGCATTGTACAGGCTTCAAATACTCGTCAGTATTTCTGCATGAGTGCCTGAATACTCAAAACCTTTCTTATAAGCAATAATATTTGCATTTCATAGCTAATCATAATTTAAGTAATGTTCATTACGGCAGTTCAAAATATATCCAGTAGGTAGCAACAATTTTCTGACTGAATAGATTCCATTTTAATTAGTATTTCAGTCAACACTGTGCTGAATGCCTTCACATATGTCAAAAGGGGAGCCCTTGTGACCTATTTGAGTACGTATTGGTACATAATTTTTTAACTTGTGAGATAAATGAAATGTAAACTTCTAATTCCAGATGCAGTTGATCATCCCCTTTCACTCTCTGTAGAATTCTGAACTATATTCAAAGTAATAATTTACTGAATGATAACATATTGATATAGCATTAGAAACTTATGATCGTGATATTGTCAAAATAATCAAATCTGTTTGTGTGGTCAAGTTTTAATCCAGGTTTAGATACTCAGGCTGTGACTAATCAAGGTTTAGATACTTAGGCTGTGATTAATCCAGGTTTAGATATTTGGGCTGTGATTAATCCAGGTTTAGATACTTAAGCTTTGATTATTCTAGGTTTAGATACTTAGGCTGTGATTAATCCAGGTTTAGATACTCAGGCTGTGATTAATCCAGGTTTAGATACTCAGGCTGTGATTAATCCAGGTTTAGATATTTGGGCTGTGATTAATCCAGGTTTAGATATTTGGGCTGTGATTAATCCAGGTTTAGATACTCAGGCTGTGATTAATCCAGGTTTAGATACTTAGGCTGTGATTAATCCAGGTTTAGATATTTGGGCTGTGATAAATCCAGGTTTAGATACTTAGGCTGTGATTAATCCAGGTTTAGATACTTAAGCTGTGATTAATCCAGGTTTAGATAATCAGGCTGTAATTAATCCAGGTTGAGATATTCGAGCTGTGATTAATCCATTGATTAATTGAGGTTTAGATGCTCAGGCTGTGATTAATCCAGGTTTAGATACTCAGGCTGTGATTAATCCGGGTTTAGATATTGGAGCTGTGATTAATCCAGATTTAAATACTCAGGCCATGATTAATACGGATAATAGCTCTTAGTGACCATAAAACCCTTCGTAAACATTGTACGGACAAATGCCATGATAAAACGTTAGAGTGAACAACAACACAGGAAGTTGTGTAACGATAGTTAGCTAGGTTGTAGGTCTGCAAGCTGTCACTACAATTGCTACTGCAAAGCAAACCACAAACAATAACAAGCAGGACAAAACAATACTGACATACTGATTCTGTGCAACAGCAAAAATAAGTTACTGTTACCCACCTGTCAAGCAGAAACAGAGCAACTTTTACCTTTTAATCCTTTTTGTAGTTTCATTTTCAGTTCTTGCCAAAGCCGTAGGTCATAAAGCTAGTGAAGTGTAAGCTAAGCTAAGCTTAGCACTCAGATGCTAATATGCTGACAGAAACAAATCCTTAAAGATTTGAGGACAAACTTTGGTAATTACAGATCTACACATTCACACAGTGAGTTTACAACATGATGGGGCTAAATATGTAGTACACTACAGGAAAAGTGTTTTTAATTAGTGAAATAGATGTGACGAGACTGAAGGTGGCTTTCTATTTGCCAGCTTTTTGTTTGAATTTTCCCATTCAACCATGGTTCAGCAGTTACATTCTGGCGGCTCAGGTGAAATATGGCTTATATGTTTTACATGTCTGATCAGCTCTCAGGATTAGCTAAGTTACAGAGATATCGACCAATTGCTGATCACATATTTGGCCTAAAAATCGGCTGATACCAATGCATAGCCGATCAATCCTTCCATCTCCAGAAATCACACTACCTAAATATATAGAAAGTGAAGCATTTATAACAGAAAAAAACGGTACTGTCACCACTGCCACCAGAGGTAGATCCAGCTAAGCTTAAAGTTAGCTGGATAAGCTAGTACTGCTGAGAAGGTTATCTGTGATTTGAATTGTAACTTAATAGAACCCCAAACAAGCATCCAATCATCAACAGTGCACACATGATATAAATGTATATCATTTAGACAGCTTATGGTAGTCATTGTTATTAATTAGCTTTTAATTTTACAGTACATCAGATGGGAAGATGGGGGGCTCCCCAGAAATTCTGCTAAGGGCCCACAAAAAGCTAGAGCCAGCCCTGAACCCTGGGGGGCGATGATGCACTCATCAACATTATCCGATGGACAAGCCTGTTCATGGGCCATGGGTGTAACTAAAGTTAGCATGGCTGAAAAGTCTCCCCAAAAAACTATAATTCGGCAGTGTAGATTTGTGTCGCGTGTGCTAAAAAAGACATTATCTCTGACAAGGAAAAAAAAATCCATTAGTTAACAAAAGCATTTTGTTGGTTAAAAGAGCACAGACTCAAGGAATTTGTCCCCAGATTTGCGTTCTTGTTATAAGATGATGTCTGGCCCTGCAACACTTTTTAAACCTGTTATAAAACAGTTCAGTTAGAAAAGAAGAAAACAGAGCTGATGTTCCTGCCTGAAGCAGTTACGTGATGGAGCTGCTAAGTTGCAGGCAGATAACCAGATATATATTCGCTCATAAACTCTTGAATATCAAAATTAGTCGGAATGCACATTTCTAGCTTCCCTGAGGTGAGATGGATGATGATTTTTAGCATTTTTTATGCGTTAATAATAACCGTTCTATGTAAAGGCCTTTGCTGATGGAATATTTTTTAGTTAAGTGGCTTGGGAAAAAAAGACAAATAATAAACAGAGAAACAAATACCAGTATAACAAATATTAGAGTATTTGAATTATTCAGGCCAGTCATACTTGGCACACATTTAAAATATCACAATATTTGATAACGTCAGGTTAACAACACACACACACACACACACACACACACACACATACACACACACACACACACACGAACACAAACCTTGAGAGACACATATACACCACCATGAATCGACACACACTCTCTGCGTGTTCTCTTTAACACATGCTGAGTGAATCAGTGTGAGACGGCTGCATTTTTTTTTGAAAGCTGATAATAATCCATTCTCTATTTTAAGCTGCAGAGAGATGGGGGGTAAGGCTGATGTCATCGTCGTTCCTTAGCAACCAGTGTGTTTCCAGTTGGGAGTGTGTGTGGTCACGTAGCAGCTGGCTGCACGACCGACCTCACTCAGTGAGTGTGTGCAACTGCCTGTAGCGTTTAAAGCGATAGTACAGCAAAAATCAAATTCACCAGTTTTCCTCCTCTTTCCCTAAATGTAGTCAGTCAGCCAAGACAGGCTTGCTGCTTTAGATTTACTCTGGAGCTACGAGACTAATGAAACTACCAAGTAATGAAAGCTTATGTACATCAACTAACATGGTGCTAGCTGCACGTCTAAATCATTACACACTTGTGTTGTTAAGTGATCTGTATGATACTGTCTATAAACGTGGACTGTGACATTTCTGTAAACATAGACTAAAGTACACACAGCATAGCTGTTTTATAGATACAGGCCATGTTTATAGATAACAGTCATACAGTGTTACAAAGCAAGTCTAATTGAGATTATATAACAGTTTCTTAACTCCACTTATTCTTGTCCAGAAAACTGAAGATCTTAAAAGTTCAGTATTTCAGACAGATGCAATGTGTTGTTATTGTTGTAGTGTGTGTGTGTGTGTGTGTGTGAGTGATGTGTTTAGTCTCCTGTGTCTTTCCCATATGGCGGCTCGACAGTCTAATTAAAGTGTCTCTCTCTCTCTCTCTCTCTCTCTCTCACTCGCTCTCTCTCTTTCTCACACTCTTTTTCTCTCTCTACTCCCTCCATTCCTTTCTCATTTTCCTCCTTTCACTCTCTCTTCTTTCTTCTTCTCTCGCTTCTTCATATTCTCCTCTTTTCTTTGTTCTCTTTTGCTCTCTCACCTTTCTTTTTCTTTCTCTCTCGTTCTTCTCACCCTTTTCTTTTTTATTCATTCTGTCTCTCTCTTGTTCTTTCTGTTTTCTTTCTTAGTCTCTCTGTCTCTTTCTGTCTCTATCTCTCTCTCCCTTGTCTCACTCTTATTCGCACAGCTCTTTTTTCTTTATTATTCCATATCTCCCTCCCTTTCCCTTCCTTCTTTCATTCTTTCTTTCTTTCTTTTTCTTTTTCTTTCTTTCTTTCTTTCTTTCTTTCTTTTCCAGCTCTCTGTCTCGCTCCTGACTGTTGCTCTCTGCTTATTTCTGTCATGTTTATAATGTGAAATGGTATTTACTCTCAGATTGAACTCTGTTATCATTGTTATTATTGAAGTGTTTGCAGATTAAACAGTACTTTGGAGGACTGAGTGTGCATGTGCGTGTGTTTGTGTGCGTTCTGACTCAGAGAGAATGAACTTTGTCACATCATCTGCAGTCCTGAGTAACTGACCTCTACATTGTCCAAGCTATTGTGTGTGTGCGTGTGTGCGTGTGTGCGTGTGTGCGTGTGTGCGTGTGTGTGTGTGTGTGGGTTTTCCATAATCTTTGCCTGTGTTTCCTCCAGAGAGCGGCTCAGCCATCACTGCGTCTTGTATTGGTCTGGGAAACTCTTTGGTGCCCCCTGCAGGAACGGCAGGCAAACCTGTCCCTGGATACAATGGTGAGAATTACCAGTGATGTAGAAAAGTGCTTTTTTGGACAAAGTACCACCCCTCATCACACCAGAGCATTCTAGAACCATCATCTCATGATAACTACAGAAAATCCCAATATCAAACATGACACACATATACAGATACATAAACACACAGATAATAAGTGACTTTTTATTTATATAGCCTCTTCAAGTGCCTTACAGTGCACTTTATTAGAAACACCTAGAAACTTATATGTGCACTCCCTAGCCACTTGATTAGAAACACCTACCTTATACTTCCATTCACTGGCTACTTTAGTAGAAACACCTGCCTTATACTTGCACTCACTGGCTACACTGGCCACTGGCAATATAACATTCACGCTCAAACAGACATGCATACACGCACACAGATGTGCAGGCAGGTGTGTTGTGGCTCCATTGTTTTACAGACTGTTTCAGATTCTACTGTTTTAGTTCACTGCAGTCCACTGATGATTTCTGCATACGTAAAAGGATTAGATGTAAACAAAGTCATTCACAAGGAGTGTATTGACTGAGTTAGAATTGTTCACAGTGGTGGTGATAGGAACCAGATGTCTGGAAGTTTAATGCCTGAAAGTTATTATATGACATGGTTATGAATATATACTGCCAAGTTTATTTACATGTGAACAGCTGAGTAATGCAGCAGTTTTGAATATTTGGTGGAATTCCCCTTTAATAAACTGTGCAAAAGAGTATCCTGTACATCCTGTATTAGGTTTTTTGAAGCTGATTGTTTTTTTGCCTTTCACATAGTGATAGTGATTGATGATGAAATGCAACCTGTGAAGCCAAGGACGCTGGGAAATATTGTAGTAAAGTAAGTTTCTTTCTTTCTTTCTTTCTCTCTCTCTCTCTCTCTTTCTATGTCTCTCTCTCTCTCTCTCTCTCTCTCTCTCTCTCTCACACACACACACACAGTAGTCTGTTTCTGTGGTGCTCTATGGTCAGGCTATTCCCACTCAGTTTCTCAAGAACTCTGACTCCACTGAGCTGTAGTTCCATGACATCGTGTTAACATGGCTGCGCCCACAGAATAAAATAATAGTAGCATGTTTTATTTCTTTAGGCAGCATTTTCAGTTCATGTTTGTGTATAATATGCTGTTTATGTATGACAACACTATATATAGAGGGATACTTGGATCATTGCAAGCTTAGTAAAGTAAAAATGCATGACTAAGTGAAAACAAAACAAAAAAAATGACATAAATTACATAGTTACATAGAAATAAATCACTAGATCGCTATTAAATAAACTACCAATAAAATAATCTTAAAAATCAAAAGAATTTAAGTTACAATTAAATTGATTAGAAATGTGTGTGTGTGTGTGTGTATGTTAAATGGTGGTGTTTTATTTCTTGACTCTTCTCTAAAAGAGTGCGTAAGTTAGAAATGGACTTTCAAAACATTTTTCTGAGTGTAATTCTCTGAAACCTGATCTGGATTTATTCACACTTTAAACCATTTAGGGCATCATTTTACTGCTCTGCAGTTCTGTATATTTATGTAGCTCTACAGTCTCATCATATCAGTCCTGAGGGAGAATATGCTGTGACTTGTCCTTTATTTCTCTTTTTTTACTTTGACTTCTCAGAAGTGTAGTTTTATCAAGCAGATCTTGTCACTGAAAACACATCCACATCTTCAGTTATGTGTGTTCAGTGTGAGATTAAGTGCAGTCAGTGTTTCTGAAGGCTCGGAGTTTTTAGGTGAAACAATGAAAACAATATAAAAATGCAATATAAAAATTTCTTTCTTTATTTCTCTCTCTCCTGTACTCTGTCAGTTTTCTTCTCTTTTTTATTTCTTGATTCTGTAAAGCTGCCTTGTGATGCCTGTTGTAAAAAGTAATATACAAATTTATCGGAATTAAACCAAGCTTGATTGATTTATATTTCTCCCTCTCTTTTCTCTCTCTCTCCCATTTCTTTCTCTCTTTCTTACTCTATCTCTCTTCCTGCTTTCTTCTTGCTCTCTTTCTTCTTGCTCTCTCTCTTCCTCTCTGTCTCTCTCTTTCTAACTATATACAGTGCCCTCCACAAACATTTTCACCCCAGTAAACATGAGCAAAACAGGCTGTGAAAAACATTCAGTAACACTTTCTATGAATGTCACCTTTGTAAGCATCTATAAACACATTCATAACATGTTATAATGCATTCATATGGCATTATAAACATGGCTATAAATATTTATAAAAATGCATTACACGTTATAGCCATGTTTATTATGTATTATGAATTGTTAACATAATACATTAAAAGTACTGATCATAACAAATTATAGGAGCTCATAAGTCGTATTTGTCCGCTCTAAGTAAAGTGAAGCGTACTGTACTAAAGCCTCCTCCAGTGGGCACATTAAGTAATTAAGTAATAAACACAGTAAAGCACATTACAGGCTTCAAATGTCAGAGTTTAAACTAGAGCTGCCATCAGTGTTTTACCCAACGTGGGAAAGTCAATGTACACCACCGTTAGCTTGGCACTAACTTAACACTGCATAACCAGTAGAATGCTAGCAGAAATTAGCATTACTGTAGTGCAGTGTAGTGATGTTACAGAGTGAAGGTTTCTAGTGTTTGATGTTAGAACCAGTGAGGGAACAAATTACAATGACAGCACCTCTCCCTCTCCAGGCCTTCACTCCACAGTGACTTCACGCTCCTTGTGATGTCAGAGGGGGTTCAGAGGAGGGGCTGATGGGTAAAGTGAGAGCGCTGGTTATGAAAAGCACATTCTAGCAGTAATTCTATGCTGGACAGCCTGTTTGGAGCAACTGAATATTCAGGACTGAAGTCACGAAGATGCAGCTCTAACAGCACCAGCGCTGAGAAATAAAATACTGGAAATCTCAGGGCGTAAATAAACTTTATATATGTCTTTACGCTCTCCAAGCTGGGACCGACTTCTTTGGCACTGACAGTATAACGTTATTAACACTACTTATAATGCGTAATTCAGTGTAATTCATTTTTATAAATATTTATAACCATGTTTATAATGCCATATGAATGCATTATAATATGTTATAAATGTATTTATGGATGCTTACAAAGGTGTAACGGGTTTTGCAATTTTAATGTTATTATTGCTAGAACCTTAGATAAGAGTGTAAGGTAACCCGGATTTATTTGAAGTCTACAGACCAGGGCAAGAGAGAGATGCTCGCACCAAGGATGCTTCAGAAAAGGGAATTTATTGGCTAAATATCAAACTACTTTTGGACTACATTCAATGATAAACAATAGAAAATAAAACAAGAAAACAAAACAAAACAAAAGTGATAGTAAAGAAAGTCAAAAAGACAAAATAGCTCGAGTAAAGTGATTCACGGCTAAATGGTATGAGGCAGTGTGGTTTGGGGAGTCGCTTGGGAGAGCCTCTAGAGAATTAACCTAAGTATGGACGGGAATAACTATATGGCTGGATGTACCTATTAAAAGTTCTCTTATTAAATAAATTGGCGTCAGGGCCCTGACTGCAAATTGATGGAACCAGCTTACATTGGAGTCGGGGGCTGACTTCAGGCGGGGTCGTCTCAGGACGGACTCGATCGAAGGCTGGAGCTCACGCGGTGGTTCCTCTCCTCGCTGGCCGTGGATGCTGCATCTCCGTGCGGGCACGCGCCTTCCCGTCAGTGATTGGGCGGAGGCGTCTCGTGGCCGTCTGACGGTGGAGCTTGGGCAGCCTTTCGATGGTCGATCTGTTCACAGATCAGTGCGTGGCTCTGGGTGCGATGCTGGGTCTCCGTGGCGTCAGAACCGCTCCCACTCCGCTGGCGAGGTTCAGGTTGCAATCAGGGTTCTGAGGCTGGTGATACTAATTTAACTAACTACCTCTCTTTAGCAGAATCGAAAGTTATGGGTATATCCTCCCTGGCCAGACAAGAAACATCCACCTTCCTTCTCTGAGGGTGGCTTAAACTTAAGGTGTGTAGACAAACAGGCAAGTTACAAAACAAACAAAGGGTTCAGATCTGACAATTTAGCGTTCTAATACTTCTGACCTGTCTTTCTGACCAAGGCTGGCACAAACTTAGAAATCTAGCTATCCTCTTGTTGAGAACACAGGACTCTGAACTACTGAAATTTGCGGTGCACTCTGGTTTTGCTCGGCTGGAGGCCCTACCCTTTGGAGGTGGAGCGGTTCTCCTCACCTAAGGTTAACTAGCTACCCATTGTTTCCAACTCTGATTGGTTGTGCATAATATTAGGAATGCCTTCCCCAGAATCACTGCCTTCTTTGTTTCAGCCAGTTTAAACAAAGAAAAAGAAACATTTCTATATCATCAAATTGGTTTAACTTTCAAAATCAAGGAATGAAAAACTAGGATATTCAGGCATGTTTCTAAGAGAGAGTTTAACCCTTGTTACCTGATACACAATACATGTTAAAGAACAAAGGTAATATTTACCTATAATATCTGAATATGACCCAATGCATGAAGAAATAAAATCGACAACAAAAGGAAAGGAACAAAGGAAGAAAAGAAAACCACATTCAGGATACATATTGGTCAATGGTCTAAACTCATAGCAATTAAATGGTTGGGTCTGTCTGTTATCAAAGTTATACACTACGTATTTCTAGCACTTAATAGTAGAAAGAGATACAGGTAATATTTAAGTAATACACAACAATAAGATTAATAAAACAAGTAGTATTGCTTACAGATTATATAAATGTTGATAATCAAGCAGACAAAGCAAGAAGTTTCTTGGGTTCCTTATAAGCACATGTCCTTACGGTGGTGATGTGGTAATTCTTGTTTTCACCCCTTGGGGGTGCTGTGGGTCCATGCTTGAGATCTTCAGGGAATTTAGAAAGTTTAAATTTTGCAGTCCAGATTGTCGTATCAGTTCCGTTCTTGGTATGTCTAGTTTAGTTAAAGAGTTCTAACGAATGGTTGCAGTTTGGAGTGGACATATACCTTAGAAATGTACTTTCTGTTACTTAAAGATAAAGTTGTCCACAGGACTTTGGAGAGCCATGTGGCCAATTCCAGGGAGGTGTTCTGTTGCCCGCTGGGTCGAGGGAGAGGGGTGCTGGTTCTTGATTCAGCCGTAAATTTGACTGAGTTTGGGGTTGGGAATGTAAAGTCGACAGATTTACATTTTCAGTTCCAGACTTGCTGGAGCCAAAAGGCCCTTAACTTTTAGGTTGTTGATAAGTTAGGTAAACGCTCAATGTGAAGTAAAGTTTCAGCCAGTGTTCGCTACAAAGGTGACATTCATAGAAAGTGTTACCAAACATTCTTTATTGCTTATCCTTTTGAGCTTTATTCAAAATATTAACAAGATACTAGATAAAGTCTGTGATACCATGTACCCGAATAAATTGTCCAGGGCCTTTGAAAGAAAAACAGCCCCACAGCATCACGGATCCACCACCATACTTCACAGTGGGGATGAGGTACTTGGCTGCATGGCTGTCTTTGTGTACATGCCAAAGTCACTTCTGGTGTTTGTTGCCAAAAACCTCTATTTTGGTCTCATCTGACCGTAGAACATGAAAGTTACAGTAAAGTTTTTGCAAACTGTAGGAGCTTGAGTTTGTTGGTCTTTTAAACAGCAGATGCTTTCTTCTGGCAACCCCCTCAAACACCTTGCGGTTATATAGGTGCTGTTTGATTGTGGTTTGGGAGAAGTTCTGACCCCGTGATCTAACTAACGTGTACAATTCCCAATCTGTGATCCATGAAGATTCATTGTCCACTTGAACCATCCTCCTCGCTGTGCGTTTGGTCAGTGTAAACGTACGTCCTTTTCCTGGCAGATTCTTAACGCTTCTAGTTGTTTTAAACTTCTTAATTATTGCCTTGATAGTGAAAATGGGCATTTTTCAATAATTTGATATTTTCTTGTAGCCGTTTCCGAAGTTGTGCAGCTCAACAACCTTTTGTCGCACATCATTACTGTCTTCTCTGGTCTTTTTCATGGTGATGAATGACTGAGGAAATATGGCCTCTGTTTCATCTCATATATATTCCCCAGTGAAACAGCAAATCATGGCTGACCATCTCATTGTTCCTGATCACTCAGGTGCACTTAAAAACATAACATATGAATGGGAATATGAAGGGGAATATACTTCAGTTAGATTCACTCTTAAGAATATCTAGGGGTGCCAACAATTCAGGCACACATAGATTTAAGAAAAATATAAATTTCAATGACAAGATTTAGTTTTTTCTTTCAATCACTTACACCTTGAATGAAGTTTAGATTTTTGTTGATATTCTGAATGAAAGAATAAAAGTATAAGTAATTAAGAATATTTTCTGCAGCTCATTTTGCTCATGATTGCCAGTACTTATGGAGGGCACTGTATCTTATTATATTAGAAACTAGCTGGTGGTATATTATTGATGTACTGACTTTCATTCTCTCTTTCTCTCTTTCTTTCTGTTTCAGGCTTCCTCTCCCTCCTGGTGCTGCACTGTCTCTCTGGCAGAATCCAAAACTCTTTGAGGAACTCTACTTCACAAAGTTTCCTGTAAGAGCACAAAATGCTATCATGTTGTGTCTCTTGTGAGTAGTTACGATTCCGGCTAGCCCAAACAGCATTTTACAGGCTTCAAATACTTATAGTTATTTCCAAGCAAGCGCTCAAGCAGTCATTCTTAAATTCACCCTTAATTCAATATTTACATTTCATAATCAACCATAACTACAAGTATGTCTGTTACTGCAGTTCAAAATGCATCCAGTAGGTGGCAACAATGCATTAATAGTCAGGCTGAAGCCCAGCTGCTTGTGCTCTGTGTTACTGTAATACAATCTGCAGTCATAGCATTATTGTTCAAATACAGCTTACTGCGTCATTTGTATGGATGAATTAGAATTATTTGTTACCAGTACAATTTAGTTCATTTAGTTTATTAATTTAACGTCTTTTGTTGAGTTATTTTATTTGGCTAGTTTGCCATTTTTAACATGAAAAGCAGCAAAGCGTTTCCTCATCTATTGCCAAGAACAGGTTTGAGGCTCTGAGCTCCCTGATTTAGCAGCACCCACAGCAGAGCCTGAGCAACACTATACTTTCATATTCGAATGATTTATCAAACTTGTTCTGCCTCCATCGTATACCAGCCTCTTCTCACATAAAGTGCTCCTATTATTTCTGAGGCATCTCTGCTTTTTTAGCTTCTATGGCCATGTGGGAAGCGGTGCAGTTTGTTTAAGTGCCTTTGCTGATGAAACGTTGTCAACATATATTTCCCATAAGTTTGGTACAATGTTTTTTCACTTCTCATTAAACCTATCATGTTTCTTTAGAACACCCAAAAATAATCAATTAAATACAAATTCTAATATTATTTAAATTAGGATTTTGTCCCGCAGACTTTTAAAAAAGGTATTAATACACAGTTGGTACACAGTAATCAAATTCTTTCTGCTCTAACACACCTGATTCAGCTCATAAGGGCAGGATAATTACACTGATGAGTTTTTAATTGAATATTTGTTCAGCCAGTGGTTTAATCTGCCTGATTCAATATGGATGGAGCTTTAAATGGAGCGCTGCCTTAATTTAATTCACTTTTACTGATAGAATTAATCCAGTTCAATTACTGCTGAAAGAAATCAGATGTAGGGTGTGTGTGTGTGTGTGTGTGTGTGTGTTGTGCTGTGTTGACAAGATTAAAGATGATAATGAATGTCAAACTAACATAATGTCACCTTTTCTGTGGAATAGTTTTAGTGTTTTGGAATAAAAGCACTTTTGCAAGCTTATAAAATGGATAGATCTGGTCCTATTGGCATCTGTATTGATGCACCAAGAATAAGAACACCCCTTACCTGTGATAAGATCAATGTAAAGCACAACCTCTCATGGCTTATTGCTTTATTAAGCAATTGGGCCTTATAACGTGAATATAATCTGAAGTAGTGTAAAGGTATTTGGTATGATATCTCTTCTGTTCCATCCTGTTCCACAAATTATGATGAAAAATGAGCTCTGTGGTTATAAAGCTGCCGTCATCCTGCAACCAAATACAGCACAGATGCTCAGAAACAGCCAGAAATAATAGAGATAAGTCTGAACTTCTGCCGTCTCACCTACTGTTTTCCCATCACTGTTCATATTTAGTGGAGAGGCAGTGAATCAAGTGTGTTATTTAAAGTGCCTTGTGCCGCCTAGTGGTGGACACTGGCGTAACACTACCTTTGCCTTCATTACAACCAGTAGACATCTAATCAAAGTTTTGGAGTACTTTTTATTATTGTAGTATTCTTTAAACAGATGAACCACACCAGGTTCATAGAAGTAGATTAGATTTGTGGATTCCATGCTATTGGCTAAATATGGGCTCTTGCACCTACACTTTTTCTTTTGTTTCTTTCTTTCTCTCTCACTCTCTGACAGGGTTATTATGACACTATGGATGCAGGTTATGCAGACGAGGAGGGATTTTTGTACATCATGTCGCGCTCTGATGATGTGATAAACGTGGCGGGTCACAGGCTGTCATCTGGAGCTCTAGAAGAGGTGAGAGAGAGGGGGGGGCAGTGGATCTCCTGAATAAAGTGATATTAAAGTGATAAAGTGAGATCTTTGGTGATGACATGTGTGTGCGTGTGTGTGTTGTACAGTCAGTGCTGCAGCACCCCAGTGTGGTAGACTGTGCTGTTGTGGGTCTGGAGGATTCTCTGAAAGGACACGTGCCACTCGCCCTGTGTGTGCTGCGAAATGGTGAGAGAGAGAGATAAATAGAAAAGATGAAGTGGGCATACATATATTTTCTTTCAGTCATTTCCGTAAGCATTGGTACGGCAAGCCCTACTAAATTCATCTGTTTTGCTACACACTGAAGACGTTTGAGTTATCTCCTGATATTTACATCTAGGAACAGCTTAGAAAATCAGACCACCCATTTTTTAGGTGAGAAGAAAGTACAGGAACAGGTAGTTTTAAAGGAAATTAAAGTAACACTTAATATTGGTTGCATATCCTTTGCTTGCTTTTCCAGGGTTTTACTGCAGCTTCTTTCAGTTGTTTGCTTTGGGAGGCTTCTCCCTTCAGTTTCCTCTTCAGGAGGTAAATAGCATGTTCTGGGTTAAGATAGCTGAGTTATAATCTGGTGAGTGACTGGGCCACTTCATTTTTTCCCCTGATGAAGTCCTTTGCTGTGCTAGCAGTGTGTTTTGGGTCATTGTCTTGCTGCATGATGAAGCTCCTCCTGATTAGATTGGATGCATTTCTCTGTAAATTGCAGAACAGTTAGAATGTTTCTGCAGACCTCTGAATTCATTCTGATGCCACCATCATGAGTTACATCATCAATAAAGATTAGTGAGCCTGTTCCAGAAGCAGCCATGCAAACCCAAGCCATGACACTACCTCCACCGTGCTTGACCCAAGAACTTGTGTGTTGTGGATCATATGCAGATCCTTTCTTTCTTCACATTTTGGCCTTTCCGTCGTTTTGCTAGTGGATAATCTTCGTCTCGTCAGTTCATAAAACTTTTGTGGCTCATTCTTTGCAAATTCCAGTCTGGCCTTCTGATTCTTACTGCTGATGAGTGGTTTGTATCTTGTTTTATGGCCTCTATAAGTCTTCTTTGAATGGTAGATTGTGATGAGTGGATCAGTGCTGCTGGAGTTGTAAACACTGTGTCCACTCACTGTCCACTCTATTAGACACTCCTACCTTGTTGGTTCACCTTGTAGATGTAAAGTCTGTTGCTACACAGTTTGTGTTAGTCATCCCATGTTCAGTCCCTTCTGGGGTGGGCATGGAAGATGAGAGGGGGCAGGGAGAGAAGATGGAAGAATGGAGAAAGACAATTTGTTTAACTGATTTAATGAATTCAGTTGAACGGTTTGTGGTGATAATCAGAGGTGTGTGTCCCTCAGAGAAAATCTGAGGACTGGACAAAAAGAATAATATGGAGAAAGAAAACAGGCTTACAGACTCAGTTTTAGATGTTACATATAGATAAACGGAATATAATGGTACTGTGATACTAACGGTGCTCATGACAACGGTGATTTAAAGTGATGCATTTACAAAGACACCTTACTTGTATGTTTTTCATCTAATCTCTTATGTAGTTGATCAGCCAAGACACGTTTGGTGTCTGAGGTTTGCTTCTTTAGTTTTACACTGGAGCTACAAGATTAATGTTGTTAACGAGTAATGAATGCTTACTAGCATGCCAGACTGCATGCCTTATTAATCACTCACTTTTCTCAAACCAAGTTATTAAGTAATCTCAGTTATTAAGAAGACTTCTTTATATGTTTCTGGCACAAAATGACAAGTGAAAAAAGTATATTACACGGTCATTTTAAAGCCTTATTTTTTCTATAAAACTGGTTGTATGTCCAGTCTGTTTAATCTGTATGTTTGCTTTTGGTGTCTTTTTCTGCGTGTGTGTGTGTGTGTGTGTGTGTGCGTGCGTCAGACTATCAGCAGAATCCTGATGCGCTGACGAAGCAGCTGGTTAAGGTGGTGAGGGACACCATTGGGCCTGTGGCAGCTTTCCGGAAGGTTCTGTTTGTCAAAGCTCTGCCCAAAACCCGCTCAGGAAAAATCCCTCGCTCTTCTCTCGCTAATCTGGTTAACGGCAAACCTTACAAGGTACAGTAAAGTATTCAAACTCACTGTCTAAAAGTGTATATTCTGAAACAAAATGGGAAGCTGATGAGAATGTTTTTCAGACGGCCTTTAGAAAGCATTACTTTTATCTCTTACAAATCTAGAGTTATTATTGTGATTTTGTTGTGTGTAAATGCTTTAGTTGAACAGTCACTTAATCACATGTACAGTCAGTCTACATTCTGTACTGACAGGTTGGAGTCTGCACTTCTGACTTTTTTCTAAATTGGTTCAATCTAACACAGCAAAAATGCAAAGGATGTTTTTTCCTTCTTCAAAGCTGTTTACACAACTGTACCTTTTCATCAAACTTAAATCGTAATATCTCCTCTTCTTACAAACACTAATGTGGTATGAAGTAATGGTTTAGAATCTTCACTTTCCTCAGTTTCTCCACTTGTTTCAAAGAGCTACGAGTGAGAAGTAATAAATATTGAATTACAGCATGTTTTTGTCACTGTCAGTGATAACTTTTCATTTTTCTACATGATTTAAGCACAACAGCTGCCCTTTGCATTGTGTGGCCATAGAAATGCTCCAGAATTACTTGGAATAAAATCTCTTTACATTCACTTAGAATGTTTTGCCCTCTACTGTTAACGTTTTGGAAATAAAAATTCTAAGAAGTGAACAGGACGTTTTGTTACAGTGCCTTTAAGACTGATATATGTAAATGAGCTCTGTTCTAATTGGTGAATGGGCGTGGTTAAACTGCTGTAGGATGGACGGCAGATGTGTCTAAATGTGCTGGTTTTTGTGGCAATTTAAAATGGGCAGCTTGTTTTCTGTCCATGGACATGTACTAGGAAGTGAACATATTGAAACTTTAACAATGTTTATATACTATATCAAATTCTTTTATTTCCAAAATGTGAGGAAAATTTGATTTGCTGTCATATGAACAATTAAGTGTGGTGGATATTTTTTTTCGACATGTTTAATTATTGCTTTTTTACCCTGTGTTTTACAGATTACTCCAACTATCGAAGATCCTGAAGTGTTCAAAGACCTTGAGAAGGCCGTGAAGGAGAATCTGAGAAGAACTGGATAATCATACACACGTACACACACACACACAAACACACACGCGCACACACCACCTGTAGCCTTGTTACTCCTCAAGCCCACTGCGATCTAAATTTAGCATAATGACTACCAGAAATGTGTTTTGTTGAACCAGGATAATGCAGAAATTCGACATAATCCTGCAGGTAATCATATAACAATGTTGTATCCCCATTTGACACAGCAGATTTCATAACCTACAATAACAAATACAGATCTATCCTGAAGTCACCTGCAAGCAGTATTATATCCTGAAGATGCATCTTCAGGATGGGTAGGAAATTTGTGTTCAGTTGAACACAGTGGATGTGTTGTATTGCATTATCAGATCCAGAGGAGTGTGCAAGCAATGTTACATATACATTTGTGCAATGAGCGGATATTTTATAGTCAAATGTTTGACGTTACTTTTTATTGACAATGAAAACTTCTTTGATCACCACATAGTTTTGACCAAAATACAATCAGTAATAAATAAAAAAATGGACACAAAATAAAATGATTCTCTGTACGTGCAAAACAAGGATGTATAAACTCTGCGATCCGCTTTGTGGCAGAAATAACTCAAAGACAGGAAAGGAGGTCTGTACAAGAGGTTACCCCGGCAACTTCTACAGAAAATAGTTCAACAGTTTTACACCAAAATAAGTCACAGCAAGCAACAGGTTTTGTCTTTTTAAAAGTTTAGTCTGGACTTCAACAAGTTGATATACACTCTACGTTCACTAGGAGCTAAGCCTGTCTTGTAGTTATTTCTCCTACGAGTGTTGAAGAAGGGGGTTTGGCTCGTATTGAGATGAGGATTATTAGATTAGTGGTGATGTTTTGAGTGAACTCTTGCAGGGTTCTTGTAGAGTGATGATGAGATTTTGAGACCGAAAGTGAGTTTACTAGTGCAAGGCAAAATCTGAAATGACTCTATATTTGGCTTACAGGGCACGAGTCTGTTGATGTCACTTTGTGGCTGTGTCTCAGTACATGTGAAACCTGACACGAAGGCTGTCTAAAGCCCTATTGGAACTGCATTAGTCTGACCTGGGGAGGTGCTGTAATCTGAGTGATTGCCAATGTCCTCTGTGATTTTAATCCGCTACGAATCTGCAATGTCTGTAGTTTTTACAAGTCTGCTAAGTAATAATTACGTTCTGTTTGCTCCCTTGATAATAGTAGTCAAATCACCAGTAACCTGCACTTCTTTTTGGTGCCTGAAGACAAGACTAACCGCTAAAATGGGGCTTGACTTGGCACAAGTTCAAAACAGGACTACTGTAATGTTTGTACAGTTCATGTACTGAAATGTAACATTTTTGATGATGGCCCAATTAGAATAATGCAATATTTTATACGTACATCTCTGTAAGCAAAGTCACTTCTGTCTGGGGGGTATTTGTTAAGTTGTTGAGTCCACTTGACTAGCTAACGCTGTTCTGTCTTGCAGCAACTGGAAGTTAGTTTTGTTTGCTTGCTTGTTTATTTGGACCTGCTTTTGTGCAATTTTAAACCTGTGAGGCTCAGGCTATGACGTTTTGATTTGGGCCATCTGGGGAATTTACATAGATACTTTATCATACAAATCAGCCAGTCAGTTTTTTTAAGTTTTTAATCCTTTAAATATGCTGCCTAGTGCCTACTGTTGTGTCTCATTTTGGTGAAATTTTAGGACAGCATCATATGTATCCATAATTTATAAGGCAATTCTAGCCCCCCGGGCTATCAGTTTAAAATGCACATAATGTGGTCTGTCTGTCATGAACTGACTGTCACGTTTTCACTTAATTCTGAAGTTCCACAAGTTGTCAGAAATTCCCAGTCTCGCTCTCAAAATATTTCTACACCACTTCCAAATATGGGGAAGAGTGCATGTTATCAGCGCAAGTCTCACTTTCATTATTATCAATCTTAATGTAGATAACAGCATCATTTTTTATGCATACACAACCTTCATACATGTGGCCCCTGGTGATGTAATCAATGCTTAACTGTGCCTAAATCCATTTTGATTAAAACCCTGCCTGCATGCACAGATGCCTATATAGGCAGCAAGGAGCAAGGCAGGTCACTGGGTATTGAGACAAACCCCCTGTGTAGAGCCAAATGAAGAGCCATTTAAAACTGAGCCCATCCTGAACCTGTGAATTGCTTGCAGTGCCGCCATTGGGGATCAGTGGTTTAGCCCGATGATGGGAAAAACACTTCCCACTTTTAGCAGCATCAGCCCTGTCATATTTAACCCTTTCAGGAGTGCGCGGCTGTGCCCAGAAGAACGGAACGCTGCATTAAAGAGAGTTCTATTTATGATGCCACAATGGTGTCTAAGAAATTCTAACATATTCTACATTCTAGAACCACTTTCAAAATTCTAGAACTGCACATTCCAAGTAAACACAGTCTCTCTCCGAAGGGTTCAGCTGCGGTGTATCCGATGAAGAAGGTATGTTCTCCTGTGTCTGATGGGAACCAGCAGAGCATGAGGGACCTCGACACTCTCATCCACATAATGGCAAGAAAACAAAATAAAAAACAAAACAGCATGTATTCCTCTTTCAGTCCAACAGCAGCACAGTTTAAACCAGTGCTTCTCCACTCCAGTCCTGGGTTGCCTTTGCATTGCACAGGTTTATGTTTTCCCTCTTCTAACATGCCATATTTGAGCTAACGGCTCATTATTATGTGGAATAGGTCGCACCGGAGCAGGAAAAATACTAAAACCTTGTAGCACAGGCTTCCCGCCAAACCAGAGGTGAGAAACAAAGCCATGACATTAAGAGACGAAATCTGCACAAAGTCTGAATATGTTCTCATATTATTATTTTTTTCTCCTTCTTCTTTTTATACAGACATGTTTATAGATATATAAAAAACAGTGTATTTATATTCATTTACAGCTAAACCTGCACATCCCCTGTAGAAGAGCGGCACTGCAGGCGCACTGAAGTACAAGGGCCATGTAAAAGGTAGAAAGGGCAGGAGTGAAGTAGCACCTGGACACGGTGCCTGGGTTGTGGCCTTGGCTTGTTTACGTAGACGGTGGGGGGAAGGGGGGGGTAACTGGCAAACCCCCGCCCCCTTTTGCCCCTCTCCCTTGGAGCGACGTTTGTTCTCTTGGCAGTGTGACTCAGCAGAATTCTCTTCCAGGCCCAGGGACCTTTCCCTCAAAATCATAAGACTCCTCTAGAAAAGACATCTGAAACAGAGCGGTGTGAGTGAAAGCCATAGTTCAGCAGAAATTTACATAACTTTCCCCCTTAACCCAGAAGACACGATGGGTGTCTGAAGTTTGCATCTTTAGTTTTACACTCGAGTTAACAACTCGACACTGTTCTGAGACGTTTGTGATTCAGGCATGCACTGTGCTAATTGGTAGGGTTTAAACTTGCATAATTTTGTAGCTACGTTAGCCTTGTAGCTCCAGTGTACAACGCAAACTTCAGAATTAAAACTGTGTGTGTGTGTGTGAGAGAGAGAGACTCACAGTTGTGTGTCCTCCCTCTCTCAGCATGAGTAGGTCCTCACAGTGGAACTGTCCAGCCGCTGCACTGCTGATGGCCCAACTGCAGGGGGTGACAGAGAAACCCACTGAGCAACATCTCACTGTGCCATTGGAGTAGGGATGGGCATGATTATTTGAATATGCAGATCCAAACTCATTCTTGTTTATGGTTGGTTACTCAGGTATTTCAGAATGTTTTGTTCAGAATGAAAAAAATGAAATAAATCCAAAATTATCTTGGAGTGTCTATATGATGATATATGTATAATGTAAAGCTGTGTGTGATATTCACCGCGACCCAGAAGGATAAGCGGTTTAGATGATGTATCTATGTATGTATGTATGTGTGTGATATTGTTCTGTACGTCAGCTATTAGTGTGTTAAATCACACACACTTAAAACGAACTAAATTAATAAATGTAAAATGAGCCCACACAATCAGGTACAGATCACCTCATGCTGTGTTTACATGTTGGTGGTAGACAGTTGACGGCAAAAAGAACATTCCTTTGTTTTTAGTTGGGCCGGAGTATAAATTCTGGTACCTCTGGTGGCAGTGTCCCAATCACCGCAACAACATGTGGAACATCCCACCAGACGTTTTCCTAACTTTTGCCACAGCGGTGGAATAAACCAGACGTTGATTTTCCTGGGAGCCGTGGATGGCAAATTTCCAGGCAAACCCAGTGCACAAAGAAATTAGAAGAGTTTTGAACGTCCTGTTTTTTTTTCCCACCTTAAACAATATATGCTGCTAAAGCTGTACTCTGATCATCCATTTTCGCCAGTAACAGTGTCACCAACGTTTGTGTGTCTTTATGCCACCATTTATCGCGTAGCACTATGAGCCTGTTTACACCTTACATTCATGTTTCGTGTCGGATTGCCTCTGGAAAAACTTTGACTGGATTTCATTTACACAAAAATATGTCCCCAGTATGTCCAGATGAGATTCGAGTGTACTTTTCCCACATAAAAACACATCAACACATTTCTGTTTTGTTTACTCTTTTCTCCGTTTTGATAGAGTCAACGAGCTTGGCTTTCATCGACCTGGGATGCATTAAGGCTCTTTGTTTGGGGATAATTCCAGCCTCAGATTGTAATCCTGTTATGGTGGGTCACACCTGGCTTTTCATGCAGTCAAGTGAAATCCGAACATGATCCGATTACCGAAAACGCATGTTAATGCAAGGTGTAAACAGGCCAGTGAGATACGGAATGATGGTTTTTTCAATGGCAACATGTAAACAGCATTAAGCTAGCTGCGCACAGTAAGTAAATGTTGAATTTTGAGAGTTTTGTGGTAAATTCATTCTAATCTCAATTACAGGCTTTATAAATGTGTAGAGCATGACACAACCTAAACAAACAAAATAACTTTACAGATTGGTTTCCCAGATATGGATTAAGCCTCGTCCTGGACTAACTAGCATTATAAATGGAGATTCTCCATTAAAAAGGAAGGTACAGTCCAGGGCTAGACTTGATACTCGTCTGAGAAAGTATTAGTGCAAGTTCAAGGTTTATATTTTTATACAAACAAGTCAGTAATCCAAAACACACTTATGTGTGTTTTACGGTGGATCTGGACAACTATCTGACTGAAAATTTACACATAACGCTGTTATGGGAATACAGGAAGATGACCATAAATACGCTTTACTTGAACCTGTTTAACACAAAATGTCCACGTAACATTCGTTAGATTGTGCCTTGCTTTCCACTACTATTTATTAAAATCTGCAGATATTCAAATAAGAAATTGGTTAAAATGCCCATCCCTGTTCTGGGGTCATGTACATGAAGTGCATCATCAACATATCTCTGCCATTCGTCTTATCACTCTCATGGACACACACACTACTATTTAGAGTCAGCACACTTCCACACAAACACATGGTTAGTCTGAGCATCACATAACCAGTGAAAAAGCAGAGAGACACGATTCTTCAGTCAGAATCCAGAGACACGTAGGCATCCTTCTGCTGGACGCTAGCTTCTAAACAGGGGCTACAGATAGAACCAGCACAGGAAGGCATGTCCAGTTACACTGGGGTTAAGCATTAAAGGTGAACGCTGGCCAGAACCTGCCTTCTCATCTACAATGAGCATCAAAAGTTTGAGGACACCTAGCTTCTGAAAATGTGTTTGATAAATGACCATACTTTTTTGTCAGTTTTAAATAATTGTTTTCTAAGCAGTCTTTCTGTATGAATGAAAACAATATGTGTAAATATTTGTGCCAGTATTAATGACACTCATTCCCTTGTAATGTCAGCGCTCATCAGCACTAAAAACTAAAATCAATTGAACTATATATATAATATTTGCTTTTAACAATAGTTTGAAAAAAACTGTCAAATCATTATTGAGGCAAAACCTGCTACAAATACCAAGAAAGACACTTTGATGAACACAAAGCTGAGTGTTGAAGATAAATATAAACAAAGCATCAGCACAGAGCTGCTTTACAGTGAAACTCTCAATTACTCAGAAAGGTCAAACTTTTGATGGGCAGTGTATGTGATGGGCAACCGTTTGAGCTGCTGTTTGAGTGGTAAAGAGACTTGGCTTGACTGAAAATGCAAATATAAAAAACACAAACATGTTAACCAGCAGCTTCTTCTAAGAATTTTGCCCATCTGTTCCTTTACATACAAAACAAATCATGGCAGATTTTAACCAGAGTGCACGTTTAATGCAGGGAAGGAGGAACGTTCATCTCACGTGACATAACATATAAACACATTTAGTTTAGGACATATATCTCCAACTCTGTTCCTCGAGAAAGCCATATGTTTTAAGTTATTAGGCAAACTGAGAAATCGTCCTTTACTAAATACTCACAGCTCTGTTCCAATACAGTCTAGCTGAGGAAGTCTAAATATATGAGAAGCTGAATTTCACGTTAAACTGTGTTTTGGACCACACTGCTGTTAGTTTTCTCAAAAGAAGAGCTGTTGGAGATGCCTAGTTTAGTTTAATCTGGGATCTGGGTATAACTGTTTCAAAGATATGTTTTCTGCTAAAGCCTCTGTAGTTATTATGACCTGCAAGTCTAATGAAAAATTAAAGGCAAAATCTCTACTGAATTCATGCAAATTTGGAAAAAAATATCAAAACTATGCTTTAAACAGCTTTGCGGTTATGATTTTTAATTCAACAAATACTGGTTTCTGACATCTAAAATACTAAGTAGGTATGAATACAACACTAAGAATCATTCTATCAAATACATTATTCATTTCTGCTGGAAAATTTTAAGGCTACACTGTTTGAGCCTATATTTTTATCAAAGGCATTAATCTTAGAGTTAAGACAGCTACATTCCATTAACATATATAAGCTCCCCAGACAAAAATTAGGGTTATTAAGGTGGTAGTAACTTTAGGCTCCTGCAGATGGCGTTAAAGAGGATGGGCTATAAACACCTGCAGGGTGTGCGACAAGATTCATAGATTGAGAAAAGGTGGTACAGTGCAGTGAATGTCTTGTTTGATGTGTGGAAAATAGGCTGCAAAGCAGAAGTTAATGATTGGCAAAAAGGAGTCATTTCATTTGGGCGTGCTAAAGGCTATAATGTAAAGGAAGTAGCTGAATTTGCAGGTGTATCAAAGCGTACAGTCATACGGGTCTACACAAAATTCTTGTCACAATTTTGGCCAAAAAACAAAACAGATGGATAGGGACCGCCAACGTGTTTCACAGCTTGTGAATAAAAATCGCTTCGCGTCCAGCCAAGAATTGCTTCTAGATGTCAACACAGTCAATAGTTCTGTTTGGTTTGGTATTCCTAAATCAGACGTTATGCCACGGAATCAGAATCTGCTTTGTGTTTTCTTTATGGTTAAAAAAATTATTCTGACTTCATTACAAATGAACACTAATGTTTAAACGTAAAAAAAAAAAACAAACAATAAAACTCTTCACTTTCTCTTAAGATCGTCTGCTGTATAAATCTTAGTATTGTATTCATACCTCTTGAAATGTAATCTCAGCCTAATCAGTGAGGAGTTGAATTCAACATTTAGGAGGTAATTTACAACTGAATATGGGCACACTTTAAAAATCATCCCTAAAACTATTTAGAACACAGTTTTGAAGTTTTGTATGTTTGCATGACTTAAATATACATTTTTGCTTGGATTCTTTCATAAAAATCCATCATGTGACCTGCCAGGCCCTAGATTGTTGGCATGGAATAACCCTGTAATTTCATAAGTCATGTTATTAAGCCCTCCACTGTAATTAAACAGTGCAGTACTACTACTAACCATTATTTGACATGATTCAGCACAGTGCAGCTCATTAATGTGATTTTATTTCAACTTTCTCATTGAGGAATTTAAAATAAAGTGAAATAGGCAAATTTTGAAAGTGCTTAGCTGAAAAGGTTGATTGAGTACAGTGAGACAAGGTATGGGGGGTATGAGGGGGTTCATAAACGCCACACGGTTTTGAGGGCTGCGTTATAGCTGACCTTGAAACCAGTCCAAATACAAGTCGTCTGGACTGTCATCCGTCACTTCATACAGAACTACATAGCAGCAGTTCAGAGAGAACAACATAAACACAGTCAACCCAGGGTGTGTATCTTGTCATGTACAGTGGCCCAAAAAATGTTTGGACGTGAGCCATACTGAAAAGTTCTTTTCCAGGCATTTTCCACACAAACAGTCTGCTACCCAGCAGCTGTTGTTCTAAAAGCATTACTAAACATTCACATTTTTGTTAAAGACGTAACCTGAAGAACTTCAATTGTAACAATTGTAACAATGTTTAAATTGTTACAGTGTCCAAATGTTTTTGGGGCCACTGTAAATTTGTATGTGTCCAGTAAAGTGTATGCATGGTGTATGTGTGTTGCGCCTCTGACAGCAGTGTGTGTTGGTGTACACACACTGGCGGTTGTCTGCAGGAGTGTACAGATTGTGTGTGTGTGTGTGTGTGTATGTGTATGTGTGCACGCACATGTGTGTGTGTATTACCCTCTGGTGGTAGTCTGCGGGAGTGTGCTGATGTGGCTGTAAGGCGGAATCCTGCTGGCAGCGTCTCTGCTGATCCGGGCATCATGCTGATCCCGTGGATGTCCCGGGGAGGAAACTGCCTTCTCCACGAGGGTCCCCGAAAATCCTGCTCATCAGTGCACACACACACACTTGAATTACTATACATGTCAGACCCAAGCACTGACCTAAAGGCAAATAACTAACATTCAATACTATTAAGTTGATAAATTAAACATTTCTCTGATATTGATAACATGCATTTGAGGTATTTTCAGCAAAATAATGATGGTGTTTTTTTCCTCAATCCGGTATAAGCAGCAAAGCTTCAGTCGTTAAACAACTGCTACTTCGGTACCTTAAGTGGTTATGTGCACCTTTTACTTGCTATATAGATAGAGAGAAGCAGTCTAGCCATTCAATTGCAACAGCACACACCAACGAAACAGTTAGCAAAGTTAGCTAGATAGATATTTTCAGTGTATTTTCAGAGAAAAGAGAAACAGGAGAAAGGAAATTAACACACCTCATCTAGACGTCTCTCTGTTCCCAGGGCCAGCAAGTTATTATATTCTCTCTCCAGGATCTGACGGGCCTGTGAAGGAAAAGGGTCTGGGTATTTAATGCAGAAGCTTCAATGCACCATGCTACTGATGCTTTGTGTGTGTGTGTGTGTGTACCTGAGTGTTTTGGTTGGGGATTTGCAGTAGTAAAGCCAGGCTGCTGTAGTCGAAGTTGTCATCCAGGGCGATCAGTGCTCCATGGACTCCGCTTTCCAGCAGGATGTTGGCGTAGTCACGGAGACCGATGCTCTGGACCCAGCGAATCACACGCTCATTACTCCACACCAGCACATCTGCACACATGCACACAGATAAGTTTACATCATGTAATCCACTATGCCTCGATACGCATTCAGTCGTATGTAAAAGTATGAGCATGCAGTATATGGGTCAATCACGACATGCATTTCTGATGTTCAAGTCCATTATTTTCCTGTACAATTATTTAATAATTTTATTACATTATTTCACAATACTTTCCTTTATTTAAATACATTTTCAGTGCATTGAAATAAAAATCATTTTAGACATGTACACCTCCCAAAGTCTAAAACTATTTCTAAATGAAATAATTTGCTTCATGTAACTGTCATGTAGTCACCAAGTTGCATTAAAGTTTCACTGTGTAAAGCCACCCTTACTATAAATCTCAGAATGTATACAAACACACAAACACATACACACCTCTCATCTCATGTTGGCTGCTCTCTCGTCGTCTCTCCAGCTCCTTGCGATCGTAGTTCAGCTTCTTCAGACACATTATTCCATATTGTAGACTTGTTCTGTTCAAACAGCACACAAGAAGCCACTAACACAGTGATCACCCTAAAGGGATCCACACTCACTGCAGTAAACTCCCTTCAAGTTTCAAGTTCGACACTTCATGCATTTTACTATAAAATTAAACCTACAACCTACAAACGAATCCAAAACATGAATTCTGACATCTGGTAAATTTGTTAGTTTATTATGTTACTAGCTTACAGAGATCAAAACGTTATTTTCAGTTAGTTTTGTTTATAATACAACAAGTCAGGGTGGAATAACCCTGTAATTTCATTGTTCACGTTATTAAGCCCTCCACGGGTGTGTGTATATATATATATATATATATATATATATATATATATATATATATATATATATACGCACCTCCGAGACATCAAGATAAACACAAGGAGGACATGCCTGCTGCATTACTATGTGTGGGGTTATTCTCTGATCATTTCATTATTATTAAGGTTCTTCCATGTGTTATTCAGTGTAGTTTACTTGGTTCAAGACAGTATTTATAACTGCCCCAATATTATAGGTATTTGAATTTTACCATTTTGAGGCGCAAAAATCTAAGATTACTTGAATGGAGCTGGTTATTAGGATTGTACCTGTGGAAACTCTTCACCATTTTCAAATGTTTAGAATTGTACCTGTGGAAGCTGTCCACCATTTTAAGGTGCACTCTGAGGTCCTTCTTGGTCAGGTGGTCGAGCATACGTGCGTCTACCAGGCATTCCATGAAGTAGCTGCGATACTGAGGTAGGCCGAGACTGGGCAGCCACTCGTTACCGATCCACTCGTGGTTCATATCCCCATACGCCAGTGTCTATGGCACATACATACACAGACAAACAGCATTTCAGATACAGCCCACTGCACACTCAGGACAAACTGCCATTAAAATTAATTTTATTGTAACAATCTAACAATTCTCATAGTGGAAGTTAATTTAACAAGATTTTAAGTAATTTTGTACCATTTCTATTTATCCATTCATCATGAAATTTTAACACAATGCAAAAGGTAACCACAAGTTTCTAATTAGGCAAGAACAGTTTAAAAAATTGAGGAACTTGCACCATCTTATTCTAGCAGTTATATGCCTTATAGAGTTTGAATTGTAGTGTTACTGTACATTTACACTGCTGCTCTACTACTGTTCACATAATTATGCACAACTCATCTTACATATAGCCAGTGATGTCAATGCACTGTAAGTGTGATTATTAAGCAGTTTCCAAAATGGCAAAACAAATTCCTGGACCGTACATGTACTGGTGGTGAACTAAATGATTCTGTTTCTGATTGTTTACTGTCCTGTATTTATTGTTTGTACACTTTGTTGTCTATACTTATTGTATCTATTGACTATCTGCTGCTTTTTTCTTTTAATTAACTATATTCCATTCCCTTCCATTCCAGTCCCTCAACAACTGGCTCATTCTGTAATGAATCAGACTCTTACCTGAGACCAGCTTCCCTCTTCTGACTCCGACTTCTGTGAGGGTCAACAAATGCAGTGTTAGTGCATAATTCACCACATACAAATTCTTATTTAAAACATGCATTAAAATACACATTTCCTAATAATTCCTGTTATATTTAATTTAGTGTGACAGTGTCACAGCTTTATAAGTTTGCATACTTTACTGTAGTACTTCACAGCTTATTATGCTAATATATGCTAACAGTTAATGTGTGTAGCCAGAGAATGCATTTTAATTATGACTTGAATTTGATGCCACGTTTTTTTATTTTTATTTAAGAAGTGCAGTCTTCAATATACATTGATACAAAAGGGAAAGTGAAAGTAAATATAATTATGTAGTGAACTACGCAATTATGTCATCTAAACTGAAGGTATAACAAAAATATAACAATAACTCTGGACATCTACAGGTTAAATTCTTGCATCACTGCTCTTAGTCTTTTTGTCCTCCCACAGCACCAGCCTGATGTATTACCAGTCTTGCTCACCTCTGAAAGTGTTGCTGTTGGCCGAGTAAAGTTGTACCAGTTTAGTTTTATTATGTTATTTTACAGAGACAGCACGCAATAAACAACATTTTGGGTAAATTAACAAACACACAAACGCTGGATGTAAAAATGCATCAAAGCACTGACACAATGAAACAGATAATGCTGAAGGTGGTAAGTGAACTGCATTGATTTTGGAATGATGACTTTTATTCCAACTGAGTATAATAATATTCATTTAGTACAAGCTATTTTTTTGGCCAACATAAATGTCCTATGATAGACATGAATGAGCACCTGGACTGGCTAAATGAAGACTAGTTTACGTTTCATAAAGAGGACAGGGCTGAGAGAAAAGGGAAAAAATGGAGAAATTCCAAAACTGACATGTCTTTAAGTTTAGTATAGGGGTTTGAGCTCCACTGTTCAGTATGTACACTCCAGGTTTGGTTGAGTGTCACTCTAAATGCATTCCATCAACTGAACTACATAAAGTGCCATTCTAGTCCTATCATTACGCCTCCCTCTCTCCCCCCTCTCTCTTTCGCTCTCTAACTGTCGCTTGTTTGCAGGCTTGTGTGCAGTTTTTCGGCTGCAGGGCAGGTGCACTCTGAAGCTGTGTCTCAAACCACATATACTGTACTAAACAGCATGTCAAATTATTACACCATCAATAGTACCATTATTAATTTGAACATGCTATTAAGTGCAGCAGTACTCAGAATGAGACCCAGTGCCTGTATGTAGGCACACAGGCTCTGTGTCTAATGCACTGGTTAGCTTACAGAAGAAGAAATTTGTAAAAATAAATGGCCTTTAAAGTACTCCCTACAAATCTCAAAGGTGACGAGATTATTATTTTTTCTCTTGAAAATCAGTCAAGTTCCAGCTCACTGTAAGGTTTTATCAGCGGGTCAGCTGCTGAGGAAGATGAGGAGCAGGAGTGCAGTGTGTTGCTGCAGGACAGACGCTGAGTGATGGATAATACTTTACAGTACGCTGGTTATGAAAGCATAACACTGTGAATGCATGTAAAGTTTATCCTTATCACAGTGTAAACAGTGTTTAAGTGCACTTGACTTCAACACAGTTTGCTGAAAAGGGTTAGGTCAAGCTAGTGTAGGTGATGTAGAGTAATTTTTTTAAAGCTCTTTTGTTGTTGCTGTAAATTCCCTCAGGATTACTGAAGTTGTCTGTCTGTCTGTCCGTCTAAATTGAATTCTGTATTAATGTTGCACCTATAGACCACTGAATGTACTGATGGATGAGACCAGCCAACAGAATATGTATGAAGCAAACAGCCTTCTTCTAAACTTTTCTTAAGAACTAAAACTAGGCTTATCAACTCAGCTGGCAGCTAACAGGCTAAATGGCTCCTCGATTAAAATTCAGCGTTACGCTTTAAACTTAAGTATTTACTGAGGACAACATATGAAGTCTAAGATGTATGTTACCTGAGTGTATTATGTGCTCCACACGTTTTGGTAGATCTACTTTAAGTAGTTTTAAATCCAGTGTGGGGAAACAAATGGGTGCAACCATTAGCTTGATGCTAACACAGGAAATTTCATAGAGATGGTAGCGGAAATTAGCATTATCAATCTCGTATTGACTGCTGCTATATTATGATATTTTCATTATTACATGACAAACATTTTAAATGTTCATAAAATTACAGTAATGGGTGACCAATAGTCCTTGTCTTCATTCAGCAGTTCATGAATGCTTGGCATGACAGCTTTATACTATTTCTATCTATCTATCCATCCATCCATCCATCCATCCAGTGGTGTAGGTTAACGTCCAAATGACAAGAAATTACACAGCAAAGTTACACAGCAAAAAAAATGTTCATTATAAGTTGTTGAGAACATTTTTTTCTGGATAAATAATTGTAAAATTCAAAAAATCTAGATGCAAATGAAAAATGAAAGAGAAAGACAGATAGGATGTGGTTGAGGTTATCTGAGTATTTGTGCAGTTGACTGTGAAATTACATGGAACAAGAGAAATGGGAGGAGAGGAGGGATGTGATGAAAGAAGACAGGAAGAGTAAAAGATGGAAAAGAAAGAGAGCGTAAGGAAAACTGACCGTTTTAGAGGGGGCTGCAAGCGTCTCCATTTCCTCGTGGGTCACCCACACGTTGCCTGAAGGCTATGTGGGTGGAGCCCAGAGAGCAGCCATCCAATGAGAAGGGCAAGCAGTGTTAAAGAAGAAGAGCAGCACCACTGTAAGCCAACAGTGTTACAGCATCACGGTCAGATAATGCGCAAAAGCCCTGCCCATTTCGGCAAAGACCCAGAGAGTACATGCTCAATGTGGGCGATATGGCAAAAATATCACAATATTTAAGGACACTTTCATGATATTTAGCTTTTCTGAGGTTAGGCCATAAAAAAACTACGACTACAATGACCTTTTATCAAACTTTCTGGAAAAACAGAAGAGCGGGAAAAACGAGTAAATATAAATGAATAAAATAAGATGATGTCTTAGTGGGCTGCCATCCAATCAGCCACACGTTACTATGCAGTTTGTACAGTTACTACACACTGGTTGTTGTTGTCTGTAATTTGTCTAAATCTGTATTTGTTTATAATCCATGCAGTTGTTCAGTGTTCTAGAAGTACTGATCATCCATAAAAAACACAGAAAAAAATATAGTGATCTATCAAAATAAAGATAACATATCATCATATTGCCCAGCCCTATTGCAAGCACATTCAAGAAATATTACATATGTTGCACACTTTTTAGAAAATAGCGGTTATAGGTGGTAAAGATAGCAGGGATAACTGCAGGTCATCTGCAACATGCACTATGAGCTGGTTAGTATTCCACATTAAACACGTGAATTAAAGCTTCACAGAAGGTTGTGAATGTGTTTAGCTTAAACAGTGGCTTAAAGGAACAGTTCAGTGGGACTCAAAATATGTAGGCACTCAGTCAAGACATGTTTGGTGTCTGAAGTTTACTTATTTAGCACAGCAGCTATGAGGCTAATGGTAGCTAACAAGTAATGGAAGCTCATCAATTACACCTCATCAATTAGCATGACGCACACATGCATGCCTAACATTTTTAATCACAAAGTTTCCTCAAACCATGTCGAGTTGTTAAGTCTCAAATAGATCTCAAATAGACTTCCTGACACTTTATGAAATGCACTGCCATTCAAATGTTTGGAATCACTTGTCATCTTAGTAATTTCTGCTAATTTATTCAATGATTACTTAAACAGTGCAGGCTGAAATACTATAGGTTAGACATTATAAAGTAGGTGAAGTTGTAGAGCAGTAGCATCTTAATAGCATACATAATACATGTTCCTGTAACACAACGGGTTCAATATTATTGAAAACAGTGACTTCAAACTTTTGAACAGTAGTCTATATAAATGGACCAAAGTATGTCACAGAGTAAAAACAGAACTGTGTCTGTGCTGTGTCTACAATTCAAATTGATATTCCGCCAAACTAGAATAAGTTGTGAAAGTGTATGACTTAAAAATACATTTAACACCCCTCTGATGTGTTACGTGTGTTTATGTATGAATGTGGTAGAGAATGAATTTGTTTGGCATAGGTGTGTATGTGTATGAGTAATAGAAAAAGAGTCAACGTAATATGTGTGTGTGTGCTTGTGTATGTATGCAGAGTGTATCTAAGATCTCACCAAGGCTCAGCTGTCACTGCAAAGGCAAAACAGCGTTACCGAGACAACAGAAAATAGCAGGAGGGGTGGAAATTGCTGTGGGGAATTAGGAGCCAAGCTGAGAAGCACACACACACACACACACACACACACACACCCACACACCTGCACCTTAACACCCAGACACACACAGTCCTGGTTTTGGCACATGCACACACATTACCTTTAACACTATTCTCTCACAAATTCACTCACGCATGCTCCTCATCACTGACAAAACCAACACTCTGATGCTATTTTGATATTCTGACATCACGTTTGAGCTTTTTGTAAAATCAAGAACAAAACCAGAGACAAAATTCAGGCATCAAGATGGCTGCTGCTACTGTTTTTAGCTATGTGACGTACTTTAGTCCATTCATCTGACTCATGTGCTATCATGTGCTCTTTTCCTTGCATCGTCTGCTGCATCTAATGGTGGAGAACGAAAAGTGAATCTCAGTTCAGAAAAACAGCAATATGTTGATAAAATTAAAACATTTATTTTTTTATTTACATCTAGTTCCCTGTAGTTAATGATGTAACATTAAAAGTCTTTAACCTCACCTCTGAAAATCACAAAGGAGATTGGATCTTGTTTCCCTGTTCAGGCACAAACACTACTGCTATAAGTTACCAATAAAAGTATGCAGGATAAACTCGTGCTGCACTTGCTTACTATTAGGTACATCAGTTGGTGAACTGTGTGGACTGTACCTTATTTTTATGTGCGCTGACTGAGTTGATCAGTATGCTTTGTTAAACTGTACAACAAACAAAAGACTCCTGATTCTCCTGGTCAGGAAAACAGCAGCAGGATCATACAGTGATATTATATGAGACAGATGAATAGATAAACACATAAGCATGTCCATATGAGATAACCTAACAACTCAACACAGTTTGAGGCGAGTGTGTGATGACTTAGGCATGCAGTTAGCACCGAGCTAATTGGTGTCCATAAGCATAATTGGTGTACATAGCATATATATTGTTGTTAGCTACTATATATCTTTATATAACACTCACACTCAATATGGCCAAAAGTATGTGGACTCTTAGTTATGGAGTTTTTGTTGTGACATTTCTGCCCTGCTAGATCTGCCCTGGTCAACTTTAAGTGCTATTATTGTGAAATGGAAGTGTCTATGAGGAACAACAGCTCAGCTACAAAGCAGTAGACGACACAAACTCCCAGAGCGCAGCCGGCGTGCTGAAGCACGTATTGCATAAAAATCACCTATTTTCTGTTGTATCATTCACTACAGAATTCCTCTAGAACTGCCTCTGTAGGTAACATCTGCACAATAATTGTATATCAGGAGCTTAATGAAATGGGCTTCCATGGTCAAGCAGCTACACACAAGCCTAAAATGACTACGCACAATGCCAAGTGTTGGCTGGAGTGGTGTAATGCATGCCACCACTGGACTCTGGAGCAGTGGAAACGTACTTACTGGAGTGAATAATCATACTTCACTATCTGGCAGTCTGATGGGCGAATCAGGGCTTGGTGAATGCCAGGAGAACGCTACCCACCAGAATGCATAGTCCAAACAGTAAAGGGATAATGGTCTGGAGCTGGGTTTGGGCTCAGCCCTTTAGTTCAAGCGAAGGATAATGTTATTGCTACAGCATACAAAGACATTTCAAACATTTATCTGCTTCCAACTTTGTGGCAACAGTTTGGGAAAAGCCCTTTTCTGTTCCAGCATGACTGTGTCACTGTGTCAGAATGACTGAATTCCCACAGATACACTCCAAAATCTTTTAGAAAGCTTTTCTAGAAGAGTGGCGGCTGTTAAAGCTGCATACTCCATATTAATGCCCATTTTTGGAATGGGATGTCCAACAAACTATGGGTGAGATGGTCAGGTGTCCACATAATTTTGGCCCTATAGTGTATATGTATGTATATATAGGCAGGTATGTATGTGTATGTGTACTTACGGTTCTGGAGGTGGGCGGGGCTGACGGGCTGGTAAGAGAGACCATCTCCTGTATAGCAAGTCTCAGTTTGAGGCGGTGTAGAGGGTTACTGATGCCGATCTCTCTCTGGATTTCTGTATCTGACAGTGCTGACATGATCGCTCCGCTTTTCACATTTGCACGACAAGCTGCTACATACCATGCTGGCATCCCCAACCACAGCTGCAGCACACACACACAGTGTCACATATCAGAACTCTCAATAAATCAAGAGAACTGGCAAAACATTATTTAGGCAGCACAGAAATACCAAGGAAGACACTTTGATGAATGCGAGAGACAAATAAACATCTCTCACACTTCCAAATTCAACAGCTATCACTAGATGGCAGCATTGCAAAGCTTCTGTGTGGAAAGCCTAGTGACTCTAAAGCCTAGTATGCATAATATAACGTAAACATACTCCACTGTGACTAATATACATAAGTATTTCCATTGAAAGATGTAAGTTGTAGCAAATCTGGGAAATATGTAATATATGTAAAGCTATTTATCTGGGCTATTTATCTGGCCATTTGATGTGTGGGAGTGTGTTAACTTGACCATTTCCAAAGCTTTCTTTGAGGAAATCCAATATTCTGTATGCCTAAGCCTAACCTGTTTTGAGCTGAGGAAACAAGAAGTGGTCTTGCTCTTTCAGTTAAACATTCAGCCTTCATAAATAACACTATACAAAGCAAGGAGCTTTTTGTTGCTTGTGTAGGTTAATTCTGTTTCTCTGGTTTTACCACCAGGGTTTCTACGTAACAGCTGAAATGCAGTAAAATCGCAGGTACATTATTTTTTACCGTTCCCTACAAGATATCACAGACATTCCACACAGGTGCGCTGTAATGACATCAAGTGGAGTGTTGCAAAGGCACGCAACTCAGGCAATTAAATTATTCAAATTTAAAATCAGCATTTCACTGACTTTATTGGCCCAGCGTTGCTGTGATGCAACATAGTGAATACCAGAATAATCATTTTAGTAAAATGAATACTGGCACTTAGACTAGTTATTTAAGTAGTCCTTAAGCTGTGCGCACACCTCACTCACTACTGTTCTCCTCAGAATGTGACACAGAAAGGGTGAATGTATTATAAAAGGTATATGTATTATGTAGCTATAATGTTTACAGCATGTGCAGCTAAGACACGCACACTCATAGCACACCCATGAGTGTTATAATAGAGAACTGATTAGTGCGGACAACTGAAAGAGCAGGTTGGTGTGTATGTGTGTGTGTGTGTGTGTGTGTGTGTGTGTGTGTGTGTGTATGTCAGAAGTATAAAAATGTGCTGATCTATACAAATCTCTCAGGCTCATGGACATGCTGCTGCTGATGTGATTATGCAAGCACGCACTGTGCTCAGCTTCTGACACATGCTAACTATTAAAGCGCAGAAAAAGTGCCTGGCTGGCATTCTGGCGTGTCACGGGTGAAAGGCGGCACTTGATTCAGCGTCAAGTGTGCTAGAACTGACTCGGAATTATTTCATATATTTATGGCACCGTATTTAGAAAGGTTATTAAAATTGCCTTTTCTTTAATAGACAGGAAAGGATTGAAGAGGAAAGAGATTCAAATAAATGATGCTGACACTGACACTCCAGCAGTGTACAACTGACAGACTGTAGCCCATCTGCTGCTACACAATTTATCAGCCCCCCTCTACCACATTCATCTTTGGACAGTTTCTGACCAAGCAACTGCTGTTGACCAGATATTATTTGAGTGTAGAGCCATTCTCACACAACTCCCCCACCACTTTTTTAAGAAAACCCTCCATTGTAGCTCCACCATGCTAGTGTGCAATTAGAGACTAGCTTATCGTTCACTGTTCATCTGCAAATAAGCCAGCAAAAAAAAACAGGGAGGTGGTCAATTTATTCCAGTCTATCGAAAAGAATAAACTGTTAAAATGTTTACAAGGACATTGGCCAAAACGTGAAGTGCAACCATCACTGCATTTGTTATAAACATGCCTACTCACATCTTACAGTGTTGCCGCAGTACTCTCCAGAGAGAGCTTTTCCAGTTTAAAGACTAGGAAAAACCCCCTTCTAATGATGTATATTGAAGGTGGGAGGAACTTTTTAATAACTAGATATATTCATAACTAACTATCTAGATTCCCTTAGTGGTAAAAAAGGGTATCATGTCTCTCTGGAGTGCATTTTATGCTGAATAACCACAGAATTGCTTTTTTATTTATGATTTTGTTCAACGATCGAGGCAAGAGTTACACTCATTGGTTGTATTTATGAGCCTGTAGATCAGTGGTTAGGCTAGCAGGATTGGTTGAAATCACAAAGACGTCAAAATGAATGAAAACAATATAAAACAGTGAATACTGTCAAACCAATGATGCTGAGGGATACAATGCTGCGCTACAGAACACCTCAAAACACAAAAAATAACATGTTAAACTCTAGTTTGAGGCCAGAATACCCCTTTAATGCTTGTCAGGCTGCAAATTAACCCTTAAAAGCTGGCTAACATTAACAGCAGCTTAGAAAGAACTTCAGTCAGTGATGATGAAGCTGGTCTGGCTAATTTCATCTAGGCTGAAAAAGTACAGGGACCAAGTTTTCATCCCAGTCCAACCCTTGTTGCATGTGCATTGGTCACTACACAATTTAAACTGGAAACCCGATTTGGACTACGCATGTGTGAAAACCTACATCAACCAACCCAATTTGGACTACACATGCGCAGGAACGTTGTGAAACTATTGGAAATAAAATACCTTTGAAGTGCACGCATAGTCCAAATCGGGGTTTCCAGTGCAGATCAGATAGTCACATGCATACCTACCTCCAGCCAAGCTACTACTGTAGGGCCGTCCCACTGAGCAAAGGGCAACCCTTTCCTCCTCGCCTCCTCCAGCAACTCATGCCTACAGACACACACAGAGAGAGAGAGAGAGAGAGAGAGAGAAGAGAGAGAGAGAGAAGGAGAAGGAGAAGGAGGAGGAGAGAAGGAAACCAAGAGAGAGGAAAGAGGAGAAGGAAAGAAGGGTAGGAAGAAGAAGAGAGGGGAAAAGTAAGAGAGAGGTACAGAGAGTGAAGAAAAGAAGAGCGAGAGAGACGGGGAGAAAGGAGAGAGAGACACAGAGAGAGAGAGAGAGAGAGAGAGAGGGAAGAGGAGAGATAGAGACAGTGAGGACTGGTCAACTTCAACTAGACTAAACTGGACAGAGAGAGAGAGAGAGAGAGGGAGAAAGAGGGAGAGACAGAAGGAGAGAGACATTCTTTATCTCTCTCTAAGCAGCCAGTCTTTCCCTTCCTTTTATGTGCATTTGGTATGTGTGATAAGAACAAACACACCTTTCATCTTAACGCTTCCTCTTACTTTCTCACTCTTCTCCATGCCTGTACTGATAACACATCCCATGATGCTCTACCTCCACTGTTTCCACTCTGAATACAGAACATCCATGTTTGCATAAAGAAAACACCACTATCTACACAATCGTGTATCTTCTAGTAATGCAATGCAGGCTCATTTTTCACAAGTAATTCAAGACATCTCTCTCTGGCTCTTGCTTCTTGGTCTGCGTCCAAGTTTTTGCAGTGCTGTGTCAGATGCCGCCTCCATGCATAGTTCAGCAGAGCATGGAGGACAATACAGACCACATAGAGACTGTTACTTATAGGAATACTGCTGTGATTCTCAACCTAATCTCTATGTGCTGCATCTGTAGCATAGAGTCAGTTACCATGGACAGTCATTTTTATGTGTTTCTCTGCATTTAGAAAAGAACAGAAAACGTGCTGACTTCAAACATACTTAAAATAGAAGTCAATCGATGCTGAGGCCACTGGCTTGCATTATAAGCATATTTAGGGGTCCAAGCACCAATGGAGCTGAAACCCTCCTGAAATTGATATGATTTTAAGGGGTCCAAGCACTGCAGGTGCTGGAGCCCTATTGCTTTAGCTCCTATTTTTCTTCTTCTTATTATTATTATTCTTTTTCTCTGCAAAACGTGTTGTCGAGTAGACATCCAGATACCAAACTTGGAGTATCCTTAAAAACAAGCATATGTCTTACTGTGTTTATGGTACAGAAAAGAAATTAGTTTCTTTTCATGCAGTGCAGTGAGCCTGACATGTTTCCAAACACAAGACTTTTAAAAAATGATTCTGTTTTTCTGCTATTGTACAAAGTTTGAAAAAAAAAGAAATTATGAGCTAGTCTCTCAGTTTTCATGATATTCTCTCAAAATTCATCTTGAATCAATCTGCCGAGTCTTAAAGTCCTCCAAAGACCAAATCTAAAGGGTAGGTGCAGTATGTGACTCAAAATTTAAGGAACTACAATGACCCCAATTGCCCTGATGGGGGTGCTATATAGCAGCATTTTACCCTAGGGCCCATATCTCCTGAACCATGAGAACTACAGTCAAAATTCTTATAGTGAATAATTATCCAAGAAATGTTGACTTTTTTGCACAATATGGCTGCAGCACATGAATCAATACATGCAGCCTGGGTTTTTCCCACTCAAGAGGCTTTAACAATATCAATGGTTACCCAATCGTAACCAAATGTGGTATGAATGGAATGATAAACTGAAGACATTTGCTAATTTAATTCCTATTAAAAGTTCCCAATAATAAAATAATTGAATGTTGGGTCCATAAATGACAAAATGTTGCTCAAACCCTTTTTTTTCCCCCATCTACATTTAAATAGTGTTAAGAAGTGCTATGTCAGCATGTAGGGCCACTTGTGGCTCACCATGTAAGGTGTTGCCCTTCAAAGCTAAAGGTGCAGGGATCCCATGTCAGTTGTCAATGAGAAATGTCAACAACCAAGTCTTTGGTTTGACGGTCTAAGGCTAAGCATGTTTTTTATTCAGCTTGTTAAACCCATGATACCACATTTCACTTCATGATCATGAACACTAATATTTTACCTGATCACATTTGAGCCCCCACTGAGTGCCACTTTGTGGCTATATTTTTTTTACATTCTTACTCTAAGCTTCTGAGCTAAAACTGTATGGGAAGAAGACACTGTAAGCCATCCAAGGACCAAATTGGTCATAGGGACCAAATGTTGCGAGAAAGAAATTTGTTTCTTATCATGCTGTACACTGAGACTGACAATTTTTCAAATACAAGTCAGTCTTTTAGAAAACTTCATTGTTTTTCTGCAATTGTAAAAGTTTGAAAAAAAAAATTGAACTAGTCTCTCAACTTTCAGGATACTGTCTCAAAATTGGTCTAAAAACAATCTGTGGAGTCTGAAAATAAATAATTCTAAAAAAATAGATAATAAATTGATATTTTGATATTTTTGCAAATTGATATTTTTGCAAATTATGACTGTTGCACATGAATCAATTAGTGAGTATTGGGTTATTCTGACTAAGGGGGCTATAATTCTATCAAGAATTGCCCAACTGTGACCAAATTTGGAACATAAGCAGAGAATATTAAAACTAAATTAATTCTCAAGAAAAGTTCCCGATCATAAAATAATTGAAAGTTGTGAACTAGTTGCTAAAATGGTGCTTGGCTCCTTATAGACCCCTACAAGTAAATGGTCTCAAAAAGTGCAGTGGCTTCACGTTCCACTTCTGGCTAACCATGAAGACATTTTCCTCCCGATGCAAAGGTGTCATTGCAAAAGTATAGCATATATAGTTTGTCAAAACTCAATAGTTACCTAGACATGTTACTGTTAATGAACATCAGGGTCTCATCGGGCACAGTGGTGGTTATTATTTTTTCTCAGATAAAACGCATTGTGGAGAAGACACCTTAAGCCATCCAAAGACCAAATCTTGAGGGTGGGTGCAGTATGTGACTCAAAATTTAAGGAACTACAATGACCCCAATTGCCCTGATGGGGGCGCTATATAGCAGCCTTTTACCTTAGGGCCCATTCCTTCTGAACCATGAGACCTATAGTCAATTTAAAGTATCATTGGTTTATTCTACATAAACACTTCACTTGAACTAGTTATCTCCTGCAACAAAAACTGGGAAAAATATGTGAAACTTGTGAATTTTTAAAAATATTCTGGGACATTTCAAGATATCCTCAACATCTTCTCAAAATCTTTACAAGAGTCTGAAGATCAAGAATTATTAAACATCTTTGGATATTCATAAACAATATGGCTGCCAGGTGCCAACTGGTCCCTTTGAGGTGGAAATTAGCAGAAATGGCCACATTCTCTATATATGTACAGAATGTAATACGGAAAAAAATGCTAAATTAGAGCTCAATGAAAGTTCCAAATAATAAAATAACAAAGTTGTAAACTAGTTGCTAAAGTAATTCTGGGCTCCTTCTCGCCCCTACAAATAAAAGGTCTCAAAAAGTGCAGTGCTGTGATGGGCCACTTGTGGCTCACCATGAAAATGTCTCCCTTCTGATGTGAAGGTGTTTGGTTTGATTCCTGTCTGAGCTGTTGTTGCAAAAGTAAGATACCAATTGTGACTAAACTTGGAACGTATGTAGAGCATAGAATTTTAAAAACACTACCCTTTTAATTCTCTTTAATAGTTTCTTGTAGTAAAATAACTGAAAGGTTCTAACTAGTTGATAAAATGGTGCTTGGGTCCTTACTGATCCCAGCAATAAACTGTCCCAAAAAGAGTGCGGCTCTCCATGAAAACACTGCACTTCCGATAAGAAGGTGCTGGGTTTGAATCTTGTCTGGGCTGTCAGTGTATGTAAATGACACACAAGGTTTGTATCATGATGTTTTTGGAAGATGTTGAAACGCAATTATTATCAACAAATGTTGATGTTTATAAATGAGAGCCTCGATGGGCTGATAGTGCTTGAGGTTAAATTGTGAGTAGTGGGCCGGATCATTTTTTTTTAATGATCTATCACAAACAAACGGCGATAATGCAATGTACAAAGAGTTCAAAGCATGTTAACATTAGCCTGTTTGGCTGAATGCCATAGTCATGGATGTTTTAGTCATATTTCAAATGATAATGAAAACACAGCAGTCTCTCTATCACTTCCTGCTGTCTAGTCCATTGAATTTGAAATAGTTTACTTTGTTTTCAAGGCAGCAGATATAAAGGAATGATTAGTCTGTTCTGACACTTCTATTTTCTTTCGTCCTGCCTGAGAGGATACTTCTACTATTTTGTACAAAAAAAAAAAAAATTCTGATTTATTTTGTATGTTTAAAAAACGGATTATTAAAAAGTGAAGGGACATTTCATAATAAGGCATTTAATTAGGCATTAAAAGCAGTTTTATCTGAAAATATATGCATACCGCAATAGATGCCGTGACCATCAAAAATTTAATTTATGCAGTGATATAAATTTAAAGTAGTTGTGCTATTGGTCAATGATGCATATCTGCATGCCATAGTTTGTCACAGTTGAACATGAAGTAAAGTTCACTACCAGATGTATATGATGCTAAACCTTTGATTGCAGCTACTTCCAATGAATGTAATTTGCTGTCAAAAAGCTTGTATGACTAGCCCTTTAGAGTAGAAAACACAATGTAGTACTTTCACTTGAGTATAAGTATAGAAACAATTTGTAATTCATTACTTGAGTAAAAATAGTGGGGTACATGCTTTTAAAATGCAATCAAGTATGAAACGTAAAAGTACTGTGAGTTATTCTAGCTATAATTTCTATAATATTATTTTTGATAAATGGCTGCAAATGACAAAATACTGACAAAATACTGCTTCTTTCACTCAAGCTTGTAAAGACCAATAATCTAGTTCTCCTCACAGCACTTTGCCAGCAAAAAAGAATCACATGGAAAAAAACACCATGGAAAAGAGAAGACACACATTACACCGACCTGCACAGGCAATGCAATTACATATGTCTGATATTTGACAGCTACAGCTAACGTTCTGGCTTCTGTATCTCCTGATTAGGCCTTACTGAACACACAATGTCAAATTTGGAGTCCATAATTATAAAGGTAGACTATTTAGCCTGTTAAATTCTTAGTATACTAGCTTTAGCTAATCTGGCTTCTGAGGTTACCATGGTATTCGAATGCATTCCACAGATGCAGTGCATAGAGATTACATTGAAAAACAATGAAGTATTGCTTTAATGACAAAGAGCAGCGATGCATTTGTTTTTAAATTACACTAACCCTGAGCTAGCCCACTGTATTTTACCATATTGTCTTCAATCCTGTTTATAGCACCATTAGAGAAGGCCTCTGTGATAAACTCTGATTAAAGTTTTCACGAGTTAACAATACACAACTCCTGAGGGTACATCTCTAGCATTTCCAAATGCTGACACCAGGCGCCTGCGAGACTGAAATTTAGCAGAAAACAAGCCCAGTAATTATTGAAAATAGACCTTAATATCCCATTATCACCATAATAAAGCTGCTGAAGCAGAGGAAACACCACCCTTAGAATCTGATTATGCCGCCCAATTGTTGTTAGCAAAATGAAGAACGTGGGTCAAATTTAAAAATGGAAAACTGGTAGAGCCATCTGCAGGCACTTGGCTGATGAACAAACAGCAGACATTAAGATACAGTTCTAAAAGGGATAGTTAATAGGCAAAAATACTAGCATGACTAACAATAAACAGAAGCTAAGAAGGCACAAAAGGAGGCAGTTAGCATGGCAATGCTAAAGGTTAAGTCTTAGCAACTATGACTAAATTAGCTAAGCACTGCTTATTTGGGCCTGCTGATGTCTATGCATTGTTAGTCACTTTAGCATTTTTACCTGACTAGCCCTCTAAGTGGTATGTTATACAGAAATACAGTAAGGCAACGTTAAGTGGACAGAGATAAGTGTGCTGGATGTTCCTCCCTCAGAGAATGAATTAATAATGCAAGAACACATTTTCAGTGCAAAGTAAGGACACTTGAATACAGCACTGGGTTAATGTGAATTTTAACAGATGCTGCAGCAAGTAGAGTGAAATGTGTTTGCTTTCTGCAGACCTGGGGCCAGATTTACCAGATTTAACATATGTTAACGTTAATGTGAGCAAAACCACTACAGTGGCCATCGTTTTTACTGAAAGGACCATCCATTGGGGATGCTACTGGTTTTATGTGAGCATAATTCTTCATGCTTGGTCACAGGATAGCCACAGCACTGCAGAGTTTAGTGTTTTCCTTGGTCTAAAACTTTCCAGCTAATTACCAAACCATCATGCACTGAACTGACCACAGTCACACTAGAAGTCTGTAGTTTACAACACGCAATATAGTGAAAATGTCATGACCAGAGCTGGACTGGAAGATTAACAATGAAGCAAATGCCTTAATTTTGGTGCAGTTAGCAATTTAGCAGTGATTTAACATTTTAGCCAGAGCTAGTGGTTTTGTAGTGAGAGTGAGGAAACACCGGAGAGGAGTACTGGTAGCTCTACTTCTGTTTTGTTTGTTTTATAGTCTTGTAAAGGTGTATTTATAGTTGGGTTGGGAAAGATTACATTAAAGGCTAAATTTAACATTTTCTTCAATTTTTGTTCATTTCCTTTCATGGGTCAACACAGTCAAAGCATCTGTGCTGTCGATCGATGATACCAAAGTTGAGCTCTAAATATTACCGTCAAATAATTAAGCTGAAAAATACTAAACGGTGCAGTGCCACGGTCTCAGGATCATTTAGCTAATTATGCCCTTGAGGTGTATTCAAGCGCAGCGGTGAGATCACCTTCTCCTTATCTTTACATGTTGATGTGATATGTTCAGGTTGACTGTATTATGTATGACTGACATCCTCTGAACATACTGACGCTGAAGAGGGAGAAAACTAGTTATGATCATTAAAAAAATAAACAAACAACAAAGAAAAGAAATCCGAAGTTGACGATCCATAACCAGAGATGGGACCTGGTTATTGCAATACAGAACACAATGCACTGACAGATACAAACATACACACGCACATACATACAAGGGCTGTAACTAATGATTATTTAATTGTTTAATCTATTGACTATGATTAATAGTAGTACAGAAACTTGTACAGTTCCCTTAGAGCCACCATCCTTCAAAAGTTGCGTTTCAATAATATTTCTGACATGCTGTCATTGCCTCACCACATGGAAAGTGTGTAGCACTTGCATTACACAAGTGGCCATTAACAGGACAAGAGGAGGAGTGCACAACAAAGAGCGGATTTTTCAAGAACACATTTGCCCTCTGCTGTGCAAGCCTTAATGAGCTAATTGGGTAGCTAAGCAAACTTTGCAATACAAGCCATTTTTTGATAAGGCTGCGCATGATGTACATTAATGTTGTGAATAACTGCTTTGGCTTGCTTAGTCTTCAGGTTTAGAATGAGAACTGTGGTGCGCTGCCTTTCTCTTTGTTGTTACTAGCTGTGCGGGCCTTAGCAGAATAAAGTAGCAATCAAAATAATAATATACAAATAAAAATATATATATAATAATAAAAATAATCAATCAACAGTCACATATGACAGAGAAGTTTGGTTGCTATTTAAACCCCAGTTTGAGAGTAGAAAATTAAAAGCTATAGCTTTGAAATTTAAAGCATTTCACTGCTCTGGCTAGTAAAGACATATTTTGGCTTTTTTTCAGGTTTGACACAGAAACTGTGTCAGATTGCAATGCCTTTTGAGCAGGTTCTGCTGCTGAAGTGTGCATTTAGAGACCTTAAGACGGCGTTGGGAATTCCCCAAAGGGGAAATGGTGGGGGCAAATCCACAAGGACATATTAAACAACAGACGTGAAACTGAGGGTTTGAAACATCTTTTACGATACAGTGAAACAAGAGAAGCTATGTCGCCCCCTTTACATCATGTAGAGTATTGAAATCTGAGAGAATAACTGCCTGGATTATATAAACATCATAAACATATAAACAAACGCTTTTTAAATAAAGTAGTAGAAGCCATATCGCCCCCTACATTTTCTGTAGTGTATTGCAATCTGTCAGAAGTGCCATGTGGATCATATGAACATTACAGAGCATTATAGAGTGCTTTTTAAATGAAACTGTATGTAATGTAGTGTAGTGTCAGAATGACAGTGTGGATCATACTTTAGTTTCTAAATAAAAGATGCATGAACTTTTTTCCAGAAAATCAATTTCCAAATCAATGCCACCAATGACTAAATGGCTTTGTCGACTAATCGTTGCAGCCCTAACATGCACACACAAACACACACCAGGAGAAAGGCCTCAACATAGCAGTTCAAGAACAGGCTGTTTGTGAAGGCACACACAAAACTCTCTCTTTTCCAGGCAGAGATGCATCTTCTACAAAACTGCAGAAGGGAAGAGTCACATGAGCAGTCGAGTGAAAGAAAAGGCGGTAGGGTTTGGGTTTGGGTGGGCGGCTGATGGAGAAATAGAAAACATGTCTAACCCTTCAAAAATAGACGCACAACCACAGAGCACACACAGACACACACATACATGAACATGGCGCCAACATGTGGAAAAATGCAGCAAGTCTCAGCAACACAAACCAAACTTACCCGCTGATACAGAATTCAGATGAGGAGAGGAGAGATAAAGAGAGAGAAAGAGAGAGAGAGAGAGAGAGAGAGAGAAAGAGAGAAAGAGATAAAAAAAGAAAGAGTGATGGGAGACAAAAATTAAATGTTTGTTATTGCGCATACTGTATGTACAGCACATGTTGTTAAAGTCTTTATAATCCTAATTCACTATAATATACTAAACGTGCACTAGCATTTCACCCCTTGCATTAATAAAGGCACTTGGGTGCAAATCTGTCTTTTTAAGTTCCGCTTAGTTGAATTATTCATAAACCTTTAGTTCCATGGCAGTAGTTCTGATCATACAGCATGCAAAAACAGTGAATATGCAATGAAACAATGGAGACGTCTTCTGTCAGCATGTCATGTTACAAAAGAAAACAAAAAAACAAACAAAAAAACAAGTAATTTTTAGCACGAACACAGTGAACGTGATGTAGTTCATCAGGCAGTTTCAGTAAACATGCTCTGAAGGCATCAACACAGCAACTCATGAAGCACCAAGCATTCAGTCCTGCTGCTGTGGAGAGAACAACACACCTCCAGTGTTATTAAAGCAGTCGCACACATTCACAAACTCATAACTAATCTGCATTCTATGCCATTATGTGCTACGATATACACTGGTTGTTGGGTTGTATGCTATGGTTCTGTAAAATGGTGTTTGATGGTCATCACAGGCTTCTGTATTTGGCACAATGCAATACATAATGCTAGATTTTGACATAGATATTGGAGCTGTACATGCTATTTCCTTAACTGTCCATGCATTTAAGATTAGGTTTCAACTAAAATCAAGCTTAGTGTATCTCAATAAGAAATAAAGAAGCCAGTTTGAATGGTCAGTTATCGTCTTGAAGGACACTGCAAGGGCAGACTTCAGAACTGTATGAAATCAGATTTTGTGCTATCATTTACAATAATGTTATATTATGTTGTACAATAAATGACAGCACCAAACCCAATACCATACAGTTCTGAGGTCTGCCCTTGCAGTGTCCTTCAAGACCATAACTGACCAGCCAAACTGGCTTATTTATCTTACTTATTATCTTGTTATATTTATTCTTTTTATTGTGTATTTATTGTATTGGTATTTGGTGTATTGTAGCAAACCAAGCGATGATATATCATGTACTTATTGAATTAAGTACACTGCACAGTCTTGTTTACTTGAATGATGTGTATTTTTTGTTATTTATTATGTACTTGTTGTTTAGTGTATTTTACTGCATCGTCTTGTTTAATTACACTTTATATAGTCTACGTGTACAATGCTTTCATTTTGCATGGCTCGGTGTTTAACTTACTTCTTCTTCAGTCTGCGATCCTTCTCTGCTTGAGTGCCCAGTTTACCCACAGCAATGTCCTGACCCAACAACTCAGGGTCAGACACATTTCCGACTAGGAAGAGAAGATTCGTTAGTCAATACACTATAAACAAACAAACAAACAAACAGAAACAATCAAAAAAGCTTTTGACAAAAGATCATTTGGCTTAGTTATTATAATTTGTTATATTAGGTTTAGCCTACTGTCTATTTACTGCACAATATTTTTTATAGTGGACAACTAACTCACCCTCTTCTGGTGGGAAAAGAGCTTAAAGAAATGGTGTACACAACTTTTTAGTGTAGGCAATCGGCATGTTTGCAACACGTTTGGTGTCCAAATTTTGCTTCTTTAGTTTTATACAGGAGCTGTGACGCGAACAAGAACTTCAACTAAACTACAAGTCAATTGTTATCAAATCTTTTCCACAAATACATCCCCAGAGCTTTTCTCAACCTATTCAAACTGCATCCAGGTTTTCATTAATGTTGCGCAGATTTGTCGATGTGGTTTAAGCCACAGTATGACTCACTGTGAGCTACAAAAATGAACAGAACTTCATCATGCTGCAAAATGCCGCGGGTAGTTGTTTATGATAACAGATGTTGTTCTGAATTCAGACTCCCATGTTTTGAATGCACACATGTAACACAGGTATATGGATCCCACAACATTCCTCTACAGAATTCTTTTGTTTCTTCTTATAACTGTTAATGCTGAATTCTGAGATGTTCAGTATTAGAAACATCAGAAATCACAAACATAATCTAGTGTCCATATGCCTGCATAACGTGTGTGCATTTTCATTTTTATGAATATGTGTACCTACTTAAAATCAAGAGAGTGACAGAACAAGTAAAAGAGAGAGAGATAGAAAGAAACAGTTAACAATTTTAAATTGGAAGATTGTTCCCTTTTAACTGTGAGAGAAAGAGAACGAGTGCGTGTGAAAGAGTGCTGTACCTTGTCCTGGTCCCATCAGCTCTTTGCCCAGCTGTCCAAGTCTGCCTTTCTCTTTTTTCCCGAACAGACGGCCAATGGAGGACTTTATTCCTTTCTTCTTCGGCTGTTTGTGGAGTGAATCCTGGCTGCTAGCAACACTGCTTAGTGCACTGGCTTCAGTCTCTAATGTAGCAGCCAGACTGCACACACAAACACAAAAGTACAGATGAAATGTCAGCTTTAAAATGGTCACGACTACTGTTTTTTAGTTATGCTAATTTATTTTAGTCCACATTTATAGATGACAGCACATCATACAGTGTGAGAAACCACACAAGCAAGAAAAAACGTGTACATTTTTTCCTAAACTATTTGTGAACTACTGTGCATCTTACCGTGCGTCATTGTGAGAGGATGCTGGAAGTGTGTGTGTCATGCGGACTTGACGAGGCGTCGGAGGGGGAGAAGTTTCACACTTTATTGTAGCCTTATCCTCTCGGCCATCCTCATCTACTGCTGCAATCTAAACACAAAGATTCCAACATAAAAAAAAAAAACATACACATGCACACACCATTTTATATATATATATATATATATATATATATATATATATATATATATATATATATATATGCAAAAAGTACATCAAACAGCACAAACACCCTCTGGCAGTTCAGTGGCCCAAAAACACTGGCCAACTTTAATGAAGTTCTTTAGGTCACTTCATGAAATTTTGAACACAATTATATTAGTTTCAGAGAAAGAAAAATAGCAAACGTCAAACTGAAGGAAGACTGAACTAAGAGTTACTGTAAAGCACAGAAATGGAAATGTCAAAGTCTCAAAAAAGTTTTTCTTACAGTACTGTTGGTGAGCCTGTGTTTAATGATTGGATCATGATTAAGCAGAACTTAGAAGTGTACAAATAACGATCTAAAACACAGCATCATCTTCTTAAAGAATACTTTGCCGAAAAGGAAATGACAGTCTTGGAATTGTCTGTTGAAAATAAATATCACTTGGTTTGACAACTTCTTTCCTAACACTATGGATGTAATATATTTTTAAGTATGGCACCAATGTCTAAGTACTTTTTGGGCCCACTGTAGCAGTAATAAAGGCGTCATGCTGGTGTAAATCTGTTATACCTTTCTCCTGTGCTTCCTCAGGTCACTGGGCTGGAACACAGACAGAACAGAGAGATTCATCAATGAGTCATACAGTTCGACCTGTCTTGTTACTGGTAGTGTTACTGTACAGAAACACTCTCTGTTAAAAGTTTAGGGACACAAAATGTGTTTAACATAAATGCTTTTTCTTGTTCTTTAAACTAAACATATCCCCCTTTTTTACTTACAAAAAAAATAATATTTGTGTGCATTCTGAATGTTACTGCTTTAGAGAACTTGAAAAAGGAGTTATACCTCTTAGTTACAAAATGTCTGCAAGAAAGATTGCTGATACACTGAAAAATCCAAAATTAAGTGTGAAGAATGTACTGAAGTCTTGGAAAGAGACAAGAAGTGTTCAAAACCTGCCACACTCTGACCATCCAAAAGAGAAAATTGAACAAGACAGCTTGATCAGCAATCATGCAAACGCATGCACTCTATGCCTAGAAAACTTCAAGCTGTCATTCAACAGAAGGTACAAAATACTAATATTAAAAAATACTACACTCTAACCTACAGCACAGTTGGGGCGCTATGCAAAACGTAAAAAAAAACAAAAAAAAACAGAATGCAATAATGTGCAAATCATTTAAACCCTATATATAATTGAAAATACTATAAAGACAACATACTAAATATTGAAACTGAGAATTTGTATTTTTTTTTTTAAATATATGCCCATTTTGAATTTGATGACAATTTGATGACACATTTAAAAAAAAAGTTGGGACGAGGGCATGTTTACCACTGTGCTGCATCACCTGTAAGTGTTTGGGAACTGAGGAGACCAACTGCTGTAGTTCTGAAAGTGAAATGTTTTTCCGTTCTTGTTTGATATAGGATTTCAGCTGCTGAACAGCTCAGGGTCTGCTTTGCCATACTTTTTGTTTCATAATGTGCCAAATGTTTTCAACAGGGTGACAGGTCTGGACTGCAGGCAGGCCAGTTTAGCAGTCAGGCTCTTTTACTACGGATTCTGTTGTAATACATGCAGAATGTGGTTTGGCATTGTCTTGCTGAAATAAGCAAGGCTTTCCCTGAAAAAGACGTCGTCTGGATGGCAGCATATGTTGTCAAAACATCTATATATCATTCAGCATTAATGGTACCTTCACAGATGTGCAATTCACCCATGCCGTGTGCACTAATGCACCTCCATACCATCATGGAGGCTGGCTTTTGAACTGTGTGCTGATGACAAGTCGGATGGTCCCTCTACTCTTTAGCCTGGAGGATGCAGTGTTCGTGAGTTCAAAAAAAAAAATTCAAATTTTGATTCTTCGGATCAGAGGACACTTTTCCACTTCTCCTCACTCCATCTTAAATGAGCTTGGGCCCAGAGAACGCAGCGGTGTTTCTGCATCCTGTTTATATATGGTTTCTTCTTTGCACTGTAGAATTTTAACTTGAGTTTGTGGGTGCAGCAACAAACTGTGATGGTTTTCGGAAGTGTTTCTGAGCCCACACAGTGATGTCCACTACAGAATCGTGTCTGTTCTTAATGCAGTGCCAACCAAGGGCAAGAAGATCATGACCAGCGAACATTGGTTTTCGGCCTTGTCCCCTTTATACAGAGAATTTCTTTGGATTCTCTGAATCTTCTAATGATATCATAATATTAGGTTCTTTGCTATTTTATGTTGAGAAACGTTATTCTTGAATTGTTGCAATTTTTGCCTATGCACAGCACGACTCACTGTGAGCTATAAAAATGAACAGAACTTCACCATGCCGCAAAAATACGCTGCAGGTAACCGTTTAAGACAACAGATGTTGTTCTAAATTCCGACTTGCATGTTTTGAATACACACACATCACACGGGCATATGGATCCTACAAATTCCCCCAGAGATTTCTGTTGTTTCTTTTTGTAACTGTTAATGTTGAATTCTGAGATGAAAAGTAATATGTAAACAAGACATAAATTGTATTCAGGTATTGTTTTAAGACTACTGTTGAGCTTTTTTTTCATTTTCATTACATCTCAAAGTGCTTTACACAGGACTATCAGTAATACACTAGAAAGATAAAACGCCATAGTAGTTTTAAAAGTTTTAATAAAGCGGTGTATGATTCAGAGTATCTGTTTCCAGGTTTTGGTCTTTGTGTGTGTGTGCATGTGCGTGTGTGTGTGTGTGTGTGTACCAGCGTCATGACCCCCATGCGCTCCATGTCACGTGCGGGGCTGCGTGGGGTGAGTTTGGGGGTTGAATGGCCGCTGGGTGGTGATGATGAGGCCAGCGATGAAGCTGTGGCAGAGGCGGTGATGGAGGCTGCAGGGTGATGAGCTCGAGCCAGGTTTAACCCCTCCAAACTCACACTCGCCACACGGTTCTCTATCTCTTCTGCACGCAGCTCCGTCGACTCCTTCTCCTCCTGAATCAGCCTGGAGACACAAACACAACCACGCACACTTCAGCAGGTCAAGTCTAATAATATTATCATACTGATAGACATTCGATTTACATTACACAATTATTTACATAGTAATGTGATTAAGAATTTGTAACTAAGTAACTATATATAACTAAATAACTATATATAATATATTATGTATTGACTGGTGCAAATATGCACATCCAGTGTTTTTTCTGTTTAGTTTCAGGTTCCTGTGTGAAGGCTTAAAGGGCCATTCTCGCCTAAAATTAATTTATAATTTGCCGTGCTATGCAGTATTCTGTAGTCTAGCGCTATATCCCTCAGCCTCATGAGTTTGACAGAATTTTATACTGTTTTCATGTTTACTTTTATCAGTTCTCTTTTACTACAATACCCAACATGCATTGTACAAATACATCACATCAACCTGTGGTGTCAACCAATGCTGGCCTAGCTACTGATCTGTAGGCTAATACAAGCAAGCTAGTATTGGTGTGACTCTTACCTCAGTCACTGAACAAAATCATAAAGAAAACAGTGATTCCATCTTTATTCAGAACAAAATGAATGCCAGAGACAGAGACTGTCTGAGGTACGGTATCTAGACAGCCAGGAAGAAAACCTCACAAACTTTCTCTTGTTTTAAACTGTAGCTTTTAGGCCTCCTCATAGTCATACGGCTGCAGTAAGATACTCAATTTCATGCAGTAAAGTTAGCTCTCTGTTTTCCTTCTGCATTCATCAGCTTACAAAAAAAATCTAATCAGAATTCCTAGTCTTTCTAGTGTACTGCCATGTGAGTAGGCAAGTTTACAAGAGATGTGGTAATGGTTACATTTTTCACTGTAGCTGAGATGTCCTTTTAAATAACACATTCTTGTTCCCAAATAGACATTTTTGAATGCTTTTAATCAAACCTGAATAATATAGTTGGTCAGCCAAGATGTTTGGTTTCTAAAGTTTGCTTCTCTAGCTTTACACTGTAAGGAAACTTATTAGCATACTAATTAGCACTGTACAAATTACACGCCTGAATCAGCACACACTTGCTCTCAAACTGTGCTTGGTAAGTTATCTCAAATAAACTTGCGTTTTTCTTCTGGTGACAGTGAGAGAATGAGCTGGAAATTAAGAAAAGAAAAATATACGAATATTCTTCTGTCAGAAAATACAAGAATATGAGAATATGTAAAAATGAGTGATGACATTAGAAATATAACATGAAAAATCACAAGTATTAAAAACAAAATGAAAAAAAGCATCCTCTGCACTGTGCTATGGTTAAGACTTTTTTTTTTTAAAACAGAGCCCTCAGGCTTTTGTAGAATTATGCAAATCTTGAGGTATTACATGCAAGTGTAGATTAGTATCCACTGATGAAGATTTATGTAATAATTTGAAAAGTAATTTTAACAAAGTGTGAATGCCTTTTATTTTGGAGAAAACAGTAAAAAACCCCCATAAAATGACAGTCAAATGTTTGGGAATACCTTGCGTTCTTTTGAAACTTGAATTTTCTTGCTTTTTGTTCATAACTGAGTCAGAGAAAAGCCATATCGCTCCCTAGCAATCATGCTTCAAAGTGTCTTCCTTGGTATGGTGAAGAGCATGTTTTGCCTCAATGATTTGATGGTTTTCTTTTCAAAACTACCGTTAAAAGCTCATATTGAAACCCTTTTGGTCTGAAAGTGGTTTGAATGGTGATGACTGCTGACATCACAACAAAAAACATAAAATGACTGAACTTTGGCTTTATTCCCAGCCAGCGCTGTCACTAATACTGTCACTAATATTTATATGTATGATATTGTTTTCCTCTAAATAAACCAGATTAGGTTTTAATAAGTTATTGCAAACAAAACAACTCATTCTCATTTGTATTGAAAACACTTTGAAAAGCTAGCCGTCCCCCAGACTGTTGACGGGCAGTGTAGTTAATCACTAAACTGCTCCATGAGTACTGACCGTATTTCTTTGTTAATGGCATCCAGCTGTTCCTGCAGCATCATGGCAAGCGTCTGAGCGTCGGAGTGACCACCTGGGGACAGCAGGTCCATTGAGCTGAACAGGGTCTCTCGGTCATCGTCATCAATGTCTGACATTTCTGTATCGCTCTCGAACGGATGGCCTCCCAGAACACCGAGCTGCTGTGACCTCCATTCATGCTCACCCAGAGACTTCGCCTGCAGGGGAGGGTTTTAAGAGTGTTTATTTTATTTCTGCAATGAGCTGACATTTCAGTGAGCTGACGTGTCAGTGAGGATTTTTGGTATTATTGGAATTAATGTTGCAGTATTCGAGAACAAAAATAATGGTCTTGGTCTTGTCTTGGTCTCGAGGTAAGGTGGACTTGTGCACCTCCATCTGAGATAACTGTAAACTGAACTAAACTCATCATTAATTAATATCAACCAAATCTTCAATGAAAATAAAACAGCCATTTCTCTACATGTTTAAATCAAATTTGTTCGCGCATGTTATTTCTATTAATACTATAGTTTCACTTCTGAATAGGTTTTCGAGAAGAAGGGAGAATAACCTTACTATGATTTAATTCCTAAAGTTACAATACCCATTTTAACAAAGACTATAGTATGTTAATCATTGATTTTTGACATACAAGTTACATATTATTTAAAGCTGTTTTTTATGTTTTATGTTTTTACTGGCTTTGCTTACAGTTCACCTTAAGAAATCCCAGTCTAAACATATATATACACATGGTTCATTTGTATATGGGAGCTGATGAATGCAAACTCAATCAGAAAGACCAGAAAAATACGCTTTTCATGGCTTGATGTAAATTAACTGTTTTACAATCTGGCTATTACAAAGTATTACAGAGCACTTTTTAAATGAAACAACAGAAGTTATTTCACCCTTTACACTTCCTGTTGTGTATTACAATCTGTCAGAATGACTGTGTGGATCTTATCAACTTACAGAGCATTACAGAGTGTTTTTTGAACAAAACATTAGAAGCCAACAAAAGAGTGCTTTTGTTTTTAAGTGCAAGACGCATTGATTTTTTCCCATAACCTCCATTGTATTCCTAGATTCCAGTGCTGCAGTGATAAAGTGTATACTCACTTTCTGCTCTTCCCTGCGGAGCCCCACACGTCCTCTCCGTGGTCGACGAATGACCTTGGCTGAGCGGTAGTGGTCAGACTGAGTCTCAGCCAGAGAACCCAGAGAGTAACGCAGCTCTGTGGATGCATCCAGGTGAGAACTAGGATACACACACACACACACACACACACACACACACACACACACACGTAAATTAATAACCTTCTTTTTATAGATACCACTGTGTGTTTTTGAGGTTCCACATGATCTGAGAGTATGTGGTGATTTAGGCATGCAGTTAGCAAGATGCTAATTGGTGGGCTATAAACGTCCGTTACCTGTTAACTACACTAGCCTCCTAGCTTGAGTGTAAAACTAAAGTAGCAAACTTTAGACACCAAACATGTCTGTTTGCATCTCTCTCTGTCTTTCTCTTTCTCTCCATCTTTCTATCTCTCACCGTGACAGCGTTGGCTCTGTCAGTGACCCCGCCCTTAGCCGGAACTGATCAAGCTCCGCCCTTAGCTTCTCAATTTCCTCCGCCAATTGACCCTACAAAAGCCAAACACACAAACCTTAACATGCTCAATATCTTTAATTCAAATATCCATGTTCCGCCCACAAATTAGTTCTTTTGTAGTTAGTGTTGCGAAGCTGCACAAGCTTTAAACACTGGTAAAACTCCAATTCAACCTTAGGACAAACTGAAGCAATCTTTCCATAGAGTTGTTACATAACACTGAGCTGGACTGAGCTGTCGTTGCTAATCCAAACTTGTCAGATCAAAAACGACAATAACAAATTAACCACCATGCTAGTGTTAGCTCATTTACAAACCTGATATAATCATAACAGACTTTGTTTTACAAACATTTCACAATTTTTGTTGTTTAGTTAACTGTGTTTGTTCGTCTGTGACTGTGTAGTCCCTGGACAAGTAAACCTAAAATTAATACAAAATTATTCAATACAATACAAATACAGTTTCTCATTAGGCTCATTAACCTAAATGTAGGAATTATGACAATCATAGTTGTGAGCTGCAGTTTCTCATTAGGTTGTATGAATAACTCACTGTAAATGTAGGTAAATGTGATATAAACAAACTTGTCCAACTTTGCAACAGTACCTACAAAAGAATGTGTTTGTGGGCAAAGCATATTAACATCAACATATTAACAAAGCATTTAACATCAAAGCATATTTGGTAAGACTTTCCTACTGACATAACTATGCCATAAACATGTAATTAGAGATACCCCATCATGAGCTGTAATGACAGATTATGTCCAGTAATTTAACAGTGTCGTGTTACCATTACTGCTAATTGTCATGACAAGTTATAGTGTCTGATGTGTAACTACACAGCAAAAATGAGCATGTTTATGGCAGTGCAGTAGGTTTCAATAAAGAAATTATGCATCTTTTTATGAGCAAAAAGACTGCTACACACATAAAAGTGATGATTCTTCAAGGGTTCTTTAGTAAAGAAAATGGTTCTATATAGAACTATGAACACTCAAAGACCCCCTTGCATGATTAAAGGGTTCTTTGCATCGTTAAATTGTTCTTCTTCAGGTTAATGGAGAACGTGCTTGATGAACCAACATTTTTAAGAGGGCACGGTAACATTCATATCATTCATTTTCCATCATCATTTCAACTTCTGTAACATTGCTGCAATTTACATTACACTATCAAAGTTGTTTTCCATTACCAAATTCGAATATATTAATCCAGGTACAGAAGCTGTATGAATAGAACCATATACAAGTTACCTTTTCATGAATGGAGTCTTCTAGCTGTTTCCTGTAGCTCTCTGAGTCTTGTATTAAAACATTCTATAAGAAAGGGGAAAAGAGTCAAGCAGTAAACTACAAAGCATTATTTAAAAAGTAGAATCATTATTACAACCATTAATAATAGATGGAGGAGCATTAGCATTATATGATGTTAGACTAATAATTTTTCAGAGGAGTCTTTCATCATTGCAACTAACATTCCTAATAATAGGCCACTCAGTTAATAAGTAGCAAAAAAAGGATTCTGAAAATCATGTCCTCCTACACTTTTCCTAGTGAAATTAAGATACCTTATTAATGCATTTTAGAGACAATTAGATGCTGTTATTATTAGCATTATTACGTGCATTTCAGTTTTAAGTCTGAATAATATTATGAATCCTGAAGAAAAGATATCTGATTTAAAAAAAATGCATTAGACTGAATTAAAACAAAGAATTTCACACTAAAGAGGATGTTTTCTCCATGATGCTCCTTTTCTGAGACATCTTCCTCTAACTCACATCCATTTCCACTCTCTGTAATTTCAGGGCTTCAAAAAGGTATTAGCAATAGCTAACTCTGCTGACTGTCCTGCTTTTGATTTGAGTCCACAAGCTGCACACCTCTCAAATCTCAACTAAGTGTGGTGTATGGTACACTGAAAAAAACAGTTCTTGATTTTATTGTGTCAAGTGGTTGTATACAAAGAACATCAATAGATGTCACTTCAACACAATTGCTTCCTATACGTTTACGTTTTTGTGATTATAGTGTTTATGTAATATATTTTATTCATGTGCAACCTAGAAAACGACACTCTACTGGACGGAATCTCACTTTTAAACATCCTGAGTTGCATCTTTTAATGGCAACTGCTTCAAATTCAAAAACTGAAGGCTTGAGGCAATGGCAGAGAGCAATGGTTGATAAGCAGTGATTGTAGGGCTAAGAATAGAAGGTGGAGCTTGGTGGAAAGCGTAATGATATGATTAGCCATAATACAATAATACAATGACAGCACAGAAAACAAAATAAATTTCATTATCTTAAAATATTCTTATAAAATAACTATTCTTTCCCTATGTGATAGGCTAGGCCTGTGATCAGGCCTACTCATGGCCACGCCCAAGTTCAATAACACATTTCAATCATTTTCAGTCAATCCAAAGTACCATTTTTTTCAGTGTAGCACTGAAAGTCAGACGAGACCCAAACAATACCTGAGCCGAACCAGAAAGAGCGATAATCAAAATGGAGCAGTTTGAGGATCAAAAGATCCTCAATTACAAAGTAAAAAATGAAATTCTTTTTTATTACATTCAGTACTTCTTTACTTCTGCTCCTTCTATCCACTGACTACAACACAATGTGTGACTTGCTTCTTTGTTGTTATTTTTCTGTTATTTTCGGTTTGGGGACTGCCCCCTAGTGCACACATTCATGTTACATGCAAGAATATTGTCAGACATAACAATTCAAAAGCTTAGAATCATTGTTTAGAATAGTTTAAAAACACTTTAAGTGCAGGTACATGTATAAAATGATTCTAATATAATGCCAGTACACTAAATTTTAATTTTAGTTGTCATTAATTTGAATGAAGTTGTTAAAATGTTAGATGTGTCCAGAATGACAAACAGAGCTGTAAATTATTCTAAAATGACTTGAAAGCTGACAGTGATGTAACTGAGTTAAGATGTAAAAAATTTAATTTTGAAAATGCCTTGTATTTGAAAAGTGGTCATTTGAAAAGGCACATAATTCAGATAATTTATAAATAACAAATTAGTGTAAATAGACATTTACACTATATTATTTATTATTTAACAACAAAAACCTGAAATATTGTATAAACAAAAAAATCTCAAAATACATTCTGGTGCCTAGCTTATAGTGTTCCGCTGTACACTGTAAGTTATTATTGAAAAAATAACAGCAATATGACAAGTGATTCCAAACTTCTGAACAGTAGTGTATTTGAATGTCAACACTTACACATGTTCAAAGATATGCAATCATAGAAGAACAATTTTGTGTGAACAAACCTTCTCCTCTAGCGCTGCCATCCTCTCTTTCAGATGGAGCTGGAGTCGCTCGTTTGACTCTGTAAGCAGACGGTCCACTGTGTCTGACAGACGCTTATTGTGTTCCTCATTCATCTTCTCTCTCTGACGAGCCTGAAGAGAACACATATATACACATTTGGAAGTAATATTTTCCATATTTAATACCGTAAACATATTTTAATCCCTTACACCGAAAGGACTTAGTAGTTTCACAGTGGTTGTGTGTAAAGGGTCGCACAGGAGTGATGCTAAATAGTTCTTTGAAACGGTTGTAGAATTACTTTACTCATTACTTAATTACCTCCAGCACCGCTGAATCCTGATCAGATGCTGGTGTTAATGTTCTAAGTTGTTCTATTGAAGTACTTTGGTAATACACACCCTCAGAAGTTCCTGGTTCTTCTCCTCCAGCTGCCCTTCTAACTGCCGCATTCGCTCTTCAATGCTGCCGTGTCTTTCCTCTGCCTGCAGAGCGCGCACACACACACACACACACACACACACACACACACACACACACACACACACACACCAAGGTTAAACAAAGTTACTTTTGTACTTTTGTCCATGTTTATAGATGGTCAAATAACACTGTGCCAGTGTTAGAAAATACATCAGCAAGTCAATTGGAGAGTACTTACAACACGGTTTGAGGGTGAGTGTGTGATGATTAAGGCACACACTAAGCACCATGCTAAAAGATGTACTTTCATTACTTGTTATTTACACTAGCCTTGCAGCTTCAGCCTAAAACTAAAGAGGCAATCTTCATTCACCAAACATGTCTTGGCTGCATCTGGGATAAAGAGGGGGATTGTGTACATTGGATTTGACATAAATGTATCACTGTGTGTGCGAGGGGGACCTTATATGTGTGTGTGTGCATTACCTTAGTAAGTGCTGCTATCCTCTGTGCGAGTTCAGCCTCCACCTCTGGCAGTGTCTCTGCTTTTCTTATGGTCTGCTGCAGCTTCTGCTCAGCTAACTCCAGCCTTTCCTGCAGCTGCCTGTTCTTTTCCTCCATCTGACACACACATATACACACATAAACATTATTTCTGCTTGCTTTCATTCCTTGTCATGATGTGAGGTCCTATATGTATTATATTCATGTAACTATATGTAGTATATATGTATATATATGTAGTATGTCCCATATGTATGTAATATCCAGATGTAATAATATATTGTCTACATATTATATATATATATATATATATATATATATTAGGGATGCGGGAAAAATCAATTATTAGATGCATCGCGATGCGGACGTGAACGATCCTGAATCGATTCACAAATGTCAAAAATCGATTTTCTAAATATTTAATTTATAACGTAATGTTGACGGAACGCAAAAGGCGGAACTTGGAAGTGGGTATGTGCGGCGCCCGGACAGTCTGTTACGGCACACAACAAAAACACCAGTGGACGAGCGAAAAATCCGACCGGCTCCCTCTGCATTAAAGCCAGGTTAGATCAGGAGTCACAACACAAATGATAAGAAGAGACATTTTGTCCTTTCAACAATTTTTGCCTTCTGCTGGAAAGTTGCAATTTTGGAGATGTGTTTTACTTTGCCCAGCAACAAAATGTATATATGTAACAAGATTTTTCTAAGCCTAATCTTAACCTAACCCTAATCTAAAAGAAATGGTGTTGTTCTTTCAGTTTTTAAAATTTTTAAAGTTGCTTTTAGTCGGAACTGCAGGTAAGCCCTGTACAAAAAACAAGCACAAACTCACACATATAGTTACTCATGGGTTTCAGGACGTTTAAATAGTGCAGCTATCCATCTGTTTGTCCAGGTAATAGACTGCATCTGTGTATTTCAAAAGTAGACGTAATTTGTTTCTCCTTAACCACAATTTCCTTCCCATTGATGGGAAATAAGAAAATTCATGTCAGAACATCAGCTAAAGGGTCTGTCTGTGACGTAAACAAACACAGTGTGTTTAAATGGACAACATGCCATTATGGAAAGGAAGCACAGAGAAGTGTCATGGTGACACTGTCCAATCAAATCAATCACATCTATACCAAGGAACTTACAGAGTATCAGCAAACAATGTATATGCTGGCTATCAGAAGTTTGGGAGTGAATGCCATTTTAACCATAACATCAGCAGGAAACATTCAGTTTTCAGGGTGATTTGCTAGTTATCAGTTAGTTTAAAATGACAGTCCAATCAAAGAGCTGTGCTCTTAGACTTGATTGAGATGACTGAATAAAGGTCAAAGGAAAACCTGATTGAAGGCCAGTTTTCTAAGAGCACAGCAGATTTAATATCTTTTTACCCCTTTCAGACCTTCAGGTCTTTCTGATTTTACACACCTTAAAGGGGAACTCCACCAATTTTTCAAAAATTCTACATAGATAAATGGATGAGATGTAAACAAAGTCATTCATAGAGCTTTGATGTGAAATGCTCCATTACAGAGAAACTTGCCGAGTCAGAACCGTTCACAGTGGTGTTGATAGGAACCAGACGTCTGAAGTGTTCTGTACCAAACTGATAAGATAACATATCCAGAAATCTATAACTACCTTGTAAATAGTGCACCAGCCTACATATCGCAGGAGCTAAAAACACAAATTCCCAGATTCATATAGTCATTTAGTCTGTGAAAGGGTCAGTAATATTCTGAAAGGGTCAGCGATATTCTATCTTTTGTACCATCAACTATACATTGTCATGATTGCAAAAGCTGCGTATCTAGGTTTAGAGGTTAATCAGTGTTAGCTTGACATTACGTGAGCCCTGATAATGTTCTCTCAACCGCATTCACTGTCAACTGTCAATTGTGCACAATTCTAAACACTCCAAAAAGGATCATAGGCGTAGTACAGAATTCATCCTTCATCTAACTGTCTGTGACACACTGATGAGAGCAGACTTTGGTTACATTATGTGGAGACTGCTACGAGTTTTTCCTGTTTATTCTCGCTATCCAAAGATTCCTCCTTTGCTTCCTCAGCTCTTCAGCCCACCATTGTGGAAAAATTTAGCTCAACACAAGCTAATTTCCCAAAAACTGGGAAACATTCTTCCTAATACTGAATTACTGGAACAATATGAAAAATTCCCTCAACCTGCGCCGTTTCTGTGTGAAGTTTGCATGTTCTCCCTGTGTCTGCGTGGGTTTCCTCCCACAGGCCAAAGGCATTCAGGCGAACTGGACATGCTAAATTAGCCCTGGGTGTGAATGTGTATGTCTGTGTGTCTGCCCTTGGATGGACTGGCAACCTGTCCTGGGTGTGTCCTGCCTTCTGCCCAATGACTGCTTGGATAGGCTCCAGCTCCCCCCCATGTCCCAGCAGCTTGGATTACAGGTTATATTAGCATTATTACTGTCGCTACTTCAATGTTTGCTATTAGTTCCACAAAGTATGTTTAGTTTTGTATGTTATGCTTTGGCAATGTTGTACTTAAGACTGTCATGTCAATAAAGCTGCTTTCAATTTAATTAAAAGGACCTTTTCAGACAGAGGACAAGAGTTGATTATGGTAAGTCCCAGTGGACTGACCTGTCTGAGGAAAGCCTCCTTATTGGCTAATTCGTTCTCCAGTTTGTCGCTGATGTCATGGAGTGAGGTGGACTCTCGCTGGGCACTGAGGTAACGTTTCTCCAGAGTTACAATCCGCTCTTCCATATCTTCCTTCTGACACATGGCCTACACACACACACGCACACACACACCGTCATCTTCTTTATCAACATCATTGTTATCATCATCATCATCATCATAATCGTCATCATCATCACTGTCGTGATCATTATCAACATCATTGTCCTTATTATCATTTTCATCATTATCATCAGCAACATCATTATGAAGCCTCAGGGACTATAGTTGAAACTTAGCCTGGTGGCTAACACTGGCACATTTACCTTTGGGTTAATTAGTGTACATCGCCTTTGACACACACATATATGCATATACAGTACCAGTCAGTTACACCTATTACCTACTTACCTACTTTCCTTACTATTATTTGCCACATAGTAAAATAACAGCCATGACATTAAAACTACAAAATAACCCATATAGAATTATGAAGAGACCAAAAAAAGTGTTCAACAAATCCAATATATATTCTATTTTAGAGTATTTTTGAAAGTAGCCCCTCTTTGCTTTGATAGTTTTACACTCTTGATCATTCTCTCAAGCAACTTCATGAGGGGTCACCTGAGCTGCTTTTCCAACAGGACAGAGGGACATACACACCTGCTGGGGGGCAATTTAAAAAATATAATACATTTTTCCTTTGGTAAATAAATTTTTCCATAAGCATCAACTTCATTACTTATATTTGCCTTGAAATTTCAACTGCATTTAAGCATAAGCCTTATGATCAAACTGTCTTTAAGAAAAATACATACTCTGGGCATGTCCAAACTTTTGCCTGGTAGCGTAAATGAACAAACAAATAAATAAATAAATTCACCTCTTTGATGTCTCTCTGGTATTTGTTGTTCATCTCTTCGCTCTTGATCAGGTCTTTCCTGGCCGTCTCGAGCTCCTGCTCCACCTCGCACACTCTGGATGACAGAGAGGACATCCTGTCCTTCATCTGAGCCAGCTCAAAGTTCTGTTTCTCCAGCAGCTCCTGCAGCTCCACAACCTGACCAGCCTCATCGCCAGACTCCAGAGAACCGTTCGACAAACGCTGAAGGATACACACACATACACACATGAATGAACACACAAAAAAACACCAGCGGCGTCTCTAGGCCTAATTTAATGGGACACGTGCCCCAGTAAAATGTTGCCGTGTCCTGCTATAATCACAGAAAAAAGTCAATACATAAGCTATTAAGTTTCCTGTTTTGACCTCGAATTTCTGGCTCAATTCTAGTCATATGAAAAAGTTTAAAAGTTTGATTTTTTGAGGTGAAAATGAGTTAGCGTCTTCTACAGGCTAAAACATAAAAAATAAAATTAACGTGGCATTTTTTCTGCAACTTTTAATGCACAATTTCTATTTATTTGTTGAGTTTAACTTGGATTTTTCCAGTACATTAAATTCAACAAATAAACAGTAATTGTGCATTTAAATGTGCAGAAGTGTGTTGTCTATAGTGGATGTGAACTACTTTTCACAAATCAATACAACAACCATTAGCGCCCAAACTTTTGCATACGACTGTACATGACACAAACGTAATGGCCACACAAATTCACCACAGACACCACACTTTCCGCAGTGTCCCAGCATCCCTTCCTCCGAACGAGGCTTGCAGTAGGTGGACATGGACATATGCAAGGAGGCATATTTAACAGCAAAGGTATACTAATGCAGCCAGAATAATGCTAATGCTTATGTCAAGGTTAGCCACTTGTAGTCTACCAAAAATACATATTGGACCACCAAATCAAAGACATTAAGTTAGCAACTAATGTATTCTAAATGAATTTATTACATCAATTATATTGCATTTCATTTTCAGTTAATGTAGCTTGTATTAGTTCGAAATTTCCTTGCAAAGCTCAATTGTAATCAATACTGTATTCCTTGTTTCTGAAGACTTAGATGGGCTGACTGACACAAAAAGGCTATCAAAATAAAACCACCAAATTCCAGGGTATACTTGCTTTGGTCATAGGACTAGTTTTAGCTGCAACATACCGCAACAAGAAATTGTATGCAGATGGATATTGTATGTCAATATGTCAAGTCCAATCAAAGATCTTTTCAAGAATTATGAACTATACAACATATCACCTACACACACTCTGGATTTATCACAAACCCTTTCTCTACATTTTAATATTAAAAATTTGGTCACAACACCTGACTTAGGCTGTAATCTCAACAAATCATGTCTTGTATATATGAACTGCAACAAGTTGTAGAATTTAGAATTTGGACATTTATCTGCACAGTGTAACTACATGCTGTAATAAACACTAATTCCATGTACCAAGCTGTGTAACTACTCTTCAATACTTGGTAAATTATAGTTACACAGTTCCTTACACTAAAACAAGAGTAGTGTAAAATAAAATGTTACCAAATAAATAATAAATTACACTAAAGTATTCAGCTATTTATTAAATTCAGAGATCATTTAACAGTAAATTATGTATTCATTTATTCACATAAGTATGCCATAATTAATTTATTAGCATAACCATATCTCACTTATTAAAATTTGCATTCATTTATTCATTTATGCAGTCCTGATCACAATGCATATTCAACTACTGGCACTGCTGCAGTATTTAACAGAACCGTTCCAGCTGCAGAGCTTTTATCACACCATCATATTGAAAACTGCAGCACATCAACGCGGCACTAAAATTAGCAATTCTCTCCAGTGTGCTTCACAGCAGAACGACAGGCCGCTAAGAATAACTTCTCAGACAGCAAAGCTAAGCTCGAAACCTCACTTTAGAATACTGGAGAATGATGGTGTTTGGTGGAGAATGGCGCGGTTTGGTGCAGAATGATGGTGTTTGATGGAGAATGCTAGTGTTTGGTGGAAAATGGTGGAGTTTTGTTGAGAATGTTGGTGTTTGGTTGAGAAGGATGGTGTTTGATACAGGATCATAGTGTTTTGATAGGAGTATGCTATGTGGAGAATGATATCGTTTAGTAGAGAATGGTGGCGTTTGGTGGAGAATCATGGGTCAGTGTAGACTGCATTTTGGTACTGCAATGTCCAGAGTTGTCTGTGTGTCCCTATAATTATTAATGATCAAGGCGAATAAGCGTACGCATACACTGTAAAGGTGTCTAAAGGAGGCCGGTGCAGAGGGATGGAGTGATTCTTCCTCTTCACAATTTCTTGTTTGCTTGTTCTCTCACATTCTTTTGGGAATTTGAGGGGCAGATGCTCATCCACAGCCACCCATCTGTGTACACTGCACTAATTGGACGTCTCTCTCTCTCTCTCTCTCTCTGTCCCCACTTCTGTCACCTGTCTTCTCTACATCCCTACTTTAACTCAACTCAACTCACTATATCTTTCTTTATGTAGCACCTTTAGTATAATAGGGCAGCTTTACATAACATAGTATGCATACCATACATAAAAATGAAGAAACATCATATGAAACATAAGGATTATGAGATAAACTCAATATTCAATGCAAGGAACTATTCATTTTGAAACCAAGTTGAAACTGCATCTTAGTTAAATCAGGATTTTTCTGCCGCATCTGTATCGGCATAACTCTTACCCATTAAAAAACACACTTATGCCCACTGTCTTGTAATTAAAGGAAGCCAAAGGGCAGATACTAAAACAATTTCCTTTTGTTTTACACTAATGGAGTTATGACATAACTGAAGTTTGAGGAAAGACCATACCAGTCCTTCACTCCTCTTTCTTATGATGAAATTACGCACCCCACCTCCTCTCCCTTCTTCTCCACCTTATCCATGCCTGCAAATGATCTTTAATATATAGGTGAGTCGGCCTTCTTGTGACAAGCAGAAGCCGTACTGAACTCCTGCCCAAAATTCCTCTCATTATCTCATTAACCTAGGCATGGTCTGCATTCGCAAATAAGTGTTAGACCATTCCATAATTTTTTGTCTCTCTTTCTCCCTCTCTCTGCATCACTGAATCTCTGAGAGCAGCTCCTGTGTATGAGCTCAGTAACACTCCCCGCATGCGACGCTCTTGACTCATTATCTCTTCTGAGAGGAAGCTCTTTCCTTCAGCTGAAGATAATGACTGACAGTGGTGTAGTCTCTAAACTCCCTCTATCTGAGCAGTAAAAGAGCGAGGGATTATTCAGCTCGCCTGGCATTACAGAGCACTCATCCAGCATCATTTACTCTATCAGCTAGAGACAGAGAGAGGGAGAGAGAATGAGACAAAGAAACATTGAATGAGAGAAAGAGAGCAAGAAGAGAGGAACAGAAACAGCAGGAAGAGGGAATCAGAAAAAAGAGAGAGAAACAGAGAAAGAGAGAGGGCAAGAGGAGGGGAGAGAGAAAGAGAAGGGGAGAGAGAAAGCGCAAGGCAAAGAAAGAAAGATATAAAGATGATGGGAGAGAGGGAGAAAGGAGCAAGAAAGGGAGAAAGACTAAGAGATAGAGAAAGAGTAGGAGAAACAGAGGAGAAGAGAAAGAAAAAAATAATCAATTAGATGAGGAATAGAAGGGGAGAGGCAGAATAAGAAAGACAGAAACACAGAGAGAGAAATTAAGAAATACATAAATAAACAAAGACAGAATGAAAAAAATAGAAAAGTATGGGAGAGAGATAGAGCAAAAAAGAGACAGTACTGGAGATATATATATACACACACACACGCACACCGATCAGGCATAACATTATGACCACCTCCTTGTTTCTACGCTCATTGTCCATTTTATCAGCTCCACTTTCTATATAGGTGCACTTTGTAGTTCTACAGTTACAGACTGTAGTCCATCTGTTTCTCTGCATACTTTGTTAACTCCCTTTTACCCTGTTCTTCAGTGTTCAGGACCCCCATGGACTCTCTGGTACTATTTGGGTGGTGGATCATTCTCAGCACTGCAGTAACACTGACGTGGTGGTGGTGTGTTAGTGTGTGTTGTGCCGGTCTGAGTGGATCAGACACAGCAGTGCTACTGGAGTTTTTAAACACCTCAGTGTCACTGCTGGACTGAGAATAGTCCACCAACCAAAAATATCCAGCGTCCTGTGGGCAGCGTCCTGTGACCACTGATGAAGGACTAGAAGATGACCGGCACAAACTGTGCAGCAGCAGATGAGCTATCGTCTCTGACTTTACATCTACAAGGTGGACTGACAAGGTGGGACTGTCTAATAGAGTGGACAGTGAGTGGACACAGCGTTTAAAACCTCCAGCAGCACTGCTGTGTCTGATCCACTCGTACCAGCACAACACACACTAACACATCACCACCACGTCAGTGTTACTGCAGTGCTGAGAATGATCCACCACCCAAATAGTACCTGCTCTGTGAGGGTCCATGGGGGTCCTGACCACTGAAGAACAGGGTAAAAGGGGGCTAACAAAGTATCAGAGGAACAGATGGACTACAGTCTGTAACTGTAGAACTACAAAGTGCACCTATATAGAAAGTGGAGCTGATAAAATGGACAATGAGCATAGAAACAAGGAGGTGGTCATAATGTTATGCCTGATCGGTATCTCTCTCTCTCTCTCTCTCTCTCTCTCTCTATATATATATATATATATATATATAGAGAGAGAGAGAGAGAGAGAGAGAGAGAGAGAATTTCAGACTCAGCTTTTTCTGAATAATCTGCTCTTCTCTACACGGTTCCATTTTGGAAAAATAAATATATTCTTCTCCTTCTAAGAAATACTGAGGTTAAACAACATGACTGTTCACCTTCCTCTGCAAGGAATCGATTTGAGCCTGAGCCTCCACATGTGAATCCTCTGTACTGGATCTAAAGGGAAAGTGAGGAAACAGCAGCTGCCGCTTAGGACTGGTACACACTGTGTGGGTGTTTAACCCACATTAAAACATACAGAGAAACTGTGTGAAACTAAATATAATAAAGTTCAGTCTTAGGCTGGCTTTACACAATGAAACTCTCACGTAACTTCAGTTGCTTGAATCCTATGTGAAACTAAACCGCACTTGAGTAGCAAAACGTAAATCTTTGTACAACACATTTGATACTTAGCGTCAACAACCGCAAGTGTCTCAATAGCACGGAATAAGTTTCATGAAACATCAGAACAACAATGAACACATCACATGACCATATCAAATAATATCAACCGATCAGATTAATAAACAAGAGAATAAAAACAGAAGATGGTTTATTTGCGATTGAAAAGAAGACACCTCCCTCCGACTGACTCAAGATTGGTAGTTTTTATTGTCAGTTTCCTGAGCCATTACAACCATCTAATGTCAGCCCTCACTTGATGCTCCTTAATTTTACACAGAGCTCAGATTCATTTCAGATCCAAAGGACAAACATTAATACAGAAGCAGACTGAAAACATGATCCGCAGAGAACTTCTTGTGCTTCCAGGACAGGATGACAGGAGACATTAAGTAGACTAAACTGTAATGATTACTTAAACATTAATTTTCAAAAGCTTAACATAGATATAACAGAAAAACAACTGAAATACATAATAAAGAACCTGCATAGATAGATAAAAGTCAGATCTATAGATATAGAAAAAAAATGATAATGACAGTTATAACACTAAGATTATAAAATGCTGCAAATATGTATATTAAAGCTGATAGATGACTTTATAGTGACAACAGTACAGGTGTATCAAAAAACATGAGCTGGTACTTTTGCTTACTAGTGGAGTAATCTAATGCTGTGTGCTTTTTATAAGCTTTAGAAGCTGGTTACATTTTCTGCTTCTCACAATAAAAGCAATCTCAATTGGCTTCCACTCACCAGTGGCTTCTTTGTTTGATTTGTAAATGTTCTTCTTTTTTGTCTATTTCCTTTTCTCAGTAACAGCTTCTTAACAGCTAACCATTCTTTTAGACTCATTGTGGTGAGTTGTCTTCTCAAAGTGGAAGGATGGACAGAAACACCTGTGGATTTTTTCGGATCAGAAGCAAAAGTGGAGCTTGATTTTATCCTCACTCTCAAAATACGAAAGCTTTGAGTACTGTTTATCAGACGGTGACATTCTTGCTGGTCTACCAGGTCTTGCACCATCTATGCAGTCCCATTTTCTCTGTATCTTTTAATCATTTGTTGAACTCCAGTTCTGGAAAAAATCATTTTTTTCCTTTTTTTTAACTTCCTTTCATTTGACATGCCCCTTTCTTATGTAAATGAATAAGATTACATGGTCTATCTAATCTCTTAGAAATACCTCCTTTAGTCATTTTAGATGCACATGAGAAAGAAATGTGTGAGGCAGCTGAGGTGAGTTTGGGTAGTTGCTTATGTGAATCTTAGTGTCTCTTTGAAGGGGAGCATAATATCATAGACTCATTTGAGAACAGCTTTTTTTGGGAGGACACAGCTGTAACTGATTGGTTTTAAGAGAGAAGAGCTAAAGTGTAATTTTCTGTTACATAGTTTTCTTGTGTTTTTTCATGCTGAAAAATTAATAACTTGTACTTAATGGCTCTTTTGACAAGACATTAAATAAAGGAAAGTGTAGTCTCTGATGTTTGCGTGGTACTTTATTTCATTATGGTTCGAATTTTATGAAAAATGTACTGTCGTGTGTAAAATGAGCAAGAGTGTGTGAGTGTGTGGGTCTGTTAACAACTGCACATAGGGCTGTTTCCTGCTATAAGCCACATAAACTGTTGCTTGGGACCCTCAAGCTACAATGCGAATGCTGGTGTTTGGTGGAGAATGCTCATGTTTAGTGGAGAATGATAGTGTTTGGTGGAGAATTTTATGCTGCAGTAGGTGCCCACCTTGCCATGGACTTTCTGATCAGTGCCCTCCAGCAGGTCTTCAGCTCCATCTCCTGATGCCACCTTCCTCTGAATGTGAGCATTCTGTTCCCGTAAGGCAACAATCTGCATGGAGAGAGAAAGAGAGAAGGACAGATAGACAAAATGAGAAGAAGAAACAGATGGAAAGACAGAGAAGAGGGAGAGCAAGAGAGCATAAGTAAAAGTGACTGATATTTCAAACTTATTATTTGTATTTATTTGTGCTCCAGAAGAGTGAAATGACACTGAGCTACTGCGCTCGAATGTCTGCATTTTATTAATGCTTTTGGAACCCTATAGAAACAAATGTTATATTTGTCTGTAATGCTAATCCAGGTACAGTCCCAATTTATTCGTTCTATAAATGTGCATGTCAGTGTCAGCTGCGGCATGAACAGATACGAACATGAAAAATATCAGAGATTAGCATCGCCCCACGATTCCTACACCTATCTAGTTTTCTTGGTCTTCCAGACGTCCACAGTTCCTCTTATTTGTCATTCCTTAATGACATTTCAGACAGTGGAAATTGCGAGCTGGAAGCACTCTGATATGTTTTTGTGGACTTCCTCTGCTTTGCAGGCATCAATTAGCTTCATTTTCTGATGCTCAGCCCACTGCTGGAGACGGAGGAGCCCATGGTTGTTGAATGTTAGCACGTATTAATATTGAGTCAGAGAAGTTATTACGCACTTTAATTGTCATCACCTGACAAATCTTGACCTGCCCAATAATGAGGAAATGTAAATCGACTTTATAGCAAATAAACAAATAAACTCAAATAATTCCAGTGATCTAAGGACCAGACTGTTTGTGCACCTACTCTTGCTTTCCACAGAAACATAATACCTGCCTTCCGTTTCAGACAGACCGCTGGGGTTTTCCCTTTACACTCACTGAGGAGAACAGCTTATGCTGCATGTCAGCCACACGCACTGCTGTTTCTATTGCTGACTGAATGCATGCAGCCGTTTGAGTGATTACAGTAATTATGCCGCGTGGTGAAGCCTCTCTCACCTGCAGCTCAGCAGGAACAGCCCTGTGGCCACCAGCTACACAAACTGACTGTAATTAGAGTTTGTCATTGACGGTGACACGTTATTATCCTTTTCAACCGGAGACCAAAAAAAAACAAAAAAACAAGCAGATCGCTATAATCACAAAAAACAATGGATTTCCCCAGTTGCGGGAGAGTGGGTGTGTTTTGTAGGTTCATGCTGGTTGCGCTGTTTTCCTTGAAGGACATTCAGTCCTGAACACTGTTGACTCTGCAATCAGCACGGGACACAATCATTACATTTTAAATGAGTTTCACACGAGTTTACACTAAAAATGAATTGCATTTTCCTCCGAGCTACCTATTAAACCTGACTGCAGAGGTTATACAGACTGAGTGGCACCAGACTAATAATTCAGCAGGTTCTTCAGAAAGAACAGCAGGGAGGAAGAAAGAGCAACTCCATAAATCAACATTAAGAAACAGAGAGAGATAGAGAGAGGAAGAAATAGAGGAACACAAAAGGCGCATTAGTGGCTAGCGCAGTTTTCTGTCAGTTTTCCTGCATAAATTCATCAAATGTGCTGAGAACACTCTGAAATGAGAAACAGTCACAGATGAAAAAAACAATGATGAATATTTGCTTTCAAATTGGAAAATGAGTTTCCCACTGAGTGTCTTCCCAGTGCTGAGTACAACAGAGTCGGTCCACTCTACTCAAACTTTCCCTTTACAAAGTACAGAAGCCAAAACCACAGAATTAAACTTTAAAACCATCAAACTCTCTAGATCAACAAAATAACACATTTACATGTTACTGCAGAAAAGAATCCTTTCAGATGCCTCAATGACGGACATGTAGTTCTAAAACAATTACTGTGGTTCTGGAATCCTTAGAATCTACAATTCTTACTGGTGCAACAATTCGTAACATGCCTCCTGAATTCTTAACATCATTCTGGTATTCTTACCATGGCTTTTGGATTCTTAACGTGGTTCCGAAATTCTTACTGAGGTTCTGGATTTCTTACTATGGTTCTAGCATTCTTACTGTGGTTCTGGAATTCTTACCATGGCTCTAGAATTCTTATTCTGGTTCTGGAATTCCTACCATGGCTCTAGAGTTCTTGCTGTGGTTCTGGACTTCTTACCATAGCTGTAGAGTTCTAATTGTGGTTTTGAAATTCTTACCACTCTGGCTTTAATATTCTTGACATTATTATTGTCATTCTTTGCAGGAATGACAACACGTAATGTTACATTGTAAACACACTGGCATATCAGTCCTCCCACTGGCCACTTTACTGGTTGCTAAAAATACCAGTTATGTTTTCTGCGCCAAAGCCAACCTAAATACAGTTCAGTCTGAGACAGCACAGATGGACAGCGGTGGTCTGGTTTGCATCCCCCCAGGCACTGCACAGCACACACAAACTGAGAAAGCACCCATAATCTCTCTCTCTCTCTCTCTCTCTCTATCTCTCTCTCTGTCTCTCTCTCTCTCACACACACACACACACACACAAGAATGTCAACACAGAGTGTTTTAAGTAGGCTCAGATATTTCAGTAATGGCAGGATTGACATTCAGCAGGAGGTGGAATATGGTGATGAAATCAGTCAGCGTTGCAGGCATTAAAAGTTCTCAGTATGTGTTTCTGCAAGAATTCCTCACGACTGCAGACAACACACGACTCTCATCATCCGTCTACAGATACCAACCGCCCTGACATCTGAGACGAACAGGTAGGAAAATGTGAGTCACCACTTTCAGCTTTATTGCATGAACAAGTAGCAATGGTGCTCAGATTAGTCAATTAGGGAAAATAAGTATGTTTTTAAGTCTCAGATTAGACTCCCCACTAAATGCTCAATTTAAATTAATAAAAAAAAAATCAAAAGAATCAATAAAAATATCCACAGAATTAACCTAACCAAGTCCTAACCTAATCAGCCAATGCAAATACGGGCCGGCAGCTTCAGGTAATGTTCACAGCAACAATCAGAATGGAGAAAAAGTGTGATCGCAGTGATTTTGCCCGTGCCATGATTGTTGAGTATTTCTCTAACTGCTGATCTCCTGGGATTTTGCGCACAACAGTCTCTAGAGCTCACTCAGAATAGTGCAATCAAAAAAAAAAACATTAAGTGAGTGGTAGTTCTGCAGATGGAAACACCTTGTTGATGAGAGAGGTCAACTGAGAATGGCCAGACTGGTTCGAGCTGGCAGAAAGGCTAAAGTAACTCAAATAACCACTTTGTACAACTGTGGTGTGCAAAAAAGCATATCCAGCATTAGTATAGTGTTCCTAATAAAGTGCTCTGTGAGTGTAGAATCCTTACAGAGATTCAAGACTTCTTTTAATGTAAGTCAAGGGAACCAGACTTTTTTCCAAGTCATTTTAGGTCATTTCTTTTAGTCCATTATATTCATGCAATATATTCATGTGATTTATTCAGATAATGAATTAATCTAAGCTTGTAAGTACATTTTTCTAGATTTCCTAGGTTCATTATTTGACCAAAAAGCTCCACCCGATCTATTGTGTGAACTGTGTGACACATCTCCTATCGTGGTTATTATGTCACAACTATGAGCACACTCAGTCTCACACCAGCCTTCAGTAGTTTAGCCACCTATTCTTGTTGAAGTGATGCAGAGTGTTGTTATAGCATACAGTCTTTAGCAGAATTAAAGGCCTAATCCCATTTTACCCTTTGCCCCTACCACTTAGCCCTACCCCTCTGTTTTGCGTGGTTACGCCTAGGGGTAGGGTGCCCTGGTTCTTGTTGTTAAGTTGTTATGAGAAATCATCACACAAATTATTCAAGTAAACAAGTTACGTGTGTACTGGGTTCAACAAACGTTGACAGAATTCAAAGTCTATATACACGATAGCGAGCATGTTGTGTGGCTAGGCTAACTACATCAAAACTTGTGTGCAGTCTATCCAACACACCACAAACCAATCCACCAGCATTCCCAGACACTGAAGACGTCTTTTCTAACATTTCCCGCAAAACGATGCCTACAGGCATATTGAAAATGCCTGGTAAAACTCATCACATCTGTTTACATAAAAGCCATCAACACCTACTCATGAAGAACCAGGTTCTTGAAGGGTTGTCCCAATTTGTAGGGGGAGATATCAACCACTGCCCCTTGCAACTCAGTTACAGGGGGCAAGGTGACACCCAAAAACAACAGGGTAGGAGTGAAAAAAAGAAATGGGAGGTGGACAATAAAGGAGGCACAATACAGGGCAACAGAAAATTTTAGAACATAAACACATCCTAAAAACAAAAATTGAGACAATGTATTCACTTTGAGCCGCTCATATCTATATCTATAAACACAGTATTGTCGTAAATGGTCCACCAGGTAGGACTCTCTACAGCACACACACACACACACTAGTGCTGTATCCTCTCCCCAGGCTAAAGGGCATGGAGGGATTATTTAGCTCCCATGTCGAGTTCCTTCATCCACTGAGCTCAGGTAGAAAACAGGAGTAGGAGGGGAAGGAGGAGCTGGAGGAAAATTACAGGACAAGAACAGAGGGTCAAGACAATGGGTGAAAAAAGGGGGTTGACAAGAAGAAGACAGGTAAGAAAGGTGGTAAGAAAGAACAGAGGGGTAAGAAAGGTGGTAAGAAAGAACAGAGGGGTAAGAAAGGTGGTAAGAAAGAACAGAGGGGTAAGAAAGGTGGTAAGAAAGAACACAGGGTAAAAAGGGTGGTAATAAAAGAAGAGAGGAGTAAGAAAGGTGGTAAGAAAGAACAGAGGGGTAAGAGAGGTGGTAAGAAAGAACAGAGAGGTAGGAAAGGTGGTAAGAAAGAACAGAGGGGTAAGAGAGGTGGTAAGAAAGAACAGAGGGGTAAGAAAGGTGGTAAGAAAGAACACAGGGTAAAAAGGGTGGTAATAAAAGAAGAGAGGAGTAAGAAAGGTGGTAAGAAAGAACAGAGGGGTAAGAGAGGTGGTAAGAAAGAACAGAGGGGTAAGAGAGGTGGTAAGAAAGAACAGAGGGGTAAGAAAGGTGGTAAGAAAGAACAGAGGGTAAAAAGGGTGGTAATAAAAGAAGAGAGGAGTAAGAAAGGTGGTAAGAAAGAACAGAGGGGTAAGAGAGGTGGTAATAAAAGAACAGAGGGGTAAGAGAGGTGGTAAGAAAGAACAGAGGGGTACGAAAGGTGGTAAGAAAGAACAGAGGGGTAAGAGAGGTGGTAAGAAAGAACAGAGGGGTACAAAAGGTGGTAAGAAAGAACAGAGGGGTAAGAGAGGTGGTAAGAAAGAACAGAGAGGTAGGAAAGGTGGTAAGAAAGAACAGAGGGGTAAGAGAGGTGGTAAGAAAGAACAGAGGGGTAAGAAAGGTGGTAAGAAAGAACACAGGGTAAAAAGGGTGGTAATAAAAGAAGAGAGGAGTAAGAAAGGTGGTAAGAAAGAACAGAGGGGTAAGAGAGGTGGTAAGAAAGAACAGAGGGGTAAGAGAGGTGGTAAGAAAGAACAGAGGGGTACGAAAGGTGGTAAGAAAGAACAGAGGGGTAAGAGAGGTGGTAAGAAAGAACAGAGGGGTACAAAAGGTGGTAAGAAAGAACAGAGGGGTAAGAGAGGTGGTAAGAAAGAACAGAGGGGTACGAAAGGTGGTAAGAAAGAACAGAGGGGTAAGAGAGGTGGTAAGAAAGAACAGAGGGGTACGAAAGGTGGTAAGAAAGAACAGAGGGGTAAGAGAGGTGGTAAGAAAGAACAGAGGGGTAAGAAACATGGTTAGAAAGAACAGAGGGGTAAGAGAGGTGGTAAAAAAAGAACAGAGGGGTAAGAGAGGTGGTAAAAAAAGAATAGAGGGGTAAGGGAGGTTGTAAGAAAGAAAAGAGGGTTAAGAGAGGTGGTAAGAAAGAACAGAGGGGTAAGAGAGGTGGTAATAAAAGAACAGAGGGGTAAGAGAGGTGGTGAGAAAGAAGAAAGGGGTAAGAAAGGTGGTAAGAAAGAACAGAGGGGTAAGAGAGGTGGTAAGATAGAACACAGAAGCAAAAGAGATGGTATAAATGAACAGAAGGGTTAAGGGGGTGGTGGGAATAAACAGAGGGGAAAGAAAGGGGGTAAGAAAAAGCCAAAGGGTAAGAATGACAGGACAAGAACAGTGTGGTCAAAAAAGCAGCAAAGAATGGGGCATGATTTAGGAGCAGAAACAGGCAGCGAGAAAAATGGAGTAAGAACAGTAGAGTGTGAATATTGGGTGAACGGAGTAAGAACAGTGGAGCAAGAACAGTGGAGCAAGAACGCTGGGCAAGTAGAGAGGGTAGGAACAGCGGAGTGCGAATGTTGAGGTAATAACAGTAGGGTAAGAATGGTAGGACAAAAGCAGCATAATGAAGGAGTCAGGATGGGGGCAAGAACACGGTAAGAAAGAGGGGCTTGAATGGGGGACCAGGACAGTGGAATAAGAACAGGAGCAATAAAAATCGAAGACCAGGACAATAGGGTAAGATCAGTGGGGCAAGAAAAATGGGGGAGACTTGGGGGCAAAAATGAGGGGGTCAGAATGCAGAGCTATGAATGGTGGGTATAATCTGTGTGCAAAAACAGTGTAAGAAAAGAGGATAAGAATAGGACAGAAAGAACAAAGTAAAGGGGTAAGAATGGAGAGGGTACAAACGGTGGGGTAAGTATGTTTCAGTTTGGTTCAAAAAGTTGAAATGACACTTTCTTTAATTTGACAATATTGTGCTTGATACAGTCGTGCCAATTAAGCTACACTGAGCGAGGGATGGAGAGAGAGAATGAGAGAGAGACAAAGAGACAGATAAAAGAGGGAGAGAAAGAGAGTGTGGAGGGAAACGATATTTGTGTGTTATTTCGATGCATTCCTTTAATGAGGCTGCAATTAAGAGGCTTTCTGCTTCTGAAGGCTCAGAAAGGGGATTGTGGGCAATTTTTTTCTGGATCAAAGATCAAACGGCTGCACACCTCCTGACTCCACAAAGAGACGGGACACCCAGCCTGCTCTCAAATCAGAAGTTTCTAGAAGCCCAAATGAAGGTAAAGCGTGTCTTGCTTTGATGTCATTCATTTTGCCTCTTCAAAGCAGCTGCAGGCTGGAGTGTGTGTGTGTGTGTGTGTGTGTGTGTGTGTGTGTGTGTGTGTGTGTGTGTGGAGTGTATGATGCTGCTCTCCAACGGAAGTGAGTGGCTCAGAGAAAGAAAACAGAATCAAATACTCACAAGAAAGTTTTTTGTTTTTTTTCAGATTATAATTATTTACTAGAGCTGGTTGGACCAGCATTTTACAGGCTTCAAATACTCGTTGATAATTCCAAACAAGCACTTGATTACTCATTCTCAAAATCACGCTTTAAACAATATTTCATGTTTTTTTCAGTTGGCAGTCTGACAACAGATACGCTTCCATTTTAATTAGTGTTTCAGTTTACAATGACTGTGCTACATGAGCATCTTATGTCCATCAATACACCAGCCTTTTTTTTTCATTTGGGCATGAATGAAGCATACACTCCACAGAGATTCAGTCAAATCAACCACTTAGACTTTCTATAGCTATATTTAAAATAATAATTTACTAAATTGTGATGATCTTGTTGGTGTGGCGTAAGCAGAGCAGCTCCATCACTGTACTAACTGTGTGGACGAAACTCTTCTCTTATACAGAGAAGATACTGAAACATATACTGAAACTCAAGACTGTGATGTCCTATAAATGAACAGATCTGCTGTTCATGTTTTCAAGTTTTAAACCTACTGTTTAAAGAAAACAGTAACAGAGAAAAAGACTTACTATACCTGCCTCAAGCAGTAATGTGACAGAGCTGAATCGGAGGCAGTGCGGAGCGGACGCACGGCAGTACTCGGATAAGGATCACTATACCTATATATTTGAGATGATTCACCAAAGCTATCGTGCCTCCATGGTGTACCAGCCTCTTATTACAAATTTTGCACTTATCTCTTACCATCCAATAATTTAAAGTGCTTCTATACATCTTTTTTCATTCTGAGACATCTCTGCTCTTTTAGCTTCAGCATTTGGCCATGTGGGAATCTGTAGCGTCCTGAGGTGAGGTGATGAGGAAGCGTGGCACAAATTTATAATGTGTGCAACTAAACAAATTACAATTTACATTTTCTATGCACTGATAACACTTGTTCTATTTTAAAGCCTTTGGTGATGAAATGAATATTTGTTTCTTAATTAATGACAAAGCTTAGTAGAGACTAGAGAGATGAAAACTGAAGTAGAGAGATAAAAACCTACATAACATACAAATACTCAAGTATTCAAATTACTTGTGCCAGCCCTATTATTTACCAATAAAACTGACCATGGCTGCATTAAGACAAGAGACTTTATACTTTAAAGTGATATTTGGCTAAAAAATCAAGTTTGCTTCATTAGTGCTTACTGTTTTAGCAATGCATCATACTTTTGAATAACTTCATGGATAATAGTATGTTCTTCGGTCTGTGATAATGTTTGATCTGGCCCACCACCACTGCACCCACTGACAAAACAAACATACTATAATACTATATCACTTCTTATAAATATTAATTCTTATTTTCCTTTAAAGCTTATATAATTTGACAAAATATTTGCTATAAAATTATTTGATAACAAAATACAGTGTAACATTATAAAATACACTTTTAAAAATGTGATTTGATTTGAAACCTACATGCCATCTTTTGTATACTCTTTTGTTTTGTTTTTTTTTGATCCTCAGCCCCACCACGAACACTGCACTTGTGTGTTACCCCCCCTGACACAAAGGGACAAAAGGTTTCGGGCAACTCGGTCCTGTAGAATTACACAGGAAGAAGCAGTAATGTCTTCCTGCTTTTCTCCAGTGAGTGAAAAATCAGCCCTGAAGGATCACACATCGCACACACACACAAACACGCACACACACCCCTTTCCCTCCTTCTCTCCTTTCTTTTCTCTGTCTTCTCTCTTTCCTTCTTTTTCTCCACCCTCTCTCTTTTCCCTCTCTCTATTTCTCCTCTTTCTTTCTCTTTCTTTCTTTTGTCTCTCTTTCTGTTTCTCCCATATTCAGAATCATTTAACCTGCAAATGAATAATCCTCTCTCACTCAAGTACCAAACACATTCACAAACAGAGCCACACGCACACATACACATACAAACACACACATTTAAAAGAACCACAGACGCACAGACACACACACAAACACAAATACTGACTTTGACTGTGTATGTTTGTGTGGCTCTGTGTGCATGTCTCTTTGTGTGCATGCGAGTGTGTGTGTGAACGTGTGCGCGTGTGTGAGGTTGGCTGGAGTTCAGCAGGCTATGACTGACAGCTCAGCTGGCTGCAGTGTTAACACACCATCACACCCACCAACTTACACACCAGTGACAGTGACCTTGACTGAGGTTTCTCTCATTTCTTTTCTCTATCTGTCTGTCTCTCTCTCTCTCTCTCTCTCTCTCTGTATCTCTCTCTCTTCTTTTTCTTATATTACTCTATCATATATTTAATGTATATATGTATATATATATATATATGTATATATATATATATATATATATATATACACACAGAGAGATAGAATGAGTGACTTTAACATACAGCTCAACATCTCATTGGTTCTTACCTCCTGATTGGCAGCAGTTAGCTCCTCCTCCAAGGCAGAGACTCGTTCCAGTGAAACACGGAGCCTCTCTCTGACCTGAGGGGACACGAAAATCAATTTACTGATGCAGAAAAACTTTCACACTGTATGTAAATTCTTCACATACCTCTGCCTGGATATTATTATCACATACTGTAAATACCAAATGCATGGCACAACATGACACTCCTGACCATCAAACAACTTTGCAAACATCCTACAGCTCTTTTGCAACTAAATAATTTTCAAGACGTCCATTTTTTAATTTTTTATGCTTTATAGTGTAGTTAGCTAATAATCATTATAATCAACATAACCACACATAAAGCAGCTGCAGCTAAGGTTAGCTAACATAACAGAATCAGCAGTTACTGTTCCCCACCAAGCATGTGGAGCTGTGCAATCATGTTGCATTAATAGATGCTAGCCCTTCCCCTACCAGCTTGGTAGTTTTGTGACACGGGAAGAACTAACTAGCGGGTGGAACTGGACAGGACTAAATTATTGAGAAAACTTGGTAAAAATCAGAAAAAATAAAAAAAGGAGTATGTTAATTTTCTCTGCCATCTCACCACCCTGAAAACTGAAGGGTGAAGACAGCTGCTGTAAACAGGCAGCTGTAAATACCTCAGAAAGAAACATGAAATAATGGAAGCTAGAATTTATAGAAACAATTTAAATGTGGTCACACATAAGGATGTAAACTTACCCCCACAATAAACTAAGAAAATGGTGAAACATTATGTTCAAAGGATAAAGAAAACATTTAATACTAATGCTCAATGATAATGTCAATGTAGTATGTTACGTTAAATACATGCGTGAATAGTGATATTAATATCTTTTTTCTTTTAATTTTCAACAACTTGTGTTTTTAAATGGTTGCCTTATTCCATTACACTGTGAGACTATAACTTTATATGAGTATGTTAACATATATGTTGAAATGTCTATTGGTCAGGACTGTTTATATTGTATTGTCATAGTATTGTCAAATCACCCAAGCCTAGTGGAAGAAACCACTAACAAACAAATGCTAATTGTTTGTTACCTCAGCTAATGTTACCAGCCTACTTTTTTTTCACTTCGTATCTTTCAGCCTGAAGATAGCGAGTTTATGAAGAGGTAGAAATTGATACCACACTAGGTAAATCCAGGAATGATGTTGATAATTTTCCTCCACTAGATTTATATGAATAGAATATAAAAATAAACTTAAACAAAGTATAGCTGCACTTTGTATTGTATTTGCTATGCGATGCTGCATGTCTGGTGATGCTGTGGCCTTATACACTGTATGGATAAAAGCATTGGGACACGCTTCTTAATAATTGAAATCGGGTCTTTTATTCAGTCTCATTGTCACAGACGTATAAAATGAAGCACATAGCCAAAAAGTCTGCTTTTACTAACATTTGTGAAAGAATAAGTTGTTCTTCTAATAAGGTCGTCAACGCTCTGCTGACTCAGTAACTGCAGAGTTCCAAACCTCCTCTGGCTTTAACATCAGCACAAAAACTGTGTACCAGGAGCTTCATGGCATTGGTTTCCATGGCCGAGCAGCTGCATGCAAGCCTTGCATCACCAAGCACAATGCCAAGCGTTGGACAGAGTGGCATAAAACATGCTGCCACTGGACTCTGGAGCAGGACTCTGTGGGGTGAAGACTCACACTTCTCCATCTGGCAGTCTGATGGACGAGTCTGGGTTTGCAGAATGCTAGTAGAACGTTACCTGCCTGACTGCACTGTGCCAACTGTAAAGTTTGATGGAGGAGGAATAACACTATGGGGCTGTTTATCAGGGGTTGGCCGAGGCCCCTTAGTTCCAGTGAAGGGAAATCTGAATGCTTCAAAATACCAAGACATTTTGGACAACTGTACGCTTCCAACTTTGTGGGAACAGTTTGGGGAAGGCCCTTTTCTGTTCCAGCATGACTGAGCCCCAGTGCACAAAGCAAGGCCCATAAAGGCATGGTTGGATGTGGAAGAACTTGACTGGCCCATACAGAGCCCTAACCTCAACCCCACTGAACACCTTGTGAGCCAGGCCCTCTCGTCTGACCTCAGAAATGCTATTCTAGTTGAATGGGCAAAAATTCCCATAGGAACACTTCAAAATCTTGTAGAAAGCCTTCCCAGAGGAAGTAGAAGCTGGAATAGCTGTAAAGGGGGGGCAAACTCCATCTTAATGCCTATGGATTTAGAATGGGATGTCATAAAATCTCCTGTAGGTGCAATTTGTAGGTGTCCCAATACTTTTGGCCTTACAGTGCATCTGCCTTCAGCTGAAGGCACCCTTAGCTAAACAGCAGTTGTACAATCTGCTGTAAAGTCTGTTTTCCTGCAGTAACGGTCGGTCTCTGTTAAGGGTTCAGTGCGTGTAAAGAGGACCGTTCCTCTGAGGATGAGGGGATTTATGAGACGCTCTCACATTTGTCACCACTGAGACAGAGAAAACAGGACAGAACCTGTACTGATAAAATCACACGGCTAAAAGAATCATTTCTCTTCCTCTTTCCATCTCTCCCTCTCTCTCTATCCCCATTTCCCTCCTTCTTTCCATACTTTTTTTTCTCTCTCTTCTCTCTCCTTTTCTTTCTCTGCCCTCTCTCTTTTCCCTTTTTATTTCTCCTTTGACTTTCTCTCTTATTTGTTTCTTTCTGTTTCTCCCATATCCCCTCCCTCTTTTCTTGTTCTCCGTTTTGATTCTTCCTTTCGTTTTTCATCCTCACTGACCCTTTTTATCCCTTGACACACTATTTTCTTTCTCACAAATCTTTTAACAAGAGAATTTGAACAGTGAATATCAATGACAATGTAGCAGTATTAAATGCACTCTCTCTCTCACTCTCTCTCTCTCTCTAGGTGTGAAGCCATCGGATCCAGAGAATTGGACTTCCTGTCTTGACAGTCATTCGCTGCTGGGCAGCGGATAGCCACTGAAGCCCTGCCACTATGAATCACTGGACTTTTATTTGCACCTCCGCTCCCAACACAGACGCCTCGTAAATGGCCCTGTCTGCAGGACGCTATAGAATGGATTACTGCTGGAGTAATAGCCACCGAGGGGATGCAGCTACCAATCTACAGGCCACAGCAAGAATGACAGACAACAGGAACGAACAGTTTCACTCTGAGACAGCTTCAACACTTACCAGCTACAACGCTGAAACAATACCACTGCTCAAGAAACAGAGACAACATTTATTCACAAAAAGTAACGGGCTGATCAGTATTTTGGTCATCTCAGATACTGAAGATGCATGATGATGTCAGAATCATATCAGTATCAGCAGATAAACGCGTAATAAAAAAATCAAATAGCTACCCTCCTCATTCAGTTTAATTTAATGTATTTTTGTTTCACTGAATTCTTTAGTCTTTTTGGTTTGCTTTGATATATATTGGAGATGGCCAATGATGGGTATTGTTGGTATTTGCGACTCACCTCAATGACATCATAAGCGTGTGGTTCATGTGACTGTTAGCACTATTTAGTGAGTTGGTGGCTAGAACGCTATCAGCGTGCCCAGGAAGGCCATGTGCCAAAACAAGTCTGTGCTTAATGTGTGAGTTTAACAACTATTCTGTGAATTATAAGAGCGCCATCCAAACTTTTTCTATTCTAAACAAAATTGCCATTGAACAGATACTAAATACTAATACTAAAATATCTGCACTTCATTCATTTCACTGCATTTATAACCCTATACCTATATATTTTTCTGTAATGCTAATCCAGGCACCCACACACACACACACACACACACACATCATCTAAACCGCTTATCCTTCTGGGTTGCGGTGGGGTGCTGAAGCCTATCCCAGCTGTCATTGGCGGAAGGCAGGACACACCCTGGACAGGTCGCCAGTCTATCGCAGTAATCCAGGTACATTTAGTCTTAATTTCTACATTTTATGCAAAGGCAGATATGTACATGTAAAATATTGGATGTCAGCATCAGCCCACAGTTCCTACGCTGGTGCGACCGTATTAGGCACATTGATAAAAATCTACAGGATTCGACATATTTATACATGAAAAAACAAGTTCAACTTTACTGTCTTTAAAGACGGTAATCAGAAGTCTGTCACTGAGCATATATGTCACTAAAAGTGGAGCATATATGGAGAAGATATTTGCTCTATTGATTCAGTTTAAGAAAGACAATTTCCAAGCATGAATTATTTGTGCAGTTTACTCAGATGTCAGTAAAAAAAGAGCTCATAAAGTTTTAGCCCCTGAATAAGGTGATGACACTGTCCGTTCTCCTTTCACCTTTCCTAAATGGACAAAAGATATCTTTGTCACTTGAAGGCATTCTGCTCATCTGTTCATTTCTGTCATGTCAAACAACTGTGATATTCTAAAAGATTTTGCTGTAAGAAAAAAGGCTTCTTAATATTTTCCATTTTTATGTAATGTACTTGTGTCACATTCAGTGCATAAACACATGTATCTGTCACATGTAATTCTGTCCACATTTGTAACATGTAATATTGAAACATTTCTTTCATTAACATGTAATGCTGTAATATTCTGTTCCGTAAAATGTTATTTTTAGTATAAGTAATAGCATTACATGTAAAATGTAATATTATAATATTTTGTTAATATATATTTATAGTCCTGTTATGTAACTAATATGAAATGCATTAAGTCCCGTTATGTGATTCTGTAATGTGTAATTCTGTAAGATGTAATTCTATAACATCCAGTATCAAAACATCTAGTTCCATAATATAATTCTGTATGTGATACAATAACATGCAGCTCTGTAACATAATTCCATAACATATAATATCATAACACTAAGTTCTGTAACAGGATTCTGTACCTGTAAATAATTCCTCTACATATAACAATCAATTTTAAAATATGGAAATCTGTAACATGTTTAAAACTCACTTTTTCATCCAGGGCCTTGTGGTGCTCAAACAGGGACTTTAGGGCTTTGAGGACCTCCACCTCACTGGACACTCCTGAGGGAGACTGGGCCTGACGCTTCACCACTGTCATACGGAGTGACCGCTCATGCCTCGACACTAAACACTCCAAATGCTCCAGAAGCAGCTGAGGAACACACAAACGAAGATATGTTACCTTTTTCATTATCGTCTTAATCATTATCTTCATGCTTATCACCGTCAGTAGCAGAAATACAGTCAGTGTAACCACCATGAATCTGTTCTTAAAAAGTAAAATAAGTTAAAGTAATTTCAGATTCTTTCTTTTGATCCAATTATCATGGAATGTTCCAAAAATGTTAAGGGCAGTAGGTGTTTTCAAATGGTGTAAAAAAATTTAAACAAAACAAAGAAGAGATTTTCTTATAACAGCAGCGATTCCCTACAACACTTCATTCAAACGCCATTTTGAAACCATGCAAATTGTTAACTGCAGTAATGCATCAGAAGGTCAGTTAGGTGTCATGTGTCAGCTTCCTCAAGGACAGGCCTTATATTAAACCAGATTAAATAGAGACAAATGAAAATGAATGAGGTACTTTATCCAGTCTTTTAACGTGCGCCTCATTCTGGGAGGAAAATATGTTCAATATAACTACATTAGCCATGACCAAATCTATTACGAAACTCTAAACAATAAAGCACTCACAACAAATTGAAACCCCTTGGATCTGGCACAAAGGAGATTATGGTAATATGGTTACTGCTGGGAATGGGACATAGCATACCAAATCAGTTACACTCCACAGTCCCCAGGACAGGGATGGGAAACTACAGGAACATCTAGCAGAAGGTGAGGAGAATTCAGAGAAGAAACAGTCAATACAGAGAAGACTGTAACGCTGCAAGAAAAAAAAAGTTTTGTTCTTTTCAAACTCTATTTCTATCTATTTATAATATTCAAACTTTATTTATATTTTTGTCAGTTTGTGGAAGGCATCTTTACAAACATCCAGGCTATTAATTCTCAATTAATGTAGTTCTTCAGTAGAGGTTGTGAAGCAAAGCAAGTAATTGGCTTATTCACTGTTACTAAGAAACACAAAACAAAATAGAACAAAACAGAAAAAATAAGCACTCTGGAAAAGAAACATAAAACAAAGGGTAAGAAAAACAAGAAAAGAGACTTTTCAAAGAGTAAAACAAACACAAGGACTACATCAGTATCCAGCTAACTAAATATATATAAAACCTATCCAACCAGATGAAGCTTGAAGTCTTAATCAGGGGGTCCGTCCCTCCCAAACCCCCTTTTAATCTGCATCATGAGTGGAGCCAGCATGAAGCAAAGCCATATTGGAGGGAATCATGATACAACATTATAAAAACAAAGGCAGTAATGCAATCCTAAAAAAGCTCAACCTCAAAGTCAGACTCCTAGTAGAGACCATAAGCAAGGAAGAGGTAGAGGTAGTGCAGAGTTAAAGTTGGAATCAAATAGGTGTTGTTTTTGCCGTATGTCTCCACTACAACGCTAACTCAGACGCTGTTACTACAGAGCCACGTTGTAGTAATACATTCAGAATGTGGTTTGACATTGTCTTGCTGAAATAAATGAAGCTGGATGGTCCCTCTCCTCTTTAGCCCAGAGGACACGGCATCCATGATTTCCAAAAAAAATTTCAAATTTTGAGTACTTGGACCACAGGACACTTTTCCTCTTTGCCTCAGTCCACCTTGAATGAGCCTGGACCCAGAGAAAGTGGTGGAGTGTCTGGATCCTGTTTATACATAATTTGTTCTTTGCATGGTAGAATTTTAACTTGCAAGTGAAAGTGTTCCTGAGCCCATGCAGTGTTTTCCACTACAGAATCATGTCTATTTTTAACACAGTGCCGCCAATAACTACTATTTCTTATACGTCAGCTAACAGATGCCTGAGTGATGGACACCTAAGTGATGGGGGAGAGCCCAGAGAGAGCAAGGCCACATGCTGCCATGGATAGCTATGGTACTGCCAGAGCTTGAACCTGCAATCTTCCAGTAATTGAGCCAATGCTTAGGTCCACTCCCCAACTAGCAAATTTTTTGTACTACTTTTTTTGGACTCCCCAACCAGCCGCTGTAACTGAAGCCATAAGCCATAATCATCATGGAACACTGGGTTATGGCTGCCTAGCAAACATTAGCTAGGAGACACCAATTGTTGGGATGATGCACAAACCTGTGTGTGGTTGTTGGGAGTCTATAACCCAGTGTAGAAAATGACATTATTTTGCAGAGAATACCAAACAGAGAATGTTTGGTAAAGAATGGTGGTCTTTGGTAGAGAATGATGCTGTTTGTTGGAGGACGGTGGTGTTTGTTGGAGAATCTGGGTGTTTGATAGAGGATTCTCACCACCAGTCCACCCGTAACACTAGTGCTCGCTCCAGGTCTAATACCCACATGTGCCTGTATATCTTTTCAATGTACTGTCCAGCTTAACGTGATTCTAAACTTTGTTTAGTCCGTAAAGAAACGTGGTAAAGAGCCAGATTTGTCTGCTTAGGGCCAAAAACAATTGGTTACTGTCATGAAAATCAGACAGAAAGAAATGCTTAGAAGATTCTCCTTAGTATGAGTGGGAGAGGGGTTTTTGGGACTCTACGAGCAATATCCTGACTACCTCTCTGGAGAGATATCAGTGGCTAGTGGAGAGAAAGTCAAAGACCTTGTAAATGTCACAGCAGTTCTATCTGACCTGTTACAAAGCCATTACTGAACACGCTGGAAGAATACTAATTCCATGAAGACCAGGTCCGGAGGTTGCAGTTTGTCTATAAAACTGGGCGGAGAAAGTAGATGCGGTGGCTGATATGGGTCTGTTGCCTAAGGTTCTGAGTGCTGCTTCAGTTTTAATTGGCGGCTGGCCAGGTTATCAGATTCAGCTTACTGTTAAAGTGGCCTGGGGAACTTTGGGGGGGGGGATTAAATAGAAGGTTACATTTTATTAGACGCCATCACTGTAATGAATTTAACACACACTGTATTAATCACTCTTGCATACATGCCTTATCTGTGAAAAACAGATCAACAGCCCACATGTGGACAAAAAAGCTTCATGCATATGTATAAAGGCATTTTTTGTGTGTACAGATCCACCTAGATGATCCACTAGATCATGCAGGGTACCCAGAGTTTCCTTTTTCACATGGGTCTAGTTTGCTATGTATGCAATAATGTCCTAATACAAACATTTTCTTTCCTTTTAACTATTTTATTTTTAACTTTTAGAGGCACATTGCATTTCTATCTTTGGCGTTGCTGACTCTATAATACTAACAGCAACTATACAAGAACACTGTTCCTCGGCAAAAGATATATACTTAACATAAATGTATAGTAAGAAAACACATTAAATGTTGCTGAAGGTCATATGGGTGAATAAAAGAGTATTGGTGAGTCCAAGATAATAGTAGTAAGACATATGAAGCTGTGATGGGACAATATTCATTTACACACGCACACACATTTTCTAAGCGGCTTATCCTCCTGAGTCACAGGGGAATTTATCCCAGCACTCATTGGGTGGAAGGAAGGAAATTCTCTGGACAAGCCCAATATTCATTTACTAATGATTTATATATAATCAGAGAATATAAGCTAGCATGTTTAACGATGATTAGTGTAGTACTTTGTAGTATTATGGATAAACACTTGATGCTCATGCTGTCATTATAGGAACATTCCTGTCATTGTGCTCCAGTCAATAACATTCTTGTTAGCAACCTAGGAAAGTGTTAAAGTTGTAGATAATATGCTTTATTATGTGTTATTTATTTAAGAAGAGCAAGGTTAAAGTGGTAATTCAGTAAAAAATCAAATGTACGCAATTTTCCCCTCACTCAGTCTTTTACGGTTTAGGCATGCATTTAGCATGATGCTAACTGGTAGAGTATACGCTTCCATTTCTTGTTATGTATATTAGCCTCGTAGCCCCAGAGCTAAAACTAAAGAAGCATCTTCAGACACCAAATCTCTTGGCTGATTAATGATATCTGAGGTAATGTGACTTTTGACAAACTATTCATAGTATTTGATTACATCATGAAGAACACCTCACTGCCATTCTGGTAGGCAAGCTGCAAACATCTGGGGTTCAATTCGGGCTAAAGGACTCATGTAAGGTAGGCCCCACTTTACACAGCTCAGGTCCTCTCTCTTCTCCTCCCTGTGCTGCTCACTGTTAAACACTTTCAGCTTGTTAAACCACCGCTTCGCTCTCATCCTCTGCTTGCTTTCCCTCTTGTCTCATTAGAGTTTCCTCTCTTCGCTCTGCAGCTTTGATATTGTCGGGCATCTTCAAATATCTAGCTTTAATATCCTCCATTTCATCATGGCCTCTGTGAGAGCTCGGCTGTGGGAATCGGTGGTTAATTGAATTGTGGCTGAAAGGTTTGGGCGGCGGATTCTATTAGCCGCCTGGCTCAGCAAAGCCCTGAAGGGAACACTGAAGGCCTAGAGGTGAAAATGACGTGAGAATCATCTCTCTCTCTCTCTTTCTGCCTGTCCTTGTCTCTCTCTCTCGTTTTCTTTCTCTCCCTCCTGAGATTGGATGTGAGAAACTTGTCAGCAGCTCTGGATCCGTCTTGACAGACGAAAGTTTGACATGAGTTCAGGCATCTCTGATTTTGTGGAAAATGTAGCATATTATACGTTTGCATTTTAGCAAGTCATTATTACAGGATGAATTCCCTTCACTCATCCACCAGTATATCCACACACACTGTAATGTCACTCTATAAGACTGCAAAGCTTTTCTAAGTTATACAGTCACGATCTGACCAGATCATGCAGGTTAGTGCTTAGCAACGCAAGTCAGGAACACTTGAAAAGCTTCCATTTCAGCAACGTCCTTTGGGCAGCTGAGAATATATAAGTACGATATTAGCCGTGTAAAATGCATTAGTATATTATTATGTGTTGACCTGAAGGTGGAAATCCGACTGCATTTATTCTGGAGTGCTAGAAATGATCATAATAATATTCAATAAAGTGTGCATTTATTTTTTGTTTCTATACTGAAATCTTGATTTGATCTTACTGAAATATGTCAATTCTTGATAACAACTGTGGTGGAAATGTTTGCACTGCTCTGTAAAAAAGAGTATAGAGAAACTACAGAGAAACTATACAGAGATAACTATAGAGAAAACTCAACATTTCAAGGTAACATACACTTTTTTTTTCAAAAGACTTTTGAGTTTTTCTAAAAGCAATTAAGGTCAATTTGTTTAATCAACTTAGATTTCTTTGTTCATCCAACATTAGGCTGCCAGCAAAACATAACATTTATTTTTTTTTAATATACATCTGTTGGAAGCCACTATGTAGAGCAAGATGACTCCTAACAACCTCACACAGATATGACACGCCAGTTCAATATTTAGGTTTGCTGATGTGGTTGCCTCTGCACATACATTCTGCTGTAAGAGCACTGAGTGAGAGTGCTGGGACAGGGCTAGCCATGCCGGACTCAGACTGTGCTAAATGGAAAAAATGCAGATTGGACTCCACACACTTCAGTCTAAGTGATACGCAGAGCAGGTAAAACCTCAGCCCAGAACAGTCTCCTTGGTGTAGGAGGTTTAACTGAGCAAAGTTCATGTTCGATATTAAAAAATAAACCGTATTAATTGGTTATCAGAGTTTTAAGAGAGCTGCTGAGAAAATGTAAAAATCTTAATGCATCATAAAACGGCAGTGAACATGCAGCCAGGTGCCATATACATTGTTTTACCATGGCTTTGGCCTTTGTATGTGTAAAATCTTTTCATGGCAGACACAAAAGCATAGTACCCCCCAAAAAACACTATATAAACACTACATATAAAACTCAGAAGACACATGTCGGTTCATTGGATAGTAAAGATAATGGTCATCTTTATGCTGTAGACATCATAATACGTGATTCCTATCACCACCACTGCAACGAAATCAGAGTTTCTCTGCAAGGCCCTCTTTCACATCAAAACACTCTGAATGACTTTGTTTACATCTCAACCATAGAATTATGCGGGACTTTTATTAGTGAGGTCCCTTTAACTATATTTTCAATAATTCTGATTTATACCAAAATAATCAAACTGAAGTGAATCATGGAAAGATCTGAGATTTGCAGTGTTGAATCATTTTCTAAAGAATCACAGTGATCAAATTATTGTGAAGTCAGAGATTTACACCTCCAATAAACAATACACCACAATAAAAATTAGCAATGTGTATAGAGCGTACTGTTACGACAGGCGTCTCCACTCACCCTGGTGTTATTCCTCTCGGCCTTCAGCTCCGATATCTCCTCCTCTTTTTCCAGAAGCTGCTCTCGGCAGGCGTTCAGCTCCTTTGTCAGGGCCGCAAACTCCTACAGAACCCAAAAATAAGTATTTTAGCATCAAGCTAACACTGAAATGGGGTGCTTATTTTAGCAAGGGTGCAATATTTGACATAGCACTAAGACTGTCACCACCCACAATTCTGTGGCACACACTTCATACACTGTTCTTTCTAATGTGCATAAAAGCTAAGCCCTTTAGCTAGCACAACACTGCATTGTATTCTCTATTTACTGATTGTTCTGACAGGACATGGTTTGTGCTGAACACAGGAAACTCTTTGCCTATGCATAACAGCTTAAAGTTGACTAACAAACACAGCGTTTATCAACAAATTCCAGCGTTCTTCAAAAATGCCATTATTTTGCAACAGATACCAGCATTTTGCAACAAATTCCATTAGTTTCCACCCAACACCAATATTCTCCACCAAATACCATCATTCTCCATCTAACACGAATATTGTCAACACGTCAAACACATAAATCCAAAACCGTCATTCTCAATGCCATCAGGCATCCATCATTCTCTTCCAAATATCATCACTCGCCACTAAACATCATTCTCCAATATCATCCTCCAACATCATCATTCTCAATTAAACACCACCATTTTCAAACACCCATATTCTCCAACAAGCATAATCATTCTCCACCATACATCATCATTCTCCACCAAATACTATTACAGTTTTAAAAAAACACCATCATTGTTATCCTGACGTTCAGCTTGAATAATCTAGCAAAAATAAGTGACAGGCCAAATGAAAGAGCATGAATGTGGGAGACCACTCAAAAGACTCACGAGACAACCTCACACAGGTATGACACGCCAGCTCAACATTTACATTTCAGCTGTGAGAGCACTGAGTGAGAGTGCAGAAGCTGTATTGCTGCAACATCTTGATAGTTTTATATTTATTAAACTAACCTGGCTAATTTTGAAAGACGTCAATGCTACTGAATGAAGAGCCGTTTTGGAGCTGAAAGAGCCAAAAGAGTCGGTTCTTACTGGTGAGCTGAGCCAATTAATGGACTCACTGAAACAAGCTAAAATGGCCAGCTTGTTTGTTGCAGTCTGCAGGCTGCTTAAATTACAGTAGCTTAAATTACTGACATAGGGTGTAAGGCAACAAAGAAACAAAGACCCTTCAATAACACAAAGGAAAAGCAAAAAACGGAAAAGAAAAAAAGGCCTGCATACCTTAAAGAAGTTGATCTGTTAAAATACACTGTTATGAAATGGGAATAAGGGAAAGACCATCCACAAAGGACAGAAATGGTTTCCAGTGGAAATAAGACTTGCCATGTGATTCTTGCATTGTGTGTTTGATTCTCTCTACAGTGAGAAACTGCATCATGTCTCTTATCCAGTAGCCAAAGAAGTGAGAAAGGCAGCTCTTCCTACTTATCACTGTTTGATTAAATATCATTTTCTAAATATAATTTTTGATTTTCAGGAGGCTGGTTTCAGGTTGTACACAGCCATTAAGGAGACATGTTAACATTCAGCTTTGTTGCTATTCCCTTAATACATACTTTATTTTTTAAAATGGATTAAAGTGTAGACTCTGGTGTTTTCATCACTAGGGGGCCTGCCTGAACAGGCTACAGGGATGTGGTAAAGGTTTGACACTGAATGTTTTGAGGCTTCACAGTGCGAGAGCCAAATGTTCTCCAGCCAGTTCCTGTGTGTGTACTGCTTGTTAACGTCTACTGTGGCCAAACCAGCAGAGCAGAGAAAAAAGTTTATTCACTGTGAGAGTTACACAGTTGGAATAAACTGTGGAGTCATTTTTCAATTCAGTGCCACCTGCCAAAAAACAAAAACACTAACCAGCCCAACACACACACACACAGAAATGTTCAGCTTCCCCTACACAGACAACTATGGCCCTGTGCACACAAATAAACACAAACAAATGGCCTGTTCTCTGCTGTCTGCAACACACACACACACACACACACACACACACACACATACACACACACACACACACACACACACACACACAAATGGCCTGCTCCCTCTCTCAGCAGATGGATAATTGATAGAGGCTGATCTAAATGCCATGGAGTCACAGCCAGGCCAATTACAGCAGCAGGTCTGGCCTGGGTGATCCAAATGATCCAGTGTGTTCCTCTCTGAGCCCCCGGGGCAGGCAGATTGGCCTTACCTCTGCATTTTACACCCTTATCAATCCACACAAGCAAACTCCAGCAAACAAACTCCAGCAGTGCTCCATTAGCTTCAAACATACTTTACAGTTTATATCCATAGCATTTGCCTTTATTAACTTGTGTAGGGTGCTGGCTTGAAAAGGTCAAAAATGCTACACGCTACAAAGCCAAACAACACAAAAATACAGAAGAACACAAAATTCATACCAAAAAAGGACGCTCAAGCTTCTTCATGGAGAAGGTACTTCAACAGAAAGGTCATCTCATCTGAGAGTAAAGATTAGCTTTGAAGTGGAATTCCTCTGATTTTTCAAAATTTCTGCATAATTACATAATTAAGAATTAAGCAAAGTCATTCTGAGTGGTTTGATGTGAAACGCTCCATTCTGGAGATACTTACAGAGTGAGGATTGCTCACATTAGTGGTGATAGGAACCAGACATCATTAATGCCTCTAAAAGCTCCCTTACAGAAAGTTTCTACATGGAATTGTTGTAAATACACTGCCTGATGCATCAAACACTGTTTTATCGAAGTTTTACCACTATTTTACCATCATCAGCATTGCATATATTGTGGGTGCACTGGTGGTTTTGGATGGTAAATAAAATGACTATATTTATGTTGTCCTCTGGTTCCTATCACCACCACTGTAAAGAAATCTGAGTCTGTAAACTTCTCTACAATGAACCATTTCACATCAAACAACTCTGAATGACTTTGGAAATTTGGAAAAATCGGTAGACTTCCCCTTTAAGCTGCGTCTGCATGCCTAAATCACACAGTTGCTTCAAGTCATGTCTAGTTGTTAAGCAATTTAAATTAGCAGGGATGCAGAATCATATCTGAATCATATTGGTATTGACAGATATTCACTTTAATAAAAATATCATATATTTATATTTTAATCAAATATTTATATTTTATAGCCAGTACTTCAAACTGATATATAATGATGTATTTACTGAACTCTGGAAAAGCAGAATGTTCACGCAACCCTGGGCTACTGCACTAAAATATCATTCAATATCAAAATATTCCTTTTATTGCATATGTAATCCTCTACAAATAAGTGTACCAATTTCTACACGTCATACACTTTTATGTATTGGCAGATATGTACTTGAAAAATACAAGATATCGGCATTCCCATATTGGTGTAACTTAAACAGACCGGCTAATGTGGTTTCTGACATATTGTTATCTATCCATGAACAAAAGTATACAGCACCAGTAAAAACAGCCTTGAGGTCTAAATTTTGTCTGTATTTTAATTAGGGCTGGGCGATAAAACGATAACAATAAGTATCGCGATATAACTTTTCCTCAATAGAGCAATAAGACAGGTTAGATAAATTTTCGATATAATACACCACTCTCACACTCCCACGTTCAGCGAAAGCCCCGGTGGCGTTTTCTACTGCAAGGAAAGCGACACTACTCTGCTGTCGCCAGGAGAGGGCGCACTTCCGTATTTTTCGACTTGATTAGAGAGGGAGGGGACCATGAGTAAAAAAAGGGTCGCCAAATATACTTTAGCAACAGCTGAAACGCGGAGTTATACATTCCCTGTCTGAGTGGATGTTATCGGCGATCTGTTCTCCTGTGACCGAGTAACGAGATCAGTGGTGTAGCTGTACTGTCCTACGGTGAACTCACCTCTTTCCGTGCATCCTAACAGCTTTAGCAGTGTTAAATCACGTCTGCAGCGCCGTGTTACAGCCAAACCGTCATATTTTAGTATTAGTGCATTCTCGAGCAACGAAAGTGAAAGAAAGAAGTGGTTCATGTTCGAAAGTAAACTGAGGAAGCTGTGAGGCGTTGGAGAGCGGGAGAGCGCTATCTTCCCAGGCTAGCTGTTTTTAGCTGCTGGCTAACTTGAAGCAGCGCTCCGGCACAACACAGTGAATTGATGATACTGTAGATCAAACAAGACACAAAATCACCGCTTTCAGTTTAAACATACCTAAAAGGAGGACTCTGTGACTGGTGTGAGAGATTCACACTGCAGATAATGCTTTTACACAGCGAGCGTCAGATATACTGCGGTTCACCCCTCAAACTACTGCGATAGCATAGAGAAACCCAGCCGTCTAGCTGGTGTCTGAATACTGTGATATGCTCTGACATGGATGTGGTAGGAGTGACCGCAGTGACCTACCGAACCGAGTCGACGTTGTTGAGAAACTAAAGAGTTTAGCACTGTTGTTGGCTGCTTGTTCAGCATTTGTAACGGGGTAGCCGAGCGCTCGTCACCAGACAGCTAAAAATAATCTGTTTTCTTTCTTAAATCATGACTATTACAAAAATTGCAGCTGTGCTTTTCAAGCTGATAAAAACAGCTCAGAAACTTTCTCCCACTGTCCCAAGACAGATTAGTGAAATGTTCCACTGTTTGGTGAGTGTTTGTCATGATCGGACCATAAGTGATAGTTTAAAACCACAGTTAACCACCCAGGAGCAAAATCAGCCTTCAAACGTGAAAGAAATCATGATTTGACATTTATCGCGATATCGAATGATATGAATTTGTTTATCGTGATAACATTTTTGGCCATATCGCCCAGCTCTAATTTTACTCCATGTTTATAGCAGCAGGCTTATGTCATACAGTATCAGAAATCAAACACACAAGTCTATTTGAGACCATAATAACTGGTAGAGTAGAAGCTTCCATTACTAGTTAGCTACATTAGCCTCATAGTGCTCCAGTGCAAAAGTAAAGAAGCTAACTTTAATTAACAAAGAAGCCTTGGCTTTGACATGTATTTGGAAAAAGGGAGAAAATTGTGTGAATTTAATTTTTCGCTGAATGATTCCTTCAAGCAAGGTGCCTTCAGAGGA